CTTGATTTTGACATGCATGGTTATCTCTTTCTTTGAGGTGACAAGTCTTGATCTGCCATGTAGCACATGTTTTGGTTTTGACCAGAAAAATTTCCACCTCTCATGTTAGAAAGTCATTTCTTCATAATTCGTTTTTCCACATGCTGTCACCCAAGATTCAAAATGTCACTAAGCTTCCAGATGCTTTTTCTTTTCGAAGTGATGAAACTGTGTGCTTCAATCGAACGAAAATGTCAAGCTCTCGATACTTTCCGGTTTCCGATGACCAGTATTCTTTTTCACACGGATGATGCTTCTAGAGTCCCTTCAGGAATTCTTCCTGGAGAGTTGATGGCCACTATATTACGAAGAGATACATTTCATCCATGTATTAGAGAATTTTAGTGTTTGTATGTTACGAGTATTTGCGTTAAAATCACGACGATAAATAGATCGTCACGTTCACGTTACTATGAGAGAATGTTTCTCGAGGGACCACCTTGGACGAAGGCCCTTGGGGAAAAAGCGAAATTTGAATGTCGTATGTGAATGTACAATGGAAAGTGAAAAAGTTTATCCCCGTTTTATTGTTACGTTTTAGGTTTTACCAAAAAAAAATGGTGCTGGTAAATTTTTGAAGAAATTGGTAAAATAAAAATGAGTCGAATTAAAAACTAGCTTTCTTGGAGAGAGCCTGAGGATTTTTGTATTGTACGACACCCACTTACACTTTCCCCCTAATAAATCATTATAAAATAAATTGTGCACGCAATAATCTTTAGAATAGCTCATCCTTGAAAGCTAATTATTTCGTTTTGCCGTGACCTTCGTTTTCCGTTAAGGGTAAAAGAAACGAGTTTAGGGATATTGTCTAGTGGTGGGGCAATGGCTCTAGATTAGGCGCGGGTTCTCCCAAGCCCGTACCTCGCGCGACATTGAATTTCATTTTAAGTTTTAATTTTAAAAGATTTCTACGTGAGACGGGAGTCGCCACTAATCTATTGGGGTCGGTTAGAAACTAAGTGAGATACGGGAGTTTTATCTCACTTCCTATGCAACCAACAATTAATTAGGTTCAAGGACTTAATTATGCTAATAACCTAATGAGCGCCCTTTTGTTACCTATAACTTGGTGGGATTGTTCATCTAACCAATCAAACATTTTTGTTACCAATTATGGACCCAAAAGGTCATTCAATATCGCTAAGTGTTCATGTAATGGTTTTTATGAGTTTATTATGATCATAAGACTTTCCCTAATCATACGAATAGAAAAATAACAATCAATGTATTGAAAGTGCATGAATTAAATAACAAGATGTTGAATTTGTGTCACAATGAGTATAGTTAGAGATTTTTCGTTGTATATATCTTTCTTTTATAAGAAAGTTTGGAGCTACTTTTTTTTTTTTGGTCGAATTTTTTGGAGCTACTGACTATGCCATAAAAGAGGAGAAATTCTTGTCAAAACCCTGGCCAACGCTTAGATGAATAGAAGAAAGACATACTTCTTGACTAAACTCACAACAACAACCCTGACTTTTTTGAATGAATCTCGGTTGAGGACAAGATTAGGTCAAGAACATCAAGAAAGGAGTAAAATCAAAGATCAAGAGAGATGCTTCTTTATCTTTTTCCTTTTATATTAAAAAGAACACGTGTTGGGAGTACTAACCACGGCGAGAGGAAGTACCATGTTATTTATGGTCAATGGAATTCAACATAAAACAGTCATGAAATATGAAATTTAACCATTAATTAACACTTCATTGAAGTATATATATTCTTTGAGAGGGTGTTTGTAATGGGGATGAATAGTTAAAAGCAATTTATCAATTTGGTAAAATAGCATGGTTGAATTCTTTTTGAATCAACTAAGGTTTTGGACTTTTATATGATTTTGGTTATGAAATGGTTAAAAATCAATTATCAGTAATTTTGTTCACCTAATTCTCATTTTAGAGAAAAAAAACCATCATAAATTGGTGAAATAGACTTTAGAACATTTTGAGTGTTTCGTTATGGGATAATTGACTTCGAAGATGGTGGTCTGGCGATGACTACCTATAGAGACGAAAAAACAATCAATTGGTTAAATAATTGCTTTCGATTCGTTGTCATGACCTTGATTTCTGCTCGAATTTGAGTCCGAATAGAATCTCACACTATACAATTTGGTGTTGGTGATGTCGGATGAGATAAACCCAGATGTGTCTGAACAAAATAGCTGATGAGAAAATCGGAAACTAGGAGTGAGATAGATCTGAATTGGATATAAAAAAATCGTGAAGAAGACCTTTTAAGGAGAACAATCGAACAACACCATCATTACCGTTGAAGGCCTGAAGCTTGCACGTCCTCGGAGCCAACATCGACCCCGAAGGTGTAACAACATGCAAACACCAAACAACGGTCGCCACTAGTAGGTGATTACCGCACAATGGCAGCCTGAGATCCCCCCCTTTCTTTCTCATCGTCTGTGCGGAAGTCACAGTCCTTAGACAACCACCGATGGTGGTCGCACGCCCCAAGTGACATCGCCGCGATGCCTCAATCATCATAGGCTGCAACCACCACCCACGATGCCTGTACTTCTTCATTTTTTCGTCACCCTTGATGCCCTTTGATTTCTATCGCGCTGCACCACCGCGACAGTAATGACCACCATTGCGGTGGTCGCCAAGAAGATGACCACCGTGGTGGTGATGACCATTATCAATCGAGACCCATCGTGGCGATAGTAATCCTTAGATTTAGGATTTTCCTGTTGAGTTTTTTTAATTTAATACTTGTTTTTAGTTTTTTTACAATCATATCCTAAGTGCACCAAATACTTGATGAGATTAAACATATTCACATCCATAAAAAAATTTCTAGTTCCTCCAATACTAAATTCGGTTAAATCCAGCTAACAAGATCGGACAATGTTGTGGTGTGACCTTAATAAAAAAAAACTTTAATGTGGACATTTACCTGGGTATCCACATTGGCTAAATTTTATTCCTGTCATACTTCGATTTTATCAATTTGTAGCTAAATTTGTCCATACACGTACATATGGGCTTCCGCATACTTTACCCACATCATATTTTGGTCAATCAACTAAATCCGGTCGAATCTATTGTCCGAAGGATTTTACTAGGAAATCTATGAAAGCAAAAGGACCTGACTTGGTGGGATTGTTCATCTAACCAATCAAACATTTTTGTTACCAATTATGGACCCAAAAGGTCATTTGATATCGCAAAGTGTTCATGTAATGGTGTTTATGAGTTTATTATGATCCTAAGACTTTCCCTAACCATACGAATAGAAAAATAACAATTAATGTATTGAAAGCGCATGAATTAAATAATAAGATGTTGAATTTGTGTCACAATGGGTATAGTTAGAGATTTTTGTTGTATATATCTTTTTTTTATAAGAAAGTTCGGAGTTACTGACCATGTCATAAAAGAGGAGAAATTCTTGTCAAAACCCTGGCCCGACGCTTAGATGCATAGAAGAAAGACTTACTTCTTGACTGAACTCACAACAACAACCCTGACCTTTTTGAATGAACCTCGGTTGAAGACAAGATTAGGTCAAGAACATCAAGGACGGAGTAAAATCAAAGATCAAGAGAGATGCTCCTTTATCTTTTTCCTTTTATATTAAAAAGAACACGTGTTGGGAGTAGTAACCACGGTGAGAGGAAGTACCATGTTATTTATGGTCAATGGAATTCAACATAAAACAGTCATCAAATTTGAAATTTAACCATTAATTAACACTTCATTGAAGTATATATATTCTTTGAGAGGGTGGTTGTAATGGGAATGAATAGTTAAAATCAATTTATCAATTTGGCAAAATAGCGGGGTCGAATTCTTTTTGAATCAACTAAGGTTTTGGACTTCTATATGATTTTGGTTATGAAATGGTTAAAAATCAATTATCAGTAATTTTGTTCTCTTACTTTAGAACATTTTGAGTGTTTCATTACGGGATAACCGACTTCGAAGAAGGTGGTATGGTGATGACTACCTATAGAGATTGAAACAACAAATAATTGGTTAAATGGTTGCTTTCAATTCGTTGTCATGACCTTGATTACCGGCCGAATTTGAGTCCGAATAGGATCTCACACAATCCAACTTGGTGTTGGTCATGTCGGATGAGAAAAACCCAAATATGTCTGAACAAAATGCCTGATAAAAAAATCGGGTACTAGGAGCAAGATAGACCCGAATTGGATAAAAGAAATCGCGAAGAAGACCTTTCTAGTTAGAACAATTGGACGACACCATTATTTGGCATGTCTCCTAAATAATTGGCATAAATTTCGAAACCATTTTTTCTTTTCGAAAAGGCTCTGAAAACGATTTTTTTTCTCTTTTACATTCTATTACTTGCAATAGAGTCCCACCAACCACCACTTCGGATTTTGCTTAAATGCGTGCCGTATATAAAATTTTAATCTTTCGGACAAGGAAAAAAACAAAAAGAACATGAAATTCATGGAACGCGTGAAACATTACGGAGTTCTTAGTCGTTATCAGCAGACGGGCTGGTCCGAATCACGCCGGGTCGGCGGTCGGATCGTCCGCCGATGATCCCTCCCCACCCCCACACACGTGGCGAGATCACAGCCCATCCCCATCCCCCCGCCCGCTCGCGCGCCACAAAACGACGCCGGAGCGGATATTCCAAGACAGGCGCCGTCAGATGCTCGGCGACGGGGACCCGCTCCAGCCCTTCCCGCCCCACCGCAACGCCTCGATCACGACCGCCGAATCCCCCGACCGCGGGGGCCTCGCCCCCCTCGAAGTCGACTCAATCGACGGTCGCGATGGGTCGCGGGGACGCGCGTGTCGGTTCGGTAAACTTTGCCTTGGACCTCGAGTGACGCAACCCCTAACGCCGTCACGCCTCTCTCTTTTCCTTTTGTCATTTTCTTCACATGCGCGAAAATGACGCAACCCCAATCTGAACGATACGACGTCGTTCTCGGACCCGCGAGGTGCTGCTGCTTCTCCTCCTTCTCCTTCTTCTGCTTCGACTTCGCTCTCTCCGTTCAAATTACGCACAGCCCAAGGCCGAGCTCGGAAAGGAAAGCGAAATTTCCGAGGGATTGCGCGAGCGAAAGGGGAGGTAAATTCGTCGGAGCTCGCCTTAAATCTGCGAGGTTGCGAGGGCCTTGGCGATGCCGGAGAGGCTCCGATTTCGATCCCGCGCGCCGTCCGTCGTTGCTTCCGCGTGAAGTCTTCTTTCCTGAGGGTCGGTCGGTCGGAGGACGCGAGCCGGATTCGAGCCGATTTTTGCGGACGCGGAGAGAGAGAGAGAGGGAGAGGGAGGGAGGGGGAGCGATGCAGACGGAGGCGAGGGTCGGCGTTGTGGTGGAAGGAGGCCAGAGAGGGATCGGCTCGGGCCACGGGAGCCTCGCGGCGGTGGACGGAGCGGCGCGCCAATGCTCGCAGCAGCAGCAGCAGCGGCAATCGCAGCAGATCGGGACGGTGTCGCAGCTGCTCGCCGGCGGCGTCGCCGGTGCCGTCAGTAAGACCTGCACGGCTCCCTTGGCGCGGCTCACCATACTCTTCCAGGTTGATCTTTCCCCCTCCTTAGAGTGATTTCCGGTCTTTCTTCTGGTTTGAGAAAACGTGGAAATAGGGTAGGGCTTCCCGTTTCGGCTTGGGCTCGTGTCTTTTGGCTGTAGTAGTCGTGGATGGAAGGGGCTCGCCGTGTGTGCAGGTTTTGATGTGCTGGTGCGGATGCACCTTTGTGTTGTTCTTTCGATTGTTTTCTTCCTTCCAGGAGAAGGAGAAGAAGAGGCGCGGAGGATGGAATTTGTTTTGTGACATTGATTGCATTTTCCGTTTTTATGTGCCTAAGGAGGAGCAGCTAGTTATTCCCCACGGATCTTCAAGAAACTTATTTTTGTTTCTTCTTTTTTCCAAGTTTTGACTCTGAATGATGGAAATGCAGTTGATGTGGTAATCAAGAAGTGGATGGACAATCTTGTCGCATTGACTCAGCTAGGCAATCCATGAGTTTGATCATTGAAAAATTATGCTACCACTTTACGTTTGCGTGGCTTAAAGCCATGTGTGAGTAGGAGACTGTTGATGCCGATTCTAGTACTCGGATTTGACCTTTAGTTGGATTAAGGTCGTATATTTGATGCAGGAGTTTGTCGCTAAGGTTCTTTTGCTATGGGTCTTTATTTGGTGTACAGAGTACGGCAATTTAAATGGCTGGATTATCTTTAGTGATATGTGCTATCTAACAGGAAGTATGGATCAAGTTTGTTTGACTTGCATTGTTAGGCTGGATGCCACTGATGGTTAGCGAGGACTGTAGGACTATTCAGAGTTCCTATAAGAGGCATCAAGTTTTTTTTTATTATGACCTATGAAGAAAACCCGGGCATGGAAATATATATTTTATGGCTTAGACATTGCAATAAAATTTAATGCTAAAATCTGCGACTTTTTACATCTTTACTACACATTTATCGTATATTGACAATTTCCCTGTGGGCACCCTCTAACATCTTCCATTTATGTATTTCATGGAACTTGTGCTTTCAATTGTTCTGTGATTAGAGTGCAAATCAGTGCAAGTGGAGTTGTAGGCATCTAGGATATTGAGTACCGTGCTATTTCTCGGACAGGTATTCGATTGCTGTAATTACCACTATTCGGCCTCTCTGCTGATATTTTTGTATGCATTTTTAGGTGCAAGGAATGCATTCTGATTCAGCAACTCTAAAGAAGGCCAGCATATGGAATGAGGCTTCAAGGATTGTGCGTGAAGAAGGATTTAGAGCTTTCTGGAAAGGGAATCTAGTCACAATTGCCCATCGCCTTCCTTATTCTTCTGTAAACTTTTATACTTACGAGCAGTACAAGAAGGTGCTTAACTTGACTAGCTTTTGAGCTGTATGGTATCATCTGATTTTATCATGTAGGGGTTGTCTTATGCAGCTTTTTGATTTGTTGAATAATCTTTCAGTTTCTTCATATGATCCCGGGAGTGGAAAGTTATAGGGGAAATACAAGTACAGAGCTCTGCATACATTTTGTTGGCGGTGGTCTAGCAGGAATGACAGCTGCAACTGCTACATATCCCTTGGATCTTGTCAGAACACGTCTTGCGGCTCAGGTATTTCGGTAGACATTTGGTGTAAAGGCCAAGAGCTGAATGCTTTCTTCTTTATGTGTGCTTATGTCTAGAGGTTGATGGAGGCTTCATTTTGCGGGTTTAATTCTGCTGATGACATTCTCCTTTTCATGGTTGTGCTACTCGATTCAAAATGCACTTAACTTTAATCAGTTTCTTTATTTTTTTTCCTTTTCTAATTGTGTGGTATTGTCATCAAATTGTTCTGAAGTCTGGTTCGTTCTTACTCATGTTCTGAGAGATAATTGTTGCAATTTTCTGTAGAATTACATGTCTTTCGTCCTTTCGTTCCTTAGTAGTAAATTGTAGCTAGCTATTGCATTATTCATCATTTCTTTTGGTAGGAAAAAGACTTAAAATTTGCATTAATCATCAGTTGCTTTAATAGTGTTTCTACATGTGCAACTTGATTGGGCCTCACTTGGTTCTGTGGTTGTCTTTGAGCTTAGAATCTTGTGTTTTTTAGGGACTTCTGCTTTCTCTGTTGCATCTTTGTTGAAACTTTTCACTTGTTATAATTCTTAAATTGCTTTGATGGCTGTGAAGTTGTACTCTGTGAACTGTATGGTTGTCCCCAGTTTGTAGAATGCGAAATTTATTGATCATGCGCTCATACTGATTACTTATTGTTTCAATGAAAATCTGCAGACAAATGTTATCTACTACAGAGGTATCTGGCATGCTTTACGAACAATAAGCAGTGAAGAGGGCTTATTAGGACTTTACAAGGGACTTGGAGCGACTCTTTTGGTATGTGCTTAGTTTTTATTCTGCTTAGTGCTTAGGCTGTATAACTCGATTCTTGACTATTTGTTTGTCATTGTTCCAGAGTGTGTGCCCCAGCATCGCTATAAGTTTTTCTGTGTATGAGACCTTGAGATCTTCTTGGCAGTCACATAGGTGAGCCTGAGCACCTTGCCAGTTTATTTCTTTGATGTTGTTTGATTTTGTTTCACAACGCCGGTAGTCGCATGAAATTTCTTTTTTCGCATGCTAAATGAGCTTTCTAACAATTCAACCAGGCCTGATGATTCCTTTGTTGCTGTTAGCCTGGCTTGTGGCAGTCTTTCTGGTATTGCATCTTCAACAGGTGAGTAATCCGTATGACTAGAATATTGCATACTTATGGATCATATATAAGAGCTGCTTCATGAAGTGTGTATTTCACTTCCTTTCTATTTTCTTGAATGTCATCCTCATAGAATGATTCTCATAATACTATATCATACGGTTCTGAGTTCTAGGAATTGCTGAGTTTTTTTTTGGTTATGGGTTAAATGACTGCTTCTAGTGACACCCTTCTACAGCAAATTTAGTGACTATTCATAGATCTTATATCCTTCAAAGTTTGCACATCTTCAGATTACATAGTTTTAACATAAAACTGAGTAGTTAATTCGTGTAGCTTTTTGTCATGCTTTTGATGCAGAGACACAGGTTGTGGTCCAAGCTCTGCACTAAGTTTCTAACCTGACTGACCCATAGAACCAGAGAGCCAGAGTGGCGTTGTTTTTTATCTGGCATTTGTGGATTTTAGTAAGAAAACAAGAAATTATATCCTGTCTTCCATCTAACTGTATCTTATATGAAAACCTGTGATTAACCTCCATCTCTCCAACATTTCCCGGGTTAATCATCTCCCAAGATGCAGTCGGTTCCATGATTTTGGTTGTTATGCAGTCCTCCAAGTGAGAGGTTTCCTCAGTGAGGTATGCTTCTCACTTAGGCTTGCTGAAACAGTTGATTAATGGGTTATGGAATCCTTCTAGCATCACCATATATCTCTGAGTTGTAATATGACTTATTGGGAATGATAGAAATATCCTTTCTTTTTATTTTCTAGTCTCAGCTGTCTCTGGAAGTGCTATATGTGTACTTGGTGAAGTCCTGCTGAGGTCCTGTAGTTAATAGATAAATGAATCATAAGAAATAAGATGGGATAGGCTAGTGATTCTAGCTTGATAGAGAAGATATGCGACATAAAGTGTTGACTGCACATATGTTAGTTTGTGCTTCATTGGAACATATGAGTTGTGATTTGTCTGCCAGACCATCCTGGCTGGACATTAACATTTGAAATACGGAAAGTCATTCTTGCGTCATTGTAGTTTTGCATACTCATTGGCAATTCTTATACGTATTACTAACTCAATTTCGGAGGTTGCTTTGAGCTTTAAATAGATCCGATCTTGACAAAATTTTTGTGCCGTTATAATCTGCAGCGACATTCCCGTTGGATCTTGTGAGGAGACGGAAGCAGTTGGAAGGAGCAGGAGGCCGTGCTCGGATATATCAGACTGGGATATTCGGTACATTAAAGCACATAGTCCGGAATGAGGGATTTCGTGGTTTGTACAGGGGGATCCTTCCTGAATACTACAAGGTGGTACCAGGCGTAGGCATATGCTTCATGACCTACGAAACACTGAAAATGCTTCTTGCGGACATTGCTTCTGATTTGTAGTGTCGCTGCGAATTCCTGGACGCCATTGGTCGAGGGGGAAGGAGGAGGTGGATCATAGGAGCATGGTGCTGTTTTCGCTCCCTCCGAATTGGCTTAGGTTGATTTTATTTGATGAGTTTCCTTATGGCAGTTAAAAGTATCGCGTGCTGCCGTTTGGTTCTATTTATCCTTGTATAGTATAGGTGCAACATGTTACACGTCTTTAATTGCCAGCATCAAGAAAGTCACAAATATGCTACCTCAATGGAAAGTCATTTCTTAGTTCATCTCTCTCTCTCTCTCTCTCTCCCTCTCACAGTTAAAAGGGCTGAGATTGCGCATTCTGTGTGTATTTTGGTCTTTCGTGATAATCAATACTCAATAGCTGACATTTGGTCCAAAAGATTATTCCATTGAACAGAAGGAAGAGAGCAAGTGCTCCACGAATACCATCAGCGAGACTCCTCATCGTGAACCAATAATATGATAACTTTCCATTCTATACATTGTGGAGATCCGCTTCCCTTTTTTGGTTAGTTGCACTCATTTTGGTTTACACATGACATCATTTTCGGCTTAAATTTCGGTTTAGACCAATACGATGCATGACAAAACATTCACTGACAAGTTGAAGAAAAACCAATGAAATGTGCTGCTCGTTTGAGATTTACGCCCGAAAGAGCCGTTCATCTTCCGTTACCCTTTCTTTTAAGTCAAAAAAGCCAAAACTGAATATGAAACCACATAATGCATATTATTAGGCATTGTAAACATGCATCTTTGAGAACCCCTAAAAAATTCATGGGGGCCGTTTACAATTTGCCATGGTCCACTCAAATCTCAGAAGCCGAAAGCATTTCCAATTCACATAAGCAATTGGAGAGGTCGCAATGTGGGCGATGAATGCTTTCACTAAGGGAAAAGACCGGTCAATTTAATGTGGTCCAGCGTACGTCGCAGACCGTACTTGTTGACTGCTGCATTGGCAGCCCTGAAACCTCCTCCATATGCCAGGGAGGTGTCGTTGGCAATTTGATGCATGAAAAACTTGCCGAGTTTCTTCTCAACCTCAGACTTCCCACCTTTCTTGGAAGATGTAGAAGACGAGGAAGCTGCTGATGTAGATGGCGCACTTCTGTATTCAGGCACGACTTCTGATTCGAGCCACATGTACGATAAAACTTGACATATGCCTTCTTCTACCTCAGGATTAAGATTACGGTAACCTACGAATATAAGTTCAAAAGTTCAAGAGAAGCCCCATTTGGAACTGCAACCAACGGAAGATGATGCTGCAGGGTAGAAAGTGTTCACCTTTAAGGCGTAACCATCCGTGCATTAACTCATGAGCAAGAATAGCACCGGTTAGCAACCTATAATCAGCAACGAAAAGTTAGATTTCTAAAACATAAGACAAAATCAAGGTGATGAATACTTGCATTAAGTTTCGCATCTTTAGCATCCTTAACTTTCTTTTATTTTATAAGTAAGAGGTTTCCTTTCTGCATCCTAAATTTATAGTGAGATCTCAGCTAGTAAAGCCTAAGATAAATACGTTTCCAGATACATGTCAAATTTTCTTATATTCTAGCTAAATGCGAGGTGGCTTTTAGTACAACAAGGAAAGCCTACAGAAGCCTGTTATGTCTCCAACAAAAAATTCCTTTCCTTGAGAAAAATGCATCCTTTGATCTATACAAGAAGTTTCATTAGCATAAGACCATTTTTCCGAAAGCACTATACCGGGAGAGACCCTCTGTCACGGCTCAATGGGACTTCCTAACGACTATGCATTGGAAAAGTTCTCAACGACTGCTTAGGAAGACTCGCCAGATACGTGGTTGTTTGTCAACTCATCCTTAAAAAGTCTTTCTAACCTTCTAATTTTTAAAACTTGAATATGAAGAGCTATTGTGTACTTAATAAATATAATCACTACTTTGCGAAACAAAAGCTTTTCAGTCGCACTTACCTTGGTAGACCATAAAGAACAAGAATGGCCGTAACTTCGCATTTCCTTGTCAACTTCTGGGGTTGAGTTCTCATTCCAACAAGCCTGTGGCCTCCAACTCTGGGCCTTCTGTGAACCTGAACACGAGCACTGAAATGAGTGTAAAATCGGACAAGTAAATCTTGCTCAAGAATTTACTCTGGATTTCGTGAAAGCAAAATCAGTAAATGTCCAATATCATACACTGGACACGGTTTGCTCCTCAGAAAGACATAAACCTCTCGTCTCAGGCATGTGATGGTGGCCCTGCATAAAAACTAGCATCAGGAATGGTGCACCAACTTTGAAAGAAAACCCAAATCTCGTAACATGTCTTACATTTTTTTCTCCAACAATAGCCTCATTAAGTGCTTGTCTTTCAACCAGAAGCATTGGAATTTGCTGATCCAATTTCATGTTCATTCCTTCATAGTAGTCTCTGATCGCATGATAAAGTGATTGACAGTCACCAGTATCCATGATAGCAGATTCCATGCACTCTAGGCATAAACTCCGTCCATCTCCCAAAGATATGTATGTTGGGTTCCATGACTGTCAGTAGGTAAAAGAAATAAAAGAATAACAGAAAAATGAGTACAGTTGCTTCGACACGTTTAAAATTTACAATCCCTGAGATTGTGGGAACAAAGCATGACATTGCTTTTACTTGTGCTACCCTAGACCAGTACCTCCAAACGCTCGCAACTACAACATCGGGCTGTGTTGTCATGCTCGTGCGATGGACAGTACTTCTGGGACCAGAAAGGATGGCATCTATACTCAATCAAACCCGCTCCATTTGTTGGGATCTGTGAATTGAAATAGAAGCTTACTATAAAATCAAAATGCAAAAGACTTAAATTACCTTAATGCTATACTCTCTTAAAATTGCATAAACATAATTAACAAGAACAACTTGGACTCAGCTTCTCTCACTTCGATAGTATGCGTTTTTAACAAATCCCAGGTCTGCATACAAAAGGCTCAATGAGCAATATATTTTTTAATGAAATCACTCATTATGTTTTCACTATGTACTTTTCAAAAATTAGAAGCAATCTCTTGTTATCGTAGAGCAATTCGACTTGAGCTACTCCAGTGATGAGTAAGACTTTTTTTAGCTACCAGCATGACCACACACGGGAAGTCAGCATTGTGTGTAAAAGGACAGCTATTGCAGTGATGTACTACTTGAGAAGCAATAAATGTCATAAGCTTAGTAACATCGTCTCTACGAAATGTAAAAACTGCAAAAAATATTTGTCAGGTAAGATGTGGTAGATTGTTCTTACAAATTGATGGCAGACTTCACATTTTGGATGTGTCAACTCCTTGAAGCAAGACTGGTGATAAGGATCGCTTCCTGACAATGAAAACTTCAATCAACAGAAAAAAGGACTAGTAAGGGCTACCAGATAAAAGTTCCAGAATGAGACATATTCATGTCAAAGTTGACAGTGCCAGAGTGATAAAAGAAATACTGAATATTCACATGTATTGTAGACTGTAAATAACTTGAAGGTAAAATCTTAAACAAAAAGAGGAAACGAAAGATATTTCAAGAGGAACTACTTACGTCATATTCTGTAATGGGGTACCCGCAAGCACGACAGCAAAAGCATTCTGGATGGAAGAAAGTTCCCATACAACCCAAATAGTTGCCATAGCCTATTTCACGGTTGCAGCCACTACATACTCTGTACCGGTAGAACAAAGTCAATTCATGAATTGGTCCAATGACATTTCAAGTCCATAGAACAATAGTGCACAACATCTGTGGAAATTACTTTTAACTCTTCGCAACAGAACAAACTTGAGGCTCTCTGTCTATAATGACAACTTGGTTAATGACATAATGTTCCGGTTTACCAAAATCAACTTTCGCGTGCTATTTTGGCAAATCCAACATTTGTTTTCAATCACAACCAATGAAGTTAAACCCTCTGGACACCAAATACGCTGAAAATTTTCTTCTAGTTCATGATAACAGATATGCAGAGTAAGATCTGACTTGGTCAGCACTTCAGTCAATTTTGCAAAAATTTGCCAACCCGGTTATGAGGGCGAGAAAAAACCTTTCAATACTTTAGACAGCAACCTTGGAATGTTTAGTGACCTTAGTCTATCAAAGACACACTTTTGACTGCAAATTACCTAAATCTTCCTCTTGGATAATTTTGCGTACATGGGGGAGGAGGGTATGAAGGTCCATTTATACTATCATGAAGCTCCCTAGCAATGTTTTCATCGCTGTCTGTCCGCCGTCTACACCCTGGCAAATCCGCGACATGGTTAGACATTACTTTTTGGAGGGGGAGAGAGAGAGAATTATTTATTAGCCTCGGACCAAAATATGAAAGTCAAACCTACCATTTTGCCGCCTCAGATCTTCGGCCAAAGAGAGTGCAACTGCTCTGTCAAGGTCCTCTTTTTCCTTGTCACCTCTAGAGTGATCATCCTGATGATGTCATTAACAATAAGAAAGGGGTTACTGAATTCAAAAGCAAAATGCGATAAACATCACAGCATTCGAGAAAGCCAGTCGGTGGTAAATGGTGAGTAATGTACAGATGAATATTTTCCCAACAGACAGGGGCAATGATGATAAGAATAACAGGGAGTTTACCACTGATCTAGCAGGTGCGCGCCAGACCATGTTTTCGTCGCCTAGATACTGTGGACAACGACTAGACCCTCCTCGCCCAGATCCACTCTTAAAGAGTTTCCCCAGCCATCTCATAAAACGTGATTTTCTCTCTGCGTACGAAGACACAAAGTCCCCTGCTTAACATAAAAACCCGTCCAATAAACCCCCATCTATGAATAAAAAATATTGCGATACACCATTGTAAAAAAGAATAGTGTAACTCATGTCATCTATCTAGCAAGTAGCTACAGAGAACCCATACAAGAGATGGGAGGAAAAAAGAAACGGAGTCCAAACGCCAAAGTCCCATGTAAGGGACGAAAAAAGCAAGAACCCACATGGAGCTGATGGATCAATATAAACATTTCATAGAACAAGTGAGCGGCGACAAACCATTCGACCAAGAAGTACCGAAAACAGGGCCATGCTGCGTACCGTAAATACAAGGCTGGGAAAGATGGTTGACGCTGGAAGAAGGAGGAGCCATGTTGGGAACCGCGAAATATGTACAGAAAGTCGCCGGAATACGAACAGAGCAGGAGCGAAAAGGGGGGGAGGGGGGAAAAGGGAACAGGGCGGGCGGGGGGGGGAGGGCACAAAAGAAGGGGAGGGAAAGGGAGAATGGGGGTGGAGCATCGTTAAAGAAAAGATGATATGGGGGGTGGGGTGGGGCGTCGACGAAAAAGGAAAAGAGGAAAGCATCTCTTCCTCCCTTCTTTTTTTTTTTCCGGGGGCAGACAAGCGAGAACGAATTGTAAGCAAGCGGAGACGGATGAGATGGGTTGGCGAACTTCTCCTTCTGTGTGATCTTTTCCCTTTCCTTTCTTGAGGAGGAGCGTTGGGGGTGGTTGGGTGGTGATGGGAGATTCTTGGCTTGAAGAAAGCGATCAAGAAAGTAGCAGAAAGATGTCGGCCGGACAAGAATCTTCGAGGGAGGGAGGCAGGGGCGGGGAAAGCAACGGTGGACGACAGAGAATCGGAAGAGAATTGTCCGATCGCCGCAGGGACAGAGAGACAGAGAGGGAATGAATGATGTGGAAATGCGTGGAATGGAGGTGGAGAAGAATCTCTTTGGCTTTGGCTACGGCTTTGGCTCTGCTTTTTCTTGCGGCAGGGGAGGAGAGGGGTTGGGGTTCGTCCTCTGCTTTTCTTCTTCTTTCCAGGAGGAGAGGGTTCATGAAAAATTTTGAAGAATGGGGGAAGGTTTTTGCCGCGTAATCCGAGGAGCTTTTGAGGTTTGGCCGAGTCCTCTTTTTATTCTCTTAGCAGGAAGAATAATGGCACATGGATGGCATTTCAATTGATCTTGATTTCATTTTTTTCAGCTTGTGATAGATTCTCCAAGGACGTTTTGCTCATGGCCCGACATATTTAGATGCTCGTTCGCATTCTTCGATTGTTACTATGTAGACGTTTTCGTAATTCGAACGCTAATGTTGTGTATGATAGAGGCACGGCAGGAGCTTGTCGCTCACCGGGTCAAATCTAGTTGGGAAGGATATTTTAAACACGTCGCCCCTTTAGGTCAAGAGCAATGGAGATTTATTTTATTTCGAAAGTGATTGTTCAATCAACGTGGCAAAGAACGATACGATATTTATCCTTTGGTTTTTACGCTCAAATTCAAGATATTGTTTGAATTTCAAAAATCTGTGAAAAGGGTGCATGTGAGTCCACGTGTCAGCATTTGAGCTTTCTAAAAGTTTCGAGAGTTTCGGGTTTAAAAAAAATCGAAATATGCGGCTTGCAAGAGTTAAATTAGGCAAACGGGGTCTTTTCAATTTAGACAAAAACCTTGAGCGTTTGCAAAATCCCAGTATTAGAGTTTTTTCATTGCCAGATGTTTTTAAATCACATTGCACAAATTACAATTGTCGAGAGTCCCTTTTACTTTTCCTTTCGAAGTCAAGAAGATCGGTATCATTTTTTACGAGCATCAAAACCTTCTTTGAGTGGACTTACTCTACTTATCGCTTTTACTTTTCGTAAAATTTTCACCGGAGTATCAATTTGGGGTTTTTCGTAATATTAACCCTAAATCTTAATACGAAATATCGCACATGACATTTTCTTATTTTTTTATTCTTGAAAACAGTTTTTTTACTTAAGTTTTAGACGAAAATTCGTTATTAGAAAGGATAAGTAATTTTTGTATTACTTCAGAGCACGTCTAGCAAGTTTCCTCCTTTGAAAGTGATTGAAGTTGCTTAATTAGGATTGATGACTCTTTTGATACTGATCTGGTCTGGTGCCACCCCGAGTTAATTTTCACGCAACGGAATAAACCAGCTTTCTCGGTCGAACGGCCAAACAAGAGCTGTAAATAGACCTGTCAAATGAGTGGTCGGGTCACAAATGGTCCGATCCAAATTGACCCATTAATCCGTTTATAATCCATTTATGCGTACTGCAATCGATCCATACCCGACTCGACCTGTATTGTTAAAACACTTCCATATTTTTTTAAATCTAGAAAAACTCATACCTAAACTGATATGAGAGTGCGGAGTAAGCGAGTGTGAGATTGAACGAGGGCGAGAGAGATGATTTTAGTTTAAATAAGTTGTAAACCCATTTACGATCTATTTATGACCCATTTAACATTCATATTATACCTATACCTATTTATGATCCATTTATTAAATATAATTAACATATTTATAATTTATTTATTAATACATGGATTAATAAATGAGTTTATAATCTATTTTGGCAGATTTAGATGTAAATTCACTTTATCACTCCACCAACGATGGGTATCAAAACTCCAGAGTTGACATCCACGGGACAACGGAGAAAGCTTTTTGATCATGAATAGTCAATGAAAATGATGTCTAGCTGGAATTTCTTTTGAGGGAACCGAACGAGGGAATAAATATGTGATTTTTTTCTTCAGAAAGCCTTATAGTTTCTAGCTTTGACATTAAAAATAAAAATAAAAAAAGAATCATGCTTCCTCAAATGTCAATTGAGAATCAAGATATGTTCCCACTTGCTCGCGTTACTTAAAATTATTCACCGAATTAGCTGCTCCCACTTTCAGACGTCATCACGCAGGTCGCCGAATTTCTTCTGAAAATGACAAATTTTCTTTCGACATTTCCGTTTTTAGCCCCTTTTATTTATTCATTCATCCATTCGTTCATTTATCTATTTTTGGCGTCCAAGCAACGCTGTTATTGTCACTATAGTCAGATTCAAAAAGCGCCTGTTATGTATTATAGGGACATCCAAAAATATAACTCGCTCACACATATATACTATAGTATGTACTAATGAGCGAGGGTCGCGCCCTACCTCCAGATTGGGGCCTGTGGACCCTTGCCGGGGACCGGCGGGGCCTCACCCGGGGCTGGCGAGGGTCGCCGGGCTTCGGGAAGGCCCAAACAACCTCTGCCGGCCCTTCTCGGCGGCTATACCAAAGGGCATCGGCGAGAGCTTGGCCTAAGCCGTTAGGTGTGTGTTGTGGGGGTTTTTTTAAAATTATTTAGTTTATTTTTAAATTTAAGTTTTAAAAATTGAATTTGGACCAAAACAACGTCGTTTTTATTTTGTGTTTTATAATTTAGTCACGTCATCGCCACGTAGGAAAGAGAAATATTAAAACAAGTCGCGTCAGCGCCACATCAGCGTTTTTCGTTAGCAAGCCAGATAGTGTTAAACATTAGAACTCGATTAAACTAACTTGACAAGTTTTAAGACTTCATTGTAATTTTTGCAAGTTTTAGGACTCAATTGCATTTACTTTTGTGACAAGTTTTAAGATTTTCAATATCCATATATATGTTTGTGTGAGCGCGCGCACAAACAAATTTTGGCGATGGGTCATCAAACTCGCAATGTTCTTCGTATCCCACCGCAAATATAACATGTTTTTTTTATACTTATGCAGTACGATTATCCTATGCTTGTCAAATAATTTATAGGACGAGCATGTAGGAAACACAATAAGAGACTTTCTTGTTGGGGAGACAGATCTCAAGAAACCTAAAAAGGCGAAATCCAGGTTGTAGCAAAAATGAAAAGCGATCGCATTGGCTGATCTGTGTAAAGGGTAAAGAGAGATTTATTCCATGTTACAACTCACTCTCGTCGACCAAGAGCATCGCAAAGCTGGCCAACGCACTTGATTTTTGCCTCTCTACCATGTGGAAGGGGCAAAAGAAGATCATTTTTCTCTCCTTTTTTTTTTTTATTGCACTTTCTTTCTTTTCTTTTTCAATACAATCGAGAAGCACGAGCACGGAGATCCAACTAATTTGAGGCATGGCAATTTGCACCCAGTTGGAGAGATTTGTACTAGGGGTGCGCAAAACGGACCGTTCAAATCGAGAATCGCCTAGATCGGACCGAACTGACCAGTTTTGGTCTGGTTCCTGGGAGTGTCAGTCTGATTCCTGATTGCCAAAAGTGGAATTTGTGTCTAGGCGGTTTGGTTCCCGATTCCAAGGAGGAATGGGATTGACTACATATACTTTTTTTTTTAATTTCTTCAAAAAATAAGTAAAATTTGAATTAAACTATAAGAGAACTTCATTGAAATAAATTCATTGACAAAAATTAGTAAAATGTGAACTCAATTTTAATTGAACTTCATCGATATGAATTCATCAACAAAAATTAGTAAACCGTTTACTAAACCGTTAACTAAACCCCTAAGTGACCGATTCCGTTGGACCGGACCGATTCTCGATCATAGGACCAACCGGTATGGTCCACGGTTCCTCATTTTGGGAATCGGGAACCGATCACTCCTAATTCCTGAGTTCTAACATCCCAATCAACTGCGCTAACCTTAAGAGGTTTACACTTTTTTTCTTCATTTTTTTTTTTGCCTGATGAACTTGAATGTGCTCTCGAAACGCAGAGCATGTCCTCACCACCAATATGTTGGATTATTTGGTAAAAGAGCTTGCTCATCTTCTTATCGTTTTAGTTTCAAAGTCGTAAAATCATTGTGTCGATGTTGGAGATAGCACGCCCTTAAGATCGCCTGAGGAGATGAACCGATCAAGGTGTCTAAAAACTGGTCCGAGCACTACCGGACCGCTTAAACAAATAAAAAAATAATCGTGCCGTCGATCTTCATGTGTCCTTATGTTGCATGTCAATTTATGACGGGTCGTTCTTGAACTGAATATTTCTTTGGCAATCGATTCCAATTACAAAAATTCAAAGCCAGCACCTCGGGATCGATAAGAGCGAGAACATTTAAGGACCAAAGGTCATAGAAGCCAGAATTCGTTGGTCGGGCTGGGCCGGGTTAGGCCCAACTTACAGTCTATGGATACAAAAATTATTATGCCCGTTGCAATAGTGTTGCCCAAGCTTGGCATGAAGAAAGCGCAAGCCTAAGATTTAGTAGGCTCGAGTCTCAAACCGGTTTTTTTTTTTTTTTTTAGGGGTCAGATTCGAACCGGGTTTGACAAGTAAAAAAAAAAAACGAAAAAAAACCATTCTGAAAACCGTCTGAATAGAGTGCGGGAAAGATAAATTTAGTGGTTAAATGGAGCCAAGCTATTAGGGAGTAATTCGGGCTCAACTCAATGATTATTTGAGATTGACTCGCCCTATTTTGAATCGAGCTCGAGTTTGAAGCACTTAATTATCTTCTTGAAAATCGATTTCTAACTCACCAATACTATGCTCGATACACTTGCGAGCCTAAACGGGCTTCTATGTGAATTGCAGAAGAGACAAAGAAGGCGCTAAAATCACATATTTAACCCTCATAAACATATATGTAGGGAAAATGTTCGAACTTATAAAATTCGAGGTCGTGTTCACATATAACTCATATTACAATCGAATTGAATTTGAGTATTTGAATTTTTTCCTGGAGTCGAGCTCGAGCCTAATTCGGACAGTTTCCTTTTACGTGACATTCTTTTTTCTTTTGCAAATGCACGTTAAGAATGTAATTTTTGTTGCGGCATGAGTATGTCTAATTCTGCGATAAGCACTTAAAGATAGCAAGGGGAGTGAACTCATGGAGCAGTTTCAGCACCAGATCCATCTTCCCTTTTTAGCTTACGACTTCAATAACATTCAATCTTGAAATGAAGCTCCCTTTCGGTTCTTTCAACTAATTTTTTTGACAGATCCACGATGAAATATGCTTCTGAACAAAAGAGAAAAGCCTGCCAAGAAAAGATCTTAAGAGAGAGGCTCAATGAAAGGCTCAAAGAAAAGATCGAGCATTGCATGGCATGAGTTTCCAACAATATGTTGCAGCGCATCCTCCTCTTTACTTGGCAAGCACCAAAACCAGGCTGTACCCTTTAAATCACCCGATGCCAATGTACCAAAAATGCAGCCATTTCCGCTGGATATATTTCAAGGTCATGTCCTCCCGCCTCCCGCTGCGTAAGTTCAATCTAGACGGTGGTAGATCGTGTTTTTGCCTCGGTATCGAATCTTGAAGGTGCGTGCATAGACTTACAAGTTCGGTTTTCTTACATCGAGTGCAAAGTCGATGTCATCCTATGGCGTTAAAATTGTTTGTCTGGAAGAAGGAATCGAATCTGTAAATACACAGGCTTGCTGAACAGAGAGCTTGAGGACGAGGGCTATGCAATTGATCTCTACAGGACTGGTTTCGACCTTTTCATATTAATGAGAAGAGATAAGGATATTCTTGAATATTTCAAACTGAGCTATCAAATTGTTCACTGTGTCTTTGATGAGGAACCTCCAACTGCTGTGGAGCATATTGAAATGTTAGGAAGGCCGTCTAGTCGGCATTGTCGTTTCGAAAGGCAAGTTGAAACTCCTCGAATTACATTGGAATGATTAATTAGAGATGAAATTAAGGAAGAATAAATATTAGGGGGTTAGTACCGAAATATTGTTAAACCTATTGCATTAGTACAGATTCAGTCCTAAACATTTCAATTGGACCAATTCAGTCCTAAACCTTTTTACATTGGTACCAATTTAGTTCATCCGGCCAATTTAGGCCGGAAATCGCTGACATGGATTCCGGCCGTCCTACATGGCCCGGCCAGCGTTGACATGGTTAATAATATTTTAATAATTTTTTGAAATTTTTTTACTGTTCTTTTCTTTTGTTTTATTTTTTTTTCCTTCATTTTGGCCAGTGAGGGTCAACGAGGGCTTGCGAGCCAAAAAGCGCTCACCCCCCCTGGGCGAGGTAGCCCTCGCAGCCCTGCTGGCTTTGGGTGAGTGCCGCCGGCCAAAATGAAGAAAAAAAAGAAAGAAAAAAAAGTAAAAAATTTCAAAATATTATTTAAAAATGTCAAGGTTAGCGCTAGTCATGCCTTGTAGGACGGCCGGCATCCATGTCAGCGATTTTCGACTCAAATTGACCGGATAAACTTAATTGGTTCAAATGTGAAAATGTGTAGAACTAAATCGGTTTAATTGAAATGTTTAAAACTGAATTGGTACTAATACAATAGGTTTAGAACTTTTTCAATACTTTTCCCATATAAAGGGTGCAACGTGGTTTGAGTATCATTGGACAATATTGACATAGACTCATAGTACTTGGCTGAAGGATTCAACATATATTTTAGGGTCAAGTCAATGAAGTTCTAAAACGACTGTGTTGAGTTAGCAAACTAGTTGGTTTATAGTGTCATCGTCGTTCTTAATCTTGAAACTAAATTACGACGGCTTTTCTTAAACTCAAAGCTAACTTAGTATAATTGTAAAGAACAAGATGTGACTTAAAGATCTTTTTTTTTTTGCTAGAAGACTTAAAGATCTATTAAGTACATACTAATGAGCGCAAACAATTACAATTTTTTTGGTTGGATCGAATCCACATTACGGTATAATTACAAGTCCTATATTTCTCATGTAAAGGAAATTTCATCTCTTAAACGAGGAATACATACGACAAGATTCATCAAGACTTTCATATTAAGGTCATAAAAAACGTAGGAATACCAAACAAGCAACAAGCACAATCGGATGCATTCCAAGACAGCAATACATAATATCAAAGCCAACTTTTAGTAGGAGAAACTCCCAGTAATGGAGCCGATAACAACCTTCGCAGCGATCGTGGCCAGGATCGAGTAAATCCTCTTCCGGTTGTCGCTTCCGCTCGTGGACATCGACGCTCCGCCGTTGATTGGCATGGCGTTATAGATAGTTTGATAGATGACCGGTTGATATTGATAACAGTAAGAAGGAGAAGCAGTAGGAACTCCCACGACGTAACCATACTGCCTGTGATGATACGTAGACGCTGGAGCAGTTACGATCTGGCGACCTGCCACTGGCTCTTGGAACGCGCACTCCAGATGGAGGTCGACGTGGCACGGCTAGCAGGTGTACCGCCAGGAACCGCACACGTGCCGACAGACCGCGCAATTCCGTGGCTCCGCAGGCCTGAGTGTGAGGAGGTGGTGGGGGTGCGCGGCGTGCGCCACCGACGCTGGCAGCTCCGTGCATAGCGGGTGGACGTCGAACCTGCACGCCCTGCACGTGTAGTACAGGCCATTAACGATATCGCCACAGAGGTCGCAGACCATGCCGAGGGACTGGTTGACGAGGGCGAGCGGGTGGGCCGGGTGGAGGTGGGAGGAGAGTGTCTGGTGGCACGTGGCGCAGCGTTCGTGGAGGTCAAAGGTGCAGGCGGAGCAACGGTAACGCTTTCCCTGGCCGAGGGCGTTGCAGCCATCGCACACGAACTCCTTGGCGATGTAGACCTCATGGAGAGGGTAATGGGGATGCAAGAAGTGGCGCAACGTCTTGGAAGCTTGTGGTGGTATCGCTTGAGCTTGAGAGGTCGTCAATGGTGCCATGCTCTCTGTCTCTCTCTCTGATACACTTATCAAGAACTTGAGATCACAACATTGGGATTGACGGAGGAAGAAGACTTCGGTGAAGTCTTCTCTCTATCTTTTTGTTTGTTTGTTGTTGTTCTAATGGGCCTTCTTTTTATTTTAAACGCTCAAGAAAGCTCTCCATTTGTCTGTCCTTGCGAGAGTGGCGATCTTCGTATTATATTTTTTGTGTCGAGAAAGGGACAGGGGAACTCAAACTGCTTCTAGTCATCCTAGGGTTTCCACCTTTTTTTTTTCTGGTTCTATTCTATTTCTATACTGGGCCAACCTCGAGTGGTTTAGGGTTTCCACTTCCAGTTGGTTGGCTTTTGAGCTCTTTTATTATCACAAGGACAATGGTGGAAGTACATATTCAGTCTTTCACATATATGTATACTCGTCGGTTGAGTTTCCATCTCTCTTAGTTAACATTCAATGGTGGAGCGAAAAAATTGAGATAAAGGGAGATTATAGAAGATTCTTAATCATGTTGATATTTATAACTTTTTCTTTTGCAAATTTTCATTTTCTAAAAATATGAGGAGTCTTTGGATTTAGAGGGCAGAGGCCACCGGTAGGTAACCCCGCTTAGGTTCGTCACCGGTAACATTTTTTTACCCAAAATGATTTTTGGGTCACAAAAAATTTCAAACTGGTACATTTGTAACAAATTTATCGCAAACTCATTTTTGGGTCATAAAAAACCCCAAGCTAATACACCTATGATAACTTTTACCCCAAACTGATATGGATTTCCACGTGAACTTGTTATGTCAATTGAGTTATTATTATGTGTCATCCAGCTGAGCAATTTTAATGTAAATTCAGTGGAAACTAACAGAGGGTAAATATGTTATAAGTGTACCAGTTTGGGGTTTTTGGTAACCCAAAAACTAGTTTGGGGTAGATTGTCATAGATGTACATTGGGTTTTTAGTGACTCAAATATTAGTTTAGGGTAAATTTGTTATAAGTGTATGGGTTTAGGTTTTTTCGTGGGAATAGAGTACGGGAAAGATAGATTTAGGGGTGAAATGGAGCCAAGCTATTAAAGAGTAATTCGGGCTCGACTCAATGATTATTTGAGGTCGACTCGACTTTTTTGAATCGAGCTCGAGCTTGAAGCACTTGAGCATCTTCTTGTCGAGTCAAGTTCAAACTTACTAATAATTTGCTCAATATAGTTGCGAGCCTAATCGAGCTTCTATTTTTCTAGGTGAAGAATATTTTGCAGAATAGACAAAGAAAACCTTAAAATCACATATTTGACCTTCATAAACATATATGTAGGAAAATGTTCAAACTTATTAAATTCGAGGACAAGTTCACATATAACTCTATTACAATCGAAGTGAGCTTGAGTATTTGAGTTTTCTTCTCCAGTCGAGCTCAAGCCTAATTCGGACAGTTTCCTTTTACGGGACATTCTTTTTTCTTTTGCAAATGCACGTTAGGAATGTAATTTTTGTGGCGGTGTGACAATGTCTTGTGAGGGGGTTGGGGCCGACATAAGGTGATGTTCATAGCTGGCCTAATTCTGCGATAAGCACATGAAATCGCAAGGGCAGTTGATTCATGGAGCAGTCCCAGTACCAGATCCACCTTTTCTTTTTAGTTAAAAATAGCTATGTTAGCATAACAATTTTTGGGCCACTGTGAGGAGTAACGGTATTTTGTGAGTCATAAATTCTTGAAACTCCCTTTCCGTTCTTTCAACTAATTTGTTTGACAGATCCCCGACAAAATATGCTTTTGAACAAAACAGAAAAGCCTGCCAAGAAAATATCAGAAGAGAGAGGCTCAATGAAAGGCATGATCCCATATTCTGTTCTGGATGGAAAGAAACATTGATATTGTCCTCTTCCCTATTCAGGTTTTCAGAATTTATGTTCAGTTAATAACTCCGGAGGACTTGCAAATAGTAGTAGAGCTATCATCCTCGGTGAACTATCATCGTCGGTGCCGCGCACAGAAGCAGAGAAGCTCGAGAAAAAGAATGAATCGTTAACTACAGTTCCATCTGAAGGTTATAGGTACATATTTACCCTACTTTTCATGTCTGTGTATAGCTTCTTCAAATGTCCTTTTAAATTCCCTTTTGGTTAGATACGACTAAGAGCAAGTGACGGAATGATGCTTCACTTTCTGCGATGTGTGAAGGCTTCAAGATGCGCTCCTTTTGTTAAACGGCGAAGTTTATAATGAAACACACTGAAAAGATAAAACTCATGGAAGAGAAGCTAAAGGTTAAAGTGGAGAAGGAGAGACAAGATCGAGCATTGCATGGGATGAGTTTCCAACCCTATGTTGCAGCGCATCCTCCTCTTTACTTGGCAAGCACCAAAACCAGGCTATACCCTTTAAATCATCCAATGCCAATGTGCCAGTAATGCAGCCTTTTCCGCTAGATATATTTCAAGACTATGTCCTCCAGCCTCCCGCTGCGTAAGTTCAATCTAGATGGTGGTAGATCGTGTTTTTGCATCGGTTTCGAGTCTCGAAGGTGCGCATAGACGTAAAGTCCAAGTTCAGTTTTCTTACATCAAGTGCAAAGTCGATGTCGTCTTTTGGGTTTAAAAGTGTTGGTCTGGAAGAAGGAATTGAATCTGTAAATACACGGGGTTGCTATGGAAATATTAAGGGATCCGGCTGGTTCCGGTCATCATCTAGCGCACCGAGATTCCGATAAGGCGAAATCTTCCTTTTCTTTCTAATTAGAGTTGGCTTGTAGCTTGCTGAACAGAGAGCTTGAGGATGAAGCAATGCAATTGATCTCTACAAGACTAGATTCGAACTTCTCATATTATTGAGAAGAGATAAGGATATTCTTGAATATTTCAAACTGAGCTATCAAATTGTTCAATGTGTCTTTGGTGAGGAACCTCCGACGGCAGTGGAGCATATTGATATGTTAAAAAGGCCGTCTAGTCGGCATTGTCGTTTCGAAAGGCAAGGTGAAACTCCTCAATTAAAATCGGGATGATTAATTAAAGATGAAATTAAGGAAAAATAAATATAAAGGGGGAAAACTACCTAAAAAGTACTAAACCTATTTCAGTGGTACCAATTCAGTCCTAAACATTTTAGTTGAACCAATTTAGTCTTAAACTTTTTCACATTGGTACCAATTCATTCCATTCGGCCAATTTATACCGGAAATTGCTGATGTGGATGCCGGTCGTCTCACATGGCCCGGCCAACGTTGACGTGGTTAATAATATTTTAATAATTGTTTGAATTTTTTTTATTGTACCTTTCTTTATTTTTTTATTTTCTTTTTTTTTCCTTTATTTTGGCTAGTGAGGGTCGGCGAGGGCTTGTGGGCCAGCAACCCCTCGCCGGCCACGGGTGAGGTGGCCCTCGTAGCTCGACCGCTTTGGGTGAGTACCCTCTCCAGTGGCCGGTGACCCTAGCCAGCCAAAATGAAGAAATAAAAGAAATAAAAAATAAAACAAAAAAAAAATTCAAAAAATTATTAAAATATTTTTTAAAAATGTCTAGATTAGCGCCAGCCGTGCCATGTAGGACGGCTGGCATCCACGTCACCGATTTCTGGCCTAAATTGGCAGAATGAACTTAATTGGTTTAAATGTGAAAATGTTAGGAACTAAATTAGTCAAATTAAAAAGTTTAGAACTGAATTGATACCAATATAATATGTTTAGAACTTTTTTGGTACTTTTCCCATATAAAGGGTGCAACGTGGTATGAGTATCATTCGACAATATTGACACAGACTCATGGTACTTTGCTGAAGGATTCAACATTCATTTTAGGGTCAAGTCAATGAAGTTCTAAAACGACGGTGTTGAGATAGCAAATTAGTTGATTTATAGTGTCATCGTCATCGTTCTTAATTTTTAAACTAAATTACGGCCGTCTTTCTTAAACTCAAAGCTAACTTATTGTAATTGTAAAGAACAATATGTGACTTAAAGATCTATCAAGTACATACTAATGAGTGTAAATGACTACAATTATTTTGGTTGGATCGAATCCACACGACGGTAATTAGATAAATCACAAAATTTATTGCACACGGATGATTTTGACAAGTCCTATATTTATCATGTAAAGGAAATTTCATATCTCAAACGAGGAAAACATACGACAAGATTCATCAAGACTTTCTTATTAAGGTCATGAAAAACAGTGGAATGCCAAACAAGCAACAAGCACAATCAGATGCATTCCAAGACAGCAATACATACGGTCAAAGCCAACTTTTAGCAGGAGAAACCCCCAGTAATGGAGCCAATAACAACCTTCGCTGCGATTGTGGCCAGGATCGAGTAAATCCTCTTCCGGTTGTCGCTTCCGCTCGTGGACATTGACGCTCCGCCGTTGATTGGCATGGCATTATAGATGGTTTGATAGATGACCGGTTGATATTGGTAACAGTAAGAAGGAGAAGCAGAAGGAACTCCCACGACGTAACCATGCTGCTTGTGATGATACGTAGACACTGGAGCAGTTACGAACTGGCGACCTGCCACTGGCTCTTGGAACGCGCACTCCAGATGGAGGTCGACGTGGCACGGCTCGCAGGTGTACCGCCAGGAACCGCACACGTGCCGACAGACCGCGCAATTCCGTGGCTCCGCAGGCCTGAGTGTGAGGAGGTGGTGGGGGTGCGCGGCGTGCGCCACCGACGCTGGCAGCTCCGTGCGTAGCGGGTGGACGTCGAACCTGCACGCCCTGCACGTGCAGTACAGGCCATTAACGGTATCGCCACAGAGGTCGCAGACCATGCCGAGGGACTGGTTGACGAGGGCGAGCGGGTGGGCCGGGTGGAGGTGGGAGGAGAGCATCTGGGGGCACGTGGCACAGCGTTCGTGGAGGTCGAAGGTGCAGGCGGAGCAACGGTATCGCTTTCCATGGCCGAGGGCGTTGCAGCCATCGCACTCGAACTCCTTGGCGACGTAGACCTCATGGAGAGGGTGATGGGGATGCAAGAAGTGGCGCAACGTCTTGGAAGCCTGTGGTGGTATCGCTTGTGCTCGAGAGGTCGTCAATGGTGCCATGCTCGCTCTCTCTCTCTCTCTCTCTCTCTCTCTCTGATATACTTGTCAAGAACTTGGAGATCACAATAATGGGATTGACGGAGGATGAAGACTTTGATGAAGAAGACTTTGATGAAGTCTTCGCTCCATCTTATTGTCATTCTAGGGTTTCCACTTCCAGTTGGTTGGTTCTTGAACTCTTGGAGGACAATGGTGGAAGTACATGTTCAGTCTTTCATTTGTATATACTTTCAGCTTCGGTTGAGTTTCCAGCTCTCTTGGGTTAACAACCCATGGTGGATGGAAAAAAAATTGATATAAGAGGTGACTATAGAAGACTCTTAATCATGTTGATATTTATAATTTTTTCTTTTGCAAATCTTTCTTTTTTTACAAAATACGATAAATTTTTGGATCTAGAGGGCGGAGGCCACCGGTAGGTTGCCTCTTATTAAGGAACGAAGATCTGATGTCTTCTATTCTAGTCTCCTGTGTACTATGTTTTGTTGTACAAATTCGGATTGGCATAAAATAGAATAAGTTAAAAAAATGGGTTGATATCACGAAAAATCCTAAAATAGTATATATGTGATAAATTTACCCAAAATCGATATGGATTTTCACGTGAAACTTGCCATGTTGATTGAGTTATTGTCATGTATCATCCAGCTCAGTAATTTTACAGTAAATTGGGTTAATTAAAAAAAAAAGCACCAACTTTAGGTCGAGAGACAATTCTGGCTCGAACTTTTTTTTGTCCCTTAAAAAAGCATCAACTTTAGGTCAAGGGACAATTTTGGCCTGAACTTTTTTTTGTCTCGTAAAAAAGCACCAACTTTCACTTAAATCCCAAATCTAGCTCTCATTAACTTAGAATCATTGATTATTTAACTTGACTATTCTACCTTAGCAATAATCCACGTGGCTTGCTGACTGGATTTAAAGCAATATTCATTATCTTATTCTCTAAGTCACAATTTGAAGAATAACGGTGAAACTGTTCGTTTCCTTTACTTCATCGACAAGTAAAACATATCTCTAGATTGAATCTCTCTGGCCAAACGTAATCTGAAACTGACCATCGCCTGTCGACAGACGCCATAGACGAGATTCGCCAAGCTCACCACCATAACCTTCTTTCTCAAACAATGGTGAAAGTCAACAGGGGGCCAGATTTGGGATTATGATGAAAGTTGGTGATTTTTTATGAGACAAAAAAAAATTAAGGGCAGAATTGTCACTAGATCTAAAGTTGGTGCTTTTTTACGGGACAAAAAAAAGTTCAGGCAAGAATTGTCCATCGACCTAAAGTTGGTGCTTTTTTATGGAACAAAAAAAGTTCAGGACAGAATTGTCTCTCGACCTAAAGTTGGTGCTTTTTTTTTTTTGAATTAGGCCTAGTAAATTTGACAGAAACTAATAGAGGGTAAATATATTATGAGTATACCAATTTAGGATTTTTTGTAACCTAAAAATTAGTTTGAGATAAATTTGTCACAAATATACCAGTGAGTTTTTGGGGACCCGAATATTAGTTTATGGTAAACTTGTCACAGTTATACCGATTTAGGATTTTTCGTGATATTAATCCAAAAAAAAAAAATCCTCGGAGTATCCTCTCGATTGTAGAAAATTCATCATATGTTTGATGCAACTTAATATAGGATTGAAAGTTTTTGAAAATCCCACTTTCTCAGCGCAATCTCCCGCGGAATCTTCATTCTTTATTTAATTTTTTTTAAATTAATTTTGATTCCTCAAATAATTAATTTGAAAATTTTTCTGTTTTACCCTGTAAATCGACTTCGTGGATCCTCATACTGACTTGCGACATTAGCATTAGGCCTACACAACACAGATCCTTTCTTAAGCCCAATGGCCCACGGTTCGATTAAAACTTCCATCTCCGGATTGGATTTAGGTAGTCTCGACTCTCGATCCGATCGAACAGGTTAAACCGGTCCAGACCGTTGACTCGTCCCCCTCTTCCCGCACTAGTCCAGTCACCTCTAACCGCAGTGGACCATATTGAAATGTTAAAAAAAGTCCGTCTAGTCGGCATCATCATTTCTTAAGGCAAGTTGAAACTCCTTAAATTAATCGGAATGATTAATTAAAGATGAAATTAAGGAAGAATAAATAAATAAATAAAGGGCGCAGGTGGTATGAGTATCATTTGACAAAATAGAATCAGATTCGTGGTACTTTGGTTGAAGGACTCAACATTCATTTCAGGTTCAAGTCAAGCCAATGAAGTTCCAAAACGACCGTGTCGAGTTAGCAACCTGGTTGGTTTATAGTGTCGTCGCCATCGTAGATGGTCATCGTTCATAATTTAGAAACTAAATTACGACCATCTTTCTTGAACTTGAAGCTAACTTATTAAGATCATAATGAACAAGATGTGACTTAAAAATCTAAAGATGATTTATTGAGTAAATACACATAGATCTAAAGATGATTTATTGAGTATATACTAATGAGCGCAAACAAATATGAGTTCTTTGGTTGGATCGAATCCACCCCACGGTAATAAGATAAATCACAATATTTATCGCGCATGGACGATCTTGACAAGTCATATATTTCTCATGTAAAGGAAATTTTTTCTCTCAAACGAGGAATACATATGACAAGATTCATCAAGACTTTCGTATTAAGGTCATGAAAAACAGTGGAATGCCAAACAAGCAACAAGCACAATCAGATGCATTCCAAGACAGCAATACATACGATCAAAGCCAACTTTTAGCTGGAGAAATCCCCAGTAATGGAGCCGATAACAACCTTCGTAACAGCCTTCACCGCGACTTTGGCCACGATCGAGTAAATTTTCTTCCGCTTGTCGCTTCCGCTCGTGGACTTCGACGCTCCGCCGTCGATTGGCATGGCGCTATAGATAGGTTGATAGACGACAACGGGTTGATATGGATAGAAGGAAGAAGGAGAAGCAGCAGAAGGAACTCCCGCGACGTGACCATACTGCCTTTGATCATACGTAGACACTGGAGCAGTCGCGATCTGGCCAACTGCCACTGGCTCTTGGAACGCGCACTCCAGATGGAGGTCGACCTGGCACGGCTCGCAGGTGTACCGCCAGGAATTGCACACGTGCCGACAGACCGCACAACTCCGCGGCTCCGCAGGACTGAGCGTGAGGAGGTGGTGGGGGTGCACGGCGTGCTCCACTGACGCCGGCAGCTCCGTGCACAGCGGGTGCACGTCGAACCTGCACACCCCGCACGTGTAGTACAGGCCGCTAACGTCCTCGCCGCAGAGATCGCAGACCATGCCGAGGGACTGGTTGACGAGGGTGAGCGGGTGGGCCGGGTGGAGGTGGGAGGGGAGCGCCTGGGGGCAGGTGGCGCAGCGTTCGTGGAGGTCGAAGGTGCAGGTGGAGCAACGGTAACGCTTTCCGTGGCCGAGGGCATTGCAGCCGTCGCACTCGAACTCCTTGGCGAGGTAGACCTCATGGAGAGGGTGATGGGGATGCAAGAAGTGGCGCAGCGTCTTGGAAGCTTCTGGTGGTATCGCTTGAGCTTGAGAGGTCGTCAATGGCTCCATGCTCTCTCTCTCTCTCTCTCTCTCTCTCTCTCTCTCTGTGCCTGATATTTACTGATCAAGAACTTGGAGATCACAATTGGGGTTGATGGAGGAAGACGACTTCGTTGAAGTCTTCGCTATATCTTATTGTTTGCTGTTGTTTTCATGGCCTTCTCCTTCTTTATTCTAAACACTCAAGAAAGCTCTCTGTTTCGCTGTCCCTGCGACAATGGCGTGTCTTCGTATTTATCTCTTTTGTGTCGAGAAAGGGACAGGGGAACTCAGGCTGTTTCTGGTCATCCTAGGGTTTCCACTTTCTTTTTTTTTTTGGGTCATGAAGGGTTTCCACTTCCAACTGGTTGAACTCTTTCATCATCCCGGCGGGCGCTGGTGGAAGTACATGTTCAGTCTTTCGGTTGAGTTTCCATCTCTCTTGGTTAACATTCCATGGTCGACCCAGGAAAATTTGATATAAGGGCGGACTATAGAAGATTCTTGATCACGTTGATATTTATAAATTTTTATTTCTTAAAAATACGATAAATATTTGGATCTAGAGGGTGGAGGCCATTGGTAGGTAGGCTTGCTTAGGTTCATCACCGGTAACACTTTTTTGATTGAACGATAACAGTATGGTGATAGTAGAGAGTAACGTGTAAAAAGGTAAAACCGGTATATGACCGACCGGCTCTTATTAACGGGACGAAGATTTGCCATCTTCTATTCTAGTCTCATGATCTCGGTACACTAGTTGGAGACAAGGCGACAAAACATATAAGTTTGCATTTGGTCGTCCGAATTCAGATCGGGACAAAATGAAATACGATGGGGAGAAAAGAAAATCCTTCGAATAGCATTCGGATTGTAAAAAATCCATCATATGTTTGGTGATGCAACCTACGATAAAATCGAAAGTCTTTGAAAATTTCACTTGTCCAGCGCAATCTCCCACGGAATCTCCATTCTTCATTTATTTATTTTTAAAATTTATTTCGATTGCCCAAACAATTAATTTTGAAATTTTTTTCGCTTTACCCTGTAAAATCGACTTTACGTGGATCCTCAAAACTCACGGTTGCGACATTAGCATTAGGCCTACGCGACACAGATCCCTCTCAAGCCCAACGGCCCACGGGTTCGATCGAAACTTCCATCTCCGGTTCGGGTTCAGGCAGGCTCGGCTCTCGGGCCGGTCGAACAGATTAAACCGGTCGGGACTGTTGACTCGTCCGCCCCCCTCTTCCCGCGCCGGTCCAGTCCCGCGCCCCTCCCCTCTTTCTCTCGGAGTCATCGTCGTTGCGTCGGAACTACGTTCTAGGGCTCGTTCTTCCAGCAACAATCGCAGAGAAAAAATCCCCACCAAAAATCTCCATCATCCGTCACGCGATGGCACTCCTCCGTACCTGATCGAGCGCCCCTCTTCTTCGCCGATCTCCTCGCGGCTCCGTCGCTTCCCTCGCATGGAGGCTTCCTACACCAGCCTCCCCACCAGCCACCTGCTGGGCTCCGTCCCCGTACGGCCTCCCCTTCTTCCTCCGGCTTCTCTCCTCGTTTTCTTTGTCGATGACGGCGTGGGTCGGTTCCGCGTCGTGTTTTTCTGGGCGTTTGATCGGCATTTCCTGCATCGACTCGACTCCTTTACGGAATCGATGAGTGGATGTAGTGCAGTCCTCGTGTGCGCGCGTGATCTTGCTTGTTGGTTTGTTGCTGATTTTTTTTCTCTTGCGCATGTTTTGGTTGCATCGCGTGGCGAATTGAGACGGAAGTGATGTGTTGCTCTGTAGTTCAGCTTCGTTTAACAAGGAAAGAGTGGGTTTTTACTCGGTTCTTGTTTGAGATAGCGATAAACTAGTTAGAGCCCTCGCGCTCGCTTGCAATGTGAGTTCGTTTGGAGAGGAAGATCTTTTGCTTTTCTGTTGGTGTAGCGTCCGTATTTTCGAATCTTTAATCAATTGGGACGTAATGGGGGGGATCTATGGTGAGCTGCTGTCCCTAAGGCTTCCTCCTCAATCTGCTTTATAAGGCCCGGTGCCTCGCAGCTGTTTACTTTGGTCCATAAACACAATGGTCTTCGATGGCAGTGTTATGAATAGTTTGTTAAAATTTCAATCCACATGAGGTACATTTGCTCGGGTGGGGTAAATTGATTGGTTTGTATCTTTCTCTGGTCCCATTTGCATTTTGTCCGTAAGTACAATTCGGGATGGTACGAGGATAAATGAACCTGTCAAGACTCCATTTGCTCATTCTGACAAATTTGTAGTGCTCATTCCGGCAGTTCTTTGTGAGGGGGGCAACTCTTTTGGCTTTGTTAGCGTAACATTTTCTCACCTTCTCCATATCTTGTGAAAACGGACTCTATTCTTTATGTGCTGTTGCTGAATCTGTTTGTTCTTCCTTCTTTGGATTTGTGATCTTTACCCTTTTGATCGTAACCCTCTTCTTCACTTTTCTATTAACCTACAATATGCAGGCTGTTGTTGATGATGCATCAAGTACCATTAACTATGAAGGTATGAGGTTTATTACTCAAATCCTTTGAGCCAAGCGAATGTCATCTATTCTACTCATGACAGTCTCACGCTGATATTATCTGTTGTTCTGCCTTGATCTTTCTGCAGTCCCAGAAGCAAATATGCAGACTTTTCCTCCAAATAATGGAGGAGACAGAGGGCGTGGCTATCAATCTCTTGCAGGTCCAAGTGGTATGGCGAGGCTATCAGTATTCTTGTATTTTGCATTTGGATGTTCACCTTACGAAATGGTCGGAGAGTAGTATCCAGCATTTACGTTTCTTACAGACTTGAGGTTTGATTGTTTAAGATGTGGATATGAGATGAGTTAGTCACACCATTCCTCTGAATTGTTTGCCAAAGTTAAATCGATTATGTGATCATTGAATCATGGACTTAAATTGTTTTTTACCATGGTTTGTAGATTATGATTGTCGATATTATGTCAATCTTTTCGTCAGTCTGACTTGAAGAATGCCAATTGTGAACTCTATTTTATTTTCTTATTGTTAATTGACCCATTAGTGGTCGTCGACCAAAAATAAAGTCAAATAGTGTCAGATTTCTCTTAGCATCTCTCATCTAGAATGGCATAAATCTGTTCCTCTGGAGCATAATGGCAATTCATGTCAAATGAGCAAATTCAAATTCTCTGTGTCTGCTGTGCAAATGTGATAGTTTGATCCTTATCCAGGTTCTTCCGTCCTTGTCTCTTTATCTTCTCTTGCTGTTTACAATCATTTTGCACATAAGACACCGCCTAGGTTCACCTGAGACAAAAGAAGAAAAGGTTGATGTCACAGCTTTCTGCATCGTGTTTAAGGTCCATGGTGCATGCAACATGACCCCAGTTCCCGGGAGCTACTTTTCAGTGACCCATGTTAGTTTAGTCTCGTCTTCTTGATGAGATGGAAAGTGTATGGGATTGTGTTGGTACTCACCGTAATTTAATAGGGTGGGGGCTTTATCTTGCAAATTGCCTTTTCTTGTCCGGGTTTCATCAATTTGGCATCCTCTGGTTACTGCCAGAATGTTTGTCTAGCTATGGTTGAACCTATGTGTTAACTTCGCTCTTATGATCTCTTTTTGATATCAGTAATGAGTTTTCTTTTAGTCAACAATTGATATTAGCAAAGTCTTACCAACTTTTCTTGCAGAGACGTTTGAACAACAACCCGCAAGCAACTGGAGAGGAGTCTTTAGCATCTCATCCTATACACAATACTTCAATGTTGATACAGATGTAGTGTTAAACAGATTGCTGGGTTCATTGTTCCCAACTAGTGGGGATTTTTTCAGCAAGATCGATGCAAATCCAGATCTGTGAGTCCTTCCCAATTGTTGTTTATCTTATCTTTATTTTTTCATTAATTCCTCTGTTGTGCCTTTTGGTCCTTTTGTTGGTGGGGAGTGTATACAAATTTTCTGTTGAAACAGATTAATAATTGTCTCCAATTTGCATTGAATAAACGAGAAGAAAAGAAAAGGACATCCGGTTCCCTAATATGCCATGCATTGTAGAAAATTAACCGCTGTGCAGTATCTTGATTTGTTGAATTGTGAGAATTCTGTCTATTTCACACTTTCACTTCCATCATCATAAACGATTATGCTGGGAAATGTTTAGATGAGTACCTAACGGCATGTTGTTAAATTCTTATATTGGTTAGATATGGGCCTATCTGGATCTCCACTACATTGATCTTTGTGATCGCTGCCCTTGGAAACTGTGCTACCTACCTCATGGAAAAGAATTCTGACACAAGTACTTCATGGAGCTTCGATGTTGGTTATGTGAATCTTGCAGTGTGGTCAATTTATGGTTATGCCATTGTGGTTCCGCTAGGATTCTACTTCTTGCTTCAGTATCTTGGATCGAATGCCAGCCTTATACGGTTTTGGTGCCTGTGGGGATACTCGCTCTTCATCTTTATTCTGAGCTCTGTAAGTGTCTGTTTATATACTGTTTAATGGAGCATCCATCAATCCCTCCCAGCAGCTTTTCTCTAACATCTCGACTCTTTTGAAACATTTTTGTGGAATAATTTTGCCACAATTTGCTAGAGTTAGGACTTAAATAACTGCTATAGATAATTAGACCTCTTTTGGAACTCATTTGATATGCTAGATGAATTTTCCGAGGCTTATTCAGAGAAGAACATGTTCTCCTCATATGATATATCTCTCGTTTGACTATACATTATATTTTAGAATCTTGACAGCTAATCTTCCTGTTTCACACATCCCTATTCCATTGCTTTGACTGGGATATCCGCGCCATTACTTGTAAACATCTGTTCTTAATGAGGAAGGGGAGCCTTGGCGCAATGGTAAAGTTGTTGCCGTGTGACCTGGAGGTCACGGGTCTTGGAAACAGCCTCTTGCAAAAAATTGAAAGTTAACGCTGCATACCACTGGACCCTAAGTGATCCGACCCTGGTCGGATCCCGTGCACTGTGGGAGCTTCCTGCTCTGGTTGCCCCTTTTTCTTCATGAGACTTATTGATTGTTCCGACCATATAAATGATTCCTGTGCCTTTGGTGCACTCTTGGAGGTTTTTACAGAACAATGGCTAAATGTTATTTACTCTGCGTAGCCTGAACTTATGTAAACCCTTGACGGTTGTCTAGGCTAGTATATGAATATGCAACTTGTTATCTGGTTAAGTTATCTAACACAAGCAATATTTTTTCTTCCAGTTTCTTTTGTTGATTCCGCTTGAGCCTCTCCGTTGGATCATCATACTCCTTGTTGGTGGGGCCTCGGCTTGCTTTGTTGCTTCGAACCTCAGGTCATACATGGAAGGGAACGATCTTACAATCGTAGTGGTAGCTGCGTTTTTACTGCAGATGGCTCTAGCAATTTTCTTCAAGGTCTGGTTCTTCGCATGAAGACCCAGAAAGATATTTCTCAAGGATCAAATCCCGTCTACTTCGACTTTTGTCTCTAGTGACATTTGATCCGCTGTCTAGCTGACTGGATCTCAACCGGCGACGAGTCTCTTTGAGTTTCCAGGTCATTTAAAGAGTGGCATTGTATTGTATCGATGATCTTGCTGCATTGAGTCTGAGAGGATGAAATGTTGAGGACGAACCCTTTAATACTTCCACGGAGATAGGGCTTTGTATTGCATTTTCCATTGTTTCTCATCAGCTATTAGGGTGATAGTTTTGGCCGGCTGATAACTCTTCTTTGAATTCTGGAGCATTGCATGTGGAAGTGGGGTTTGTAAATACGGATCTGCCTCTTTACAAGTAATGGTACAAACATGCAGTACTCAATCGACCATGCGTGGTGGGATCAGCTTTTCCATGGACTTTTTAGTCTGGTTTGGACTTTGCTCTTGGCGGCAATTGTACGAAGATGACAAGTTGTATTTCACGTGGTTGGTAACTTGGTAATTGACAAGGGACATATCGGGTCTCAAGGGTTCTTCATCGAAAGTGGAGGCCGACCCTTTTTTAAAATTCACTTCATTACTATCAATTTGGACTTTGTCCGTGTATAAATCCTGAGAAAGAGTGTTCGTCCTATTTTCAACTGCAACTTGATGGTATTTGGATGCATGGGCTTTGATTTGTCTCCATCGATGATGCTGTTTCATCGGGTTGTATGGCTTCAAAAATGATGCATCTTTATGTGATTAATTATCGAGAAACGAGATCAGAACCGATCGGGGGGGGGGGGGGGTAGAAGTTGAAATTCGAGAGGCAATGAAAATGGCTGTTGATTAAATACTAGATCGATACACTTTATCTGGCTATTCGTACTAGGAGTTTATTTAGAAAAAAAAAACCAATCTAAATACGTCGGCGAATTAGCAAACGAGTGGGTGAGATTCCGAAAAAACCGAGAGTGGGAACGAACCTACTACTTTGAATCCACCACAAAATCAGCACGAAATCTATGAACGAATCTATTTGTGTAATCTTGAAGTTAAATCTTTTTACTCTTGACCGGTTTTCCCTCGAAATCGCACCCTAGCAATGAATTCGTAGGATCATCGCCTAAAAAGATTGAATGTAAATGACTACCCACATACGATTGATTCTAAGGTCCCCACTTGTATATATTTTTTATTTTTATAATTCCATGATCTAAAAAGTCCAGCTCGGGATTGGGTAGGGGGGGGCTGAATCAGTCCACAGATTGGGGAGGGATCGTGCCGGCTCGATCTCGGGTCAAAGAGCTGACCCCCACCAATTCCGTTCGGCGGTTGAAATTTTTGCCCCGAACTTATCGCACGCGCGCCATCATCATCCCCAACCCCAACCCCAACCCCAACCCCACCGGGTAATTTAAACTATAATTACCACTACTTTTGGGCTCTGGGTCGCCGCCGCCGCTAAAATCAACGGCGGTTGCACGGAGGAGAGAGATCGTCGGCTCCTTTCAAATCTCGAAAACGGGTGACGCTCGCTGTAGATTTCCGTGCTTACGTGGCGCGCTGTCATTGCGCGTTCAGGAGGAATCAGATCAGCGCGGGCGTACGGTTTCGTTTTTTTTTTTTTTTTTTTTGGGGGGGGGGGGGTTTGGTTTTGGCGTTTTCTCCAGCCGAGCAAGAGAGAGAGAGACGTTTGGCGCTCCATAAAAACCCTATTACTTCGGCAGATGCCGACGCGCACCACCGGGACGACGCGGCAGGGCGAGCTCGAGGCGGCGGACGGGAACAGCATGGACTCCACCCGCGCCTTCGTCAGGGACGTCAAGCGCCTCGTCGTCAAGGTTGTTGTTTCGTCCCGCTCCTTCTGCTCGGAATGCGTGCCGGTTTGCTGTCTGTCTGTCTGTTTTTGTTTTGTTTTCTCGGGAAGCGCTCCTCCTGGTCTCGTGTTCTTCTTCCCCCGTGTCCGGGCGACTGATGATTCGGGTTGTCGGGAGACTGGATTGAATGCGCGCGCGGTCGGTCGACGCCGGCTCTCATTTTGGGCGAGAGCTGAACTTTGGCGGGAGAGACGATCGATCGCCGACCGCGGCGGCGTTTGGTGGTGGTGATGGTTTGGTGTGGCGGAGCGGAGGAAAAATCTCAGTTTCGTGCCTTCTTTTTAGGAGCTCGTCGATAGCAAATGTAGATGTCGAGATTGCTTTTCTCGGCATTGTTCTTTATATGGATGACGCTGAGGCTTTTGACCTGTTTGATCGTGCGCTTTTCATCTCTTGTTTTTATTCTGATTATGGTATGGCAGGTCGGTACTGCGGTTGTTACTCGAGCCGATGGGCGGTTGGCGCTCGGAAGACTAGGGGCAGTATGTGAGCAGGTACACCACCGCTACCCGTTTATGTTTTCCGCCGGGTTGAGAAAGATTTTAAGTGCCGCGTAGTAATCCGCTGTTCCTGAGCAGATAAAAGAATTGAACTTGCAAGGATACGAGGTCATTCTGGTCACGTCTGGTGCTGTTGGCGTCGGTCGCCAGAGGCTTAGATACCGTAAGCTAGTAAATAGCAGGTTTGTATCGCAACCATACCGCATTTAATCGTTTGGTCATTTCGGATTATATAGTTTATTCGCATTGCTTCGTTGGAGAACTCACTTCTATCTTCCAATGATACAACTGGGAACTAATAGATGAATTTTGCTTCCATCTGTTCCAAACTTTGTTCAAATGGCATATTTGAACGAATTATATTGGACTTCCATTCTTCTAAAGCCAATAAAAGTTCTTAGAGCGGGCGTTTGCTTTGTGTTACAGCTTTGCTGATCTCCAGAAGCCACAGGTTGAACTTGATGGGAAGGCTTGTGCAGCTGTCGGACAGAGTAGTCTTATGGCCTTGTATGATACCTTATTCAGCCAGGTGATTGAATAATTCTCTATGCTCAACTTATACAGGTTTTCTTATGCTCTGTTTGGGCACATGTCTAATTGGTTTCGCCACCATTTCCTTTAGGGCTTATGGATTAAGATGCTCTGTGTCCTTTCTTGTGCAGTTGGATGTTACATCGGCTCAGCTTCTTGTGACAGATCATGACTTTGGGAGTAAGGACTTCAGGAAGCAACTGAATGAGACCGTGCAATCGTTGTTGTCTCTGACAGTTATTCCTATATTTAATGAAAATGATGCAGTCAGTACGAGGAAAGCCCCGTATGAGGTATGCTCCTTTGCTTCGGTACTTCGTAAATGTTGAGTTCGTAGATGAATGTCTTTTTTCTTTTGTTAACTTCCTAGCCTCGGTGAACAAATGGAGAGAGTTCATCGAGCATCTATTATTGTTGAAATTGCATTTTGCAAATTCCTTGTAAATGTCTATCGACATATGTTCTTTTTGCAGGATTCGTCTGGCATATTCTGGGATAATGACAGCTTGGCTGCACTGCTTGCTTTGGAGCTCAAAGCTGATCTTCTTATATTACTAAGTGATGTTGAGGGTCTTTATAGTGGCCCACCTAGTGATCCGAAGTCCAGATTAATTCGCACATACATCAAGGAAAGGCATCAAGGTGAAATCACCTTTGGAGATAAATCTCGTGTAGGGAGAGGTGGCATGACTGCAAAAGTTAATGCTGCTGTTAACGCAGCAAAGGCCGGTATCCCTGTGGTCATTACCAGGTATTGTCAACCTGGTTTTGTCTGCATGCTTGTCTTAGTTCTTTGAGATAAAATATCTATTTATAGCGTTGGACACTATTGGTAAGATGCACAATGATCTGCATGATGCTGTGTAGTGCTTTGAACATAAAGTCTTTCTTGATCAATAGAAATCAAGGTCACGATATTTTGAACTCTTAGTGCAAACCCATCTCTCTCCCCCCCTCCCCCGCCCCCCTCTTTCCTTTATACAATATCTTTTTTTGGTAAACCCGTGGTTAAGCTAGATGCAGTGCTTGGAATTTGATCAATTCACTAAAAGATAGTAGGCCTGTTTAGTACTTGCCAAATTGTATAATGACCTACTTTTGTTTTTTCCATAGTGGATATGCTTCTGGAAATATCCTTAAGGTTCTTCAAGGAGAGGATATTGGTACTCTCTTTCATCGGGATGCACATTTGTGGGTACAAAGCAAAGACGTCAGTGCAAGGGAGATGGCTGTTGCAGCCAGGGAAAGTTCACGGATCCTTCAGGTGGAATCCTTAGCTTTGTGGTTTAGATTGTGTGTGATTGTTTTGCTTAATACCTTCTTTTAAGTTGATAAAACTTGCTAGATTTTGGAGTTTTTTTTCCCTGCATGGCTGATGGGATTGAACAATTTCTAGAATTTCCTGTCTAGCAGCTAGTGGTTTGTTGAAGATGTCATGTCTTAGATATGTCCACTAGCCATCTGGAAGCTTGTAACTAATTTGCAGAACAGAACCTCTGAAAGATCTGGTCTGTACAGTTGTTTACTCAGTGCTTCTTTCTCTTGACTTTTTATTCAAATGAGGGGCACATTCTTCTAGTTCAGCTTGCAGGGGAAGACGGTGGGTCTTGATTATTTTATTTTTCATGGACGGTTCCAAGGGAGCTGGTGTCCACACCAGCTAGACACTAGCTCCCCAAGGTCCAAAAATTTCTAATATCATATGCTTACTAAGTTAATATAATAATTTTATTCGTCTTTCAACAATCCCAAACCCCCCCTCTCCGACCCCAATCCTACCGAAAGATAAGCTTTAATGCCTTTCACTACGGAGTTTAAACTTTTAGACCGTATTTTTCCTTGCCAGGATCATATTGTTTTACGATTTGCTAATTCTTTGTTTGTTCTACAGGCCATATCATCTGAGGATAGGAGAAAAATCCTGCTTGAGATAGCTGACGCGCTCGAAGCAAATCAGGAACAGATAATGAATGAGAATGAAGCTGATGTTGCTGCTGCAGAAAAGGCTGGATATGAAAGATCTTTGATTGCTCGGTTGGCTCTGAAGCCTGGAAAGGTTGGAGGTTTGAGTATCTATTTAGTCATCACACCCAGTAAGAAGTCTCGACACATCACTTTTTTTTTTTCCTGAATGCAGATAACAAGCCTTGCCAATTCTATTCGTGTACTTGCAAAAATGGAAGATCCAATTGGGCGTGTTCTGAAGAAAACAGAGGTAAAAGAAGGGGGTCTTAAGCATTTCTTGCTTGGACTTCTTTTATTCTCTAACATACTAGTGCATGCATCAACCTCTTTTTAGAGTTTGTTTTACGTTAAACAACCGAGAAAATCATCGACATAATGATTATGGAGTTAGAATGGGACTAATGGTTGTTGACTTACTAGAAAAATAGGTCTTCTTCATGCGAAATCCTGGTGATTTTCTATAGCTTCTCTCATTCTTTTATATTGATTTTGCATCCAGCTGGCTGATGGGCTTGTCCTAGAGAAAACATCATCTCCTTTGGGTGTCCTGCTTATTGTTTTTGAGTCTCGACCTGAGGCTCTAGTTCAGGTAATTACTTCTTTCACTCTTTCACTCTTTCAAGGAGTGCTTTTTAGCAATTTATCAGGATCTTTATCTCTTGGGAGGGCCGAAATATGGGTCTAATCTGGGCTGCAAGAGTAGGCATATTGTCTTAAAATGTTATCTTGATTTTTGAAACATTGGAGCAATTTAAAGTATCTCACGGAAAATGGTCCAACCTTAATAGGTAGTGCACAGTGATATTCTTGTGCTACATAAAAGCTTGCTTGACCTCAAGTACTTATTGTGTCCTGGCGTATGGATCAGCGACTGTCTATGCTTCTAAAATGAGGGGCAATTGCATGAAGCTTTGTTTTGAAATGGGTTGAAAATCCGGTAAAGCTTGGATATGCATGTTGATAGTTGACATAGATATAGAGCTCGCGCACAAGGACAAGTATTGCTTTTACTTCTTAGGTTAGTTATCTGTGTGTGTTTTTCGTAGCAATATTTAGAAGTCTGATCTTATTTCTTGATATCACAAAGTAGGGATGCGGTCAGACTTCATACTTAACGTTTTTTATTGTGTAACTGAGCTATAACTTAGCTAATAACGTGTATGAACAATTGTCATTTTTTTTAATTTTCTAATATTGTGACAGATAGCTTCATTAGCTGTTCGAAGTGGGAATGGGCTACTCTTGAAAGGGGGTAAAGAGGCCAAGCGATCAAATACCATTCTGCACAAGGTTCAATTCATATAAGTTTATTGATTACAATTTTATTTTGATATAGTCCGGTCAGCAATGAAATTACTGCATCACGTTTCTCATATTCTCTCAAATCATAAGGTCATCACTGATGCTATTCCGGACAGCATTGGTGGGAGACTAATAGGACTTGTAACTTCGAGAGAGGAGATAACAGATTTGCTTAAGGTGAGTAAATATGAGTAAGGAACATCTGTCTAATCTCTTGGCGTCTATTACCATGATCAGTTGGGGAAATCAAGTCTCTGAGGAATTGTTGTGTATCAGCTTGATGATGTTATTGATCTTGTAATACCAAGAGGGAGTAACAAGCTGGTTTCCCAAATCAAGGAATCAACCAAAATACCTGTTCTTGGTCATGCCGGTGAGAAAGAAACCCCATGATAATTTTCTATTTCATCTTATCTCTTACGAGAAGAATGTGATTGTTGATCGATTGCATTTAATCACACTGTTTGTTTGCTAGATGGAATATGCCACATTTATGTTGACAAGTCCGCGAACATGGAAATGGCAAACCGCATCATTGTTGATGCAAAGGTAGATTATCCAGCAGCCTGCAACGCAGTGGTATGTAGCATATGCTTGTTTCTTTATTTTCAATCAAAATCCTGGAAGGGCTCGCTAACTTGCAGCGATTGTTTGGGTTACTCTACGATTCTGTGATATTTATTATATCTGCTTGGAAAGATATAGCCCCAAGTTACTATACATTGTGAGAAAATTACTACAATTGAGAAGGATAATGTTACAGGATACTATTGCGTTGCCGGGTGACTGTAGATGTACTGGATTTGTATACGTCTTTTGTTGCTTTGGACAGTTGGACTTTGGCTTACGTCCTAGTGCTTTCTCTACTTCCAGGAAACGCTTCTCCTCCATAAAGATTTGGTGCCAGCTGGTGGACTTAATGCGATTGTGTTTGGGCTTCGGAGCAAAGGTACTAGGATGATGAATTTTTGTTGATAAATCCCACTTATTACTCGAGTGGAAATGTGTGTAAGAAAGCTCTAAAATTGAGAAAGTTTACACATGTTAGGCATGGAATGTTGAATTTATTTTCTCGTCCTCATTTTATAGGGTGAATTTGCCTTTTTCAGTGCTTGTCTTGCAGGAATCACTGAAAGGTTTCAGATTTCAAGACAGCTTACTTCAGTCCTATTATTTTAAATTTTGTTTTACTGTCTCCAAATGCAAAAGAATTTTGTGGTCATTATTGTCTTATCATTTTACAGCTAGAAAACGAAAGTAGGTGCAGTATGCTAACGCCATTCTAGCAACTTCGGTGACCGATGCTGTCCAAGTACAGACAGCTATGAGTCAGCACTGAAGCATATATAGTGTGCATTCCCTCGTTACAGTTTGCATATTGAAATCTCTGATGCAATTGCTTAATCTTTTGCAGGTGTTACTTTATATGGTGGACCAAAAGTGAGCTCCATACTGAATATCCCACAGGCGCAGTCCTTTCATCATGAGTACAATTCAATGGCATGCACCATTGAAACTGTAGATGATGTTCATGAAGCCATTGATCACATTCATCAACATGGAAGGTACTTAGATATCTCTAAATTTGAAATTTTGGTGGGAAGCCTGCCAGAAGCAAGGAAAATATAGTGGAAGCTGGCCAAGAAACTGACTATTGCCCTGCTTTTGCTAGTGCACACACTGATTGCATCATAGCAGAAGATGACGAAGTTGCAGAAACCTTCCTAAGTCAAGTTGACAGGTATGAGTTCTTCTGTAACTTTAAATTCTTGGGTAGGCACAACTTTCTGAAGACACCAATCATATACTTTATATCGATGCGGAAAACATATTCTTTGATTACCGATATGTCCTTCACATATGCTGCAGTGCTGCTGTTTTTCACAACGCCAGTACGAGATTCTGTGATGGAGCACGATTTGGACTGGGTGCAGAGGTACTAGTCTTACTTTTCGTCAATTTTGAACTGTAATAAATTGGATCGTGAATATATTCTTCTGAAGAGCACTTTCAAATGGCCTCAATAGGTTGGGATAAGTACGAGTAGAATCCATGCTCGGGGTCCAGTTGGAGTTGAAGGATTATTAACCACAAGATGGTAGGATTCTGAACTAGTTTTTTCAGTTCTGGTTATCTGAAACAAGAAGAGGAACCAAACTATTTGACCCATTCCCCAATAACTGTGCATCCATTGATATTGAATATACACATGGTTAAAGTACAAGTATGTTCATAAATGAAATATGGCAAGTTAAACCATGCAGCAATGCCAATATAATGCCGGATGATGTTGCTTTTGTTTCGGGTATTCTGGTTTCATGCGAGTCGTTGAAGTGCCTTTTCTCTTTAATTGCAGGATTCTCAGAGGGAATGGACAAGTGGTGGATGGTGATAAAGGGGTCACCTACACCCACAGAGACCTACCCATCCAGTCATAAGTTGTTTCCAGTGGGGTGCAACCGTTGCTGCTGCTACTTATAATTTATTCACCTCCTTGAAAAGGGGAAGGCAGATTTACTGATACCATTGTCGTTGTAGAGTGTAGTTCGGGGTTCGCTTGTTTACCAAGCTTCCGGGAGAAGAAGAATTGTTCGCCTCTGTCGATTCTGTAGTTCACTTGTTTACCAAGCTATCCAGAGAAGAGGAATTGTTCGCCCCTGTCGATTCTGGTCTTGGCAGTTGCAGCTTTTTAAGTTGCCATATGTTTACTGCTAGTATTCTGGAGTCTTCTTATGGATTTTTTTTTTTTAATCTTGCTAACGATTTCTGGTCAGTCATTGCGGTTGTACTTCCCAATTCTTCTCTAATTGCGGCAAGGTTTGTGCTTTGGTGCCAAGTTTTGCTTCTTCGTTTCGTTAATTCCATTTTTCTTTTGTTTCTTATCTCCTCCTTCCTCCTGTTTACACGCATAAGCAACAGCGAAACCAGAATCGCATTCCACTTTCCTGAATGTCTCAGAAATTGCCTGCTTCGCCGAGGCGTATGGATGGCTTGAAAAGCCAAAGAAAATAAAGTTTGTAATCTTCCCAACTACAGCAGTCAACTTCCGTTTCCTGTACTCTCCGGTGTATGCGATCTCCCGTTTCCTCACCAGCTTTGGATTTGCAAGCTCAGGATTTCTGCTTCGGTAATTTACAAGCAGAGTGAAACAATTTCCTAAAATCTGTCCCAAATTTCGTGATTATTCTCTCGGTCACAGCTAGGAGACCGTCGATGATGATTCCACGTGAACAAACACTTTTCCACGATGGATCAAATTTCTGCAATTGCCAGAATCGGACCCGGGCACTTCTATTACTGTAATAGGCAGCTAGTCATAGTCAACAACAAAATGTCTACATGTAGACCCGCGGCATTTAAAGGAACAAGAGCAATAAAAAATTAGAGTTGTCATTTTATCAATAATTTCAGCTCTCTCGATTAAAGATGTTCGCTTCAAGCAGTGGACAACGCTTGGTAGTCTACATCCAGACGGAATAGGCTGCTGCAACGGAGGATCTTGAATCAAAACTGAAGACTGAAAAACCCTACCAAGTGACGACGCCTCCTCCAATAGAACTATGCCTCGACAAACTTCTTGAGGTTCTTCAACCACATCAAGTACTCTCTGCTGTCTTTGTTGATCATGTATTCATGCAAGAAATTGGTCGTGCTGGGCTTGATTCCTCTGATCTCTAGATACTTGTGGAATGCTTTCTGCAGGTTCTCATCCAAATCCCTGGAAAATTAGGAAAGCACGAGAGAAAATGTAGTAGTTAGGTCGATGGAGCGTGTATGACAGTAATAACGCCAATCACGAACTGTATCTTACAGAGAAGGGAAAAGAAAACTGAAAACGAAAAGAGCTTACTGAAAATCAGGTCCTTCATAAGCAATTTGGTCCTCAGAGTTTTCTGGATTCTTAACGGCCAAGCTGTCGATTGCGATTTCATCGGGGTAAGCAGTGCAGCAGAATTCAATAAATTGCCCATTACCCTTGGCAACGCTTACGACCAGAGGAATGCTCGACTGATTAGCCTTCTCATCGTCATCATTCTGGTTGTCCTCACCGCCATCTTCTCCAGTCACAAGATCAGGCATGCTGACCTCAACTTTTATCTCTTCACCCTGATACTTCCTTGACAGAGTAATGGTTTGAAATCCAGGCTTGTCTTCAATTTCAAAGGGGAATCCACCTGGTGCCTCTTCAACCTATTAACCACATCATAAGTTCAAAAGGAAATGTGAATCTCCTAACCACATCATTTTTTTGAAATTCTTATTTAAATTGCATTTTGCTTCGAATCTTGAAAGATAGGATCGGTTGGTCTCTCCAAAATCAGTATAGCAAGTTTTTCTCCCCTAGCAGGCTAGCACATCCTACACAGTTTTGCATAACCAAAACAGAAGCAAAAGCATATTTAACAGCATGATCCTTTGTAGCAAATTACAAACCAATTGGGTCTAGGAACTTGTCTCTTCTCTTCCTTAAGCTAGGTTTACTCCTCTGCAAACAAAGAAGTTTTGATCATTTCCCTAAAAGAATTCCATCCTTTTTTCTCCGCCCGGTTCTCAGCCACTGTTTTACTAGATGACACAAGTTTCTCCATGATCCTCTTTTTTTTTTTCTAACGATCCCAAATTAACGGGTACGCATATCCGGAAGGAAAAACCTCAGCTACATTTGCACCTACGGAGTTCACTAGATAATACAGAAACAAGACTCAGCAGCTTATGCCGAACAATCATCTGCGTTTCAAGTGAGTCTCAACCTTCGTGTCTTCATCAGCATATATTATTTTATCACGCCAAAACGAGACTCAGCAGCCTACCACGGCGAAATGATCCTCCTCTCCCTCACATTCCTCTCAGAATCGCATCAGACACGCCGACAAAATTCTCCCTTACTTAACAATTCCTTAGAGAGCAAACACCGTTCAAGAGGACATAATCAAAGGCAACAAAATCGAGGCATCGTCAAGCTCACCCGGTCGTGTTCGTCGGTTTCCTCGGCGCACTGGATCTCCGAGTCGAGGACCCGGAGGAGCGTCTCGTCGGAGCTCGGCCGCTTCGTGGAGTAACCGCGGGGAGGCGGGAGCGGGCCGAGGCGAGGCTCGCCGGCGGCGGCGGCGGGAGCGATCCCCGCCTGGTGAAGAGCGGCGAAGACGGCGGAGCGGCAGCTCCGCTGGCTCCGGAGAGCGCGGGCCGCGAGGGGCGCGAAGGCGGTGGCCGATCGGCGGAGAATGGAAGAGAACGCCATTTCTCAGTAGTTGCAGAAGAGAGAGAGAGAGAGAGAGGGAGGGTTTACGGGGTTTCTAGGGTTTAAGGAGGGAGGGGACGGACAGAAGCGAACGAGAATATAGGGTTTTAGAAACGAAGTCGGTGAAAAGAAGAAGGGTCGAGACGTCGGGCCGATACGGCGCGTCGTATTTCGCTGCGGGGGAGATGGGCTGTCAAGTCGGCCCGCAGAGGCCCGTTTAGGATGATCATGGGCCTCTGGGTTTCTATGCTGCAGGCCCCTTGAAAAAGGTGCTTGGGCTTCTTTCAGAATAGAAGAGACACTACCTCGCGTGCTTTTTTTACTTGGGGAAATTTCGAACGGGGAGGTCCTTCTGAAATGGGGTCGTTTTCTCGTAAGAGTCTCGAGAGTGGATATTGTCTCGAATAAGCCCACGAAGTGGACAGCTGAGTCTTGGATAAGGCCCTGAGTAGGGCCATCAGATGGGTGAGTCGAGTTCGATTTTGAGTTTGGTAAAAAATAGTCCAACCCAAATTGACTCATTTACTAAGGGTGAGTATGGTTCCAGATTCCGTACAAATTCCACTTGGAACTTAGAACCTACATGTTGGAATATGTTCCTCATTTTCTAGAATCTAAAATCTACCATGCATATCCTGAAACTTGCAATCTACCCAGGTTCCACCTGTATTATTAATTAAATAATTGTAATGAATCATTACCTTTAATGACCACCACTTGCTGCTACAATCCATTGACTACAACTTATATTTAGACACACGAATAATATAAAACATTAATAAAGTAAAAGTCTCGGTCATAAAATGGAAGTTCAGACTAGTAGTTCCATATTATACACTCGTCATCGGACGACATATAATACCGCAAGATCACGCCAAGACATAGAAAAAAAAACACAAAAACTTGTTCGAGGTTCTACCTTTCTAGAATCTTGAACCTATTCATCGAAACAGATTTCTCAACCGGTACCCGACCCGACCCATTTTGAACATAGACAACCCATATAATAGCTCAACCCATCACAGATAAGTTGATAAATGAGTGCACGACCCATTTTGACAGATCTAGCCCTGAGCTCGCCCAGCTTGCATGTGCAAAGCCGACGGCGAAGGAAAAAGAGAGAACTTATATGGTGGGTGGACTCTCTGTTCAATCATGGAGCGTCTGAAAGTAATCAAAAGACGTTTGTTTCAAAAGGGTTTAGGTGAGTTTTCCATGACTGAGGTCCATTAAGACCTTACAGCCAACGAACTTCTGCATGATCCATCACGATAAGTGGACTCGAGAGGCATTAGACACGCCGCCAACGAACTTCTGCATGATCCATCCCGATAAGCGGACTGGAGAGGCATTAGACACGCCCCTCATATCGCAGTGGTTGGCTTTGGAGCGTTTGTTAATTAAGTTTCTTAGTCCGCAGTAGTCGTTTGAGATCGTTGTCCTTATCTTAGGTGTCTGCTACTTTACAGGAAAACTGATCAATTATTTTATTAAAAACGAACAACCAAATTTTAAATACGACATAATTGAATTAGCATGTGTAAGATCTGACGGGCTTAGGCTGAACTGATAAGCACTGGAATGGCAGCCGATGGCTTCAATTATAGGACCCAGACTTTTCAAAGATTTTCAGCTCTAATTGTCCTTTTTCTTTTAATTAAAGTTGCTAATCTTTTGTTTCTTTGCGATGATTATAGACTTATAGTTGCCATTTCACATCACAAAGGGGTAGGCCGGGCTGGCATCGTCCTTTTCTCTTATCTCTCTCTCTATTTTTTGTTAATTTCCAATAGGGTGTGCTGTTTTATTTAAATAGGGAAAATCATTTCTTTATTTGAGAAGGACACGCATGAATCGCGTGGATCTCGGTCCCCCTCGTCTTGAAATCCTTAAACAAAGTGACCTTCTATTCCCCCGAGTTCAATAGAATTAGTGGAAGAATCAACGCAAATAGTTAGGCATAACTCATAATCAACCGTGGCCGAAACAAGAGTAGTTCGGGGACCAGAGTGGGGCATCGATGCTAATTAGCCGATTTATCAATGCTAATCGATCAAAGCCCTCATCCGGCATCAATCGCGGTACAATGATCTTCACACGCATAGAAGATGCTCTTTATTCGTATATTTTATCAAGTGTTTTTTCCGATGGTTTCATGCTGATTGCTTAGTCCGCTTTGGAAAAATTATTATATCGACAATCGAAGTCCTTGGTCATGGCATGTATTGAGAGTATCAGTATTATATTGATGAAATCACTATCAATTAGACATTGTCCCGCGATTTATAGCCAAGCCCCCTTTTCAAAAATGACATTATGAATCTCAAAGGTCTTGAATTAGACGACTAACACGATGATTATTAGGCAAAAATCCTAATATATTGATGGAATTCGCACCCTTGTCATACGATTCCATTGTAGACACGTAATGCTGAGGTGTGACTGGGACAGGACCAGCTACAAAATCCTCTGGTTCAAAGGAATAATTATCAATCTTCAACTACTTCGAGGGGAAATATATGTATTTTGGGGCAATATATAATAGTCACAGCCCACAGGTTGACAGCCAAATTGCATTGTTTTCGGAATAATGTAAAACTCCTTGCACCACCTCATCGACACCAGAAGCTACTAAGCTCATGCATTATGCTCAGTCAGCCGTCTCTCTCAAACAAGAAAAGAAGAAGGGAAAATGTTCACAGGAATCGATCCAGCAGTGCATTAAATGCACATTAAGATGCGTGCAAAGAAAACTACAAGGCATCCATCCATGTCCAACCCATTCAGATCGGTAGCCGAGCTGATGCTGTAAAGATTACCGTTTGTTCTGCACAGAATGTGTGCGGAGAATGCCCGAGATCTGTGGATCTTGTTATTCATGAATTGTGCTTAACAAGCTACGTCTCAAGCAATCTTGAGAAGAAAGGGAAGTAGCAGTCATTCTGATTTCTGAATTGTCCATCCAAAAGACAAACATAAATCAATCAAGATCTTGGCATGGGGCCACTCCTCATCATGTGACTTTTGTCACTGTAATTTGGGCCCCATGCACGTGCCACAATTCATGCAGCCATCACATGGTCCGCGGGGCCAATGGAGAGTTGCTTTACGGAGCACTCACACCAATGAATACAGGAAACAGGCAGTTGTCGAAATAAATGGAGTATCCAGCTAAGAAAATATGCGTAGTCTTCCCTACACAGTTCTGCGAAAAAGGCCAGAGCGACCAACCCATGATTAAACTTTATTTCTATACATGTTCTAGAGATTACAAAGCTCACACCAATCATAATTTGTGCCCTTACACTTCACAAGACACTGACCCTCCAACATACATGAGCTTCCAACATCACTCCACTCCCAACTTTTACACTCGTGCAAGAGAAAGGGAAAGGGGAAAAACATGAACAGACAAAGAAAAGAACAAAACACCTTCCTTTTTTTTTTCCTTTTTCTTTTTCCCTTTTTGAACTTGGATAGAATACAAACCCTAAGCATGCTCTACTTAACTGAAAATCTTACTCTCACATGACGATCTCCGGTTTCAAAATACTAGACTTGATCTCCTTGTGTGGTAGGACGACGCCTCCATTGCTGTAGATTTCATCCCCGACATGGACATCTTCCCCCAGAATAGTCATGTTTTCCACCCGGGCCCACTGCCCGACTGTCGAGTGCCATCCTATGATGCTGCTGGAAATGCAAGCATGCTTCTTGATGCGGACTCCGCGCATGACTGTGCAGCGAGATAGTCTAACTCCCGATTCGACCACACAGCCTGGACCAATTGCCACATCGGGACCAATCAAACATCCCTCGCCAATCTTAGCGGTCTCGTGTACCAAGACGTTGCCGACAATGTGGGGTCCAGTTGCCAATTTCTCTGATGACTTCTTTCTGATTGAGTCAAGGTAGAGTCTCAGCCCTGTGATGTAATCCCTCGGCTGTCCAATGTCCATCCAGAAACCAGGTAAGACCATAGCATAGAGCTGCTTCTCGGCTGCAATCTTGGGGAAAACCTCCTTCTCGATGGAAGTAGGCCTCAGTTGGATCCGATCAAGGACTGATGGGTTAAGCAAGTATATTCCGGCATTAATTTTGTTGCCAACAAACAGTTTTGGCTTTTCCACAAATTTCTCAACTCTACCAGTTGACCCTTCCATGACCACCACACCATACTTTGATGGCTCATCCACCTGCATGATGAAGGACGGAGTTTTGGGTTCTTGTCAGTGTGCACATAATCTTTAGCTTTAAATTTGTCCACTCAAAGGAAGGAGCATAAAAGAAGGAGGAATGACTGAGTGGGACATTCACCTTTGTTACCATTATAGAGGCTTCTCCTCCATGGGCTTTGTGGAATTCAATCATTTCTTTGAGTGGGTACTCGCTTATAACATCACTGTTGAGAACAAAAAACGGCTCACCAGAATCATCCAGCAACTTGTCCCTCGCCAAAGCAAGAGGGCCAGCAGTTCCAAGTGGCTCAGTCTCTTGTGAGCATGTGATCTTAATCCCAAGCTTGGTCTCAAAGTCTTTCAAGAAGTTCAGCATAATCTGAAAATCAAAGAGTATACCAAATCATCAAACTAAACAAACACCACTCACTTAACGAGTACCATAGACAAACATATTGTCGAAACATTCACCTCTGGTTGGTAATTGATAGCCAAAACCACTTCAGTCACTCCAATGGCCTTGAGTGCCTCTATCTGTACGTTCCAAAGAGGAATAAGCTTAAGTGCATGACAGAAAGCAGCCACAAAGGATGAACACAATCAAGGACGTAGATTCTCTACATCAAGAAATGAGTATCATCATCTGAAAAATAAAGAGATTCAACTTCTAAAACAGTCTGACCAAAAGAAAAAAAAGAAAAACTTCTAAAACAGAGTCCGAACTATCCGAAATAACTATGATCAGACGTCTCTCCTAAACAGCCAGGCATCAATAAGATGCTATATCTTACTTGGTAGAGAAAAAGCAGGTCGATAATCTAGCAAATCATCCAAGAACATGGTAGATATAGCTAAAACCGGTCTGCAGCCGATAGTGAATTTACACTAGGATTACAGTCTTACTTTTCTCACAGACTGAATACATCTCACAACACAACCAAGATAAAGTTATCTTCAAGGATAGAAGAGCAAACATGATTATACAGCATCAGAACAGAATCTTGAACAAAAGGATCTGATACAATACCTGATGCAGGATCATGGGTTTGTTAGCGAAGTCAACAAGTGGCTTGGGGACACTAAGTGTCAGAGGCCTCAACCGAGTCCCAAATCCACCAACAAGAATTAGAGCCTTCATTATGATGCTGTCCCTAGGTTCCTGTAGGTTACAAAAATCTGTATATCAGAGGCGGCTTGAGGTAGAAGACTGGCGTCTGCAATCTTGTATATGTTTATAGGAAGATCAAATTGCACACCCTTCCTCATATACTGACACGAAGGGAGAAACGGCTCTAATAAACTCCTAGTCGATATCAGTAAAATTACGAGGCAATGTCAAAAAGCAGGTGCTCGGTGACGAGTGTTTCTAAAGCCGTAAAAAGATGCCAGATGCAAATAAAAACAACACCAATCTATCAAGTCACAGATAAAACACCACAGAATACTGATTAAACATATGACAAAAGATTCACGCAAGCACCACAGCTTACATCACCCCATTTGAAGTGCTGGAAAAAGCACACTGGTGGTAGGAAACAAATTCCAGCTGCAACACAGCCGGGAGTTATAAATGAGAGAAACGAATGAGTTTGTCTACAATCCAATGCTAACGGGAATTCGCGGTTACAAGCCGAGACTCAAAATGACAAATATACCTCAAATGGAAAACAAACCAATAACATGTTATTCAGTTTATTACAACGACATCTTACAATCACTACCTTCAGTCATTATCGACAAAGCTCATGTTAAGCAAAAACTCATAAGACCGCATGCATAATTCTAAGCCTAAGACAAAATCACTGAAATAAACAAGAACTATAGGGACTCAGCAGGGGGAATGAAAGGGTGTTGAGCCGTGTATGTGAAACGGATGTGGCTACATACCGACAAAAGGAACACTCACACAACCCAGTAGCTGGATCGGATTACGGTTCACAAGAACCAGCAGCAATAAGAGCAGATCTAACCAAAAAAAAAAAGCTTTTTTTTTTTTGCAGCTATTGAAGCTAAAATAAGCTTAAAAATGCCCGTTTCAAATGATTGAGGGAAGATGCACAGAGACGATTCATGAATTACTTACACCACCGACGCTTCTCAAAAGCTGAAAATGAAAGATGCAGAAAGAGAAAAGAGAGAAGAAAAGAAAAAGGGGGTATGGAAATGTCAATCGTAAAGCCAAGACAAACAACGGAGAGAGCAGTTTCAAGATAAGCCAATCATGCATGTGGGGACAAAGCTTTCAAATTAACAACCTTTCCTCCCAACAGAGACACCAATCAAAGAAGAAACAAGAAAAGAAAATCTCAACCCAATCAAACCCAAACCCAAATTCCAAAACCCCCCCATTTACATTACCCAGAAGCGATCAAATCCCGGCAGAAGCGAAGGAACGACCTCGCCAAACCAGTCAGCATTCCATCAAATACCTGGAAGAATCAACCGGATCCGGACGACGGAAAGGCCGCAGACCCGAGCCGGAAGCGAGTCGGGCCGTCGGCGAGTTGCGGCTCGCTGCGGCGGAGACAGCCTCCCCGACCGGAGGAGGAGGAGGAGGAGGATCAGGGGGCGGAGAATGATGAGGAGCGAGGAGCGAGGGGGCTAGGAGAGAGATTGGTGGGTATTTATATGTGCGGGCTCCATCAACGAACACTCAAAGCTCCCTCTTCGCATCCTCGCGGGACACGAACGAAATTATTACGGTTAAAAAAAAAAAGAAAAAAAAAGAGAGGAGAAATTCGGAAATTGCGAAGGTTTTTTTGGCTTTATGTGTGGTCGAAGGAAATTCGGGGAGCCCCGGGAGCTGTTTCGCGGTGGTTTCTGTTTTTGGCCGCTTCGAGAGGATGGGGATAAAATTGTACTTTCCATAATTGCGGGTCGAACAAAAAAGGAGAAAAAAAGAGGGGTTAATTCCAAAAAAAAGCATCAATTTTAGGTCGAGGGATAATTCTGGCCCGAACTTTTTATTGTCCCATAAAAAAGCACCAACTTTAGGTAGATGGACAATTCTGGCCCGAACTTTTTTTTGTCTCGTAAAAAAGCACCAACTTTAGGTCGAGGGACAATTCTGGCCCGAACTTTTTTTTGTCTCGTAAAAAAGCACCAACTTTCATTTAAATCCCAAATTTGGCCCCCCATTTGACTTTCTGTCTGAAGTTACCCTTGTTTGAGAAAAAAAGTTATGGTAGTGAGCCTGGCGAATCTCTTCCATGGCGTCTGTCGACGGACGGTGGTCTACAGCTTCAGATTACGACAAAACGACGAAGTTTGGCCAGAAATATTCAATCTGAAGATATTTTTGACTTGCCGGTGAAGTGAAGGAGACGAACAGTTTCACCGTTATTCTTCAAGCTGTGGTTCAGAGAATAAGACAATGAATAATGCTTTAAATCCAGTCAGCAAGTCACGTGGATTTATTGCTAAGGTGGAATAGTCAAGTTGGAAAATCAATGATTTTAAGTCAATAACGGCCAGATTTGAGATTTAAGTGAAAGTTGGTGCTTTTTTACGAGACAAAAAAAGATTCGGGCCAGAATTGTCCATCGACCTAAAGTTTGTGCTTTTTTACGGGACAAAAAAAAGTTAAGGCCATAATTGTCCCTCGACCTAAAGTTGATGCTTTTTTATGGAACAAAAAAAAGTTTGGGCCAAAATTGTCTCTCGACCTAAAATTGATGCTTTTTTTTTAATTAACCCAAAAAAAGAGAGCAGTTGTTGATAATATTCCTCTTTTATGGAAAATGTGTGGACTTTATAGGGGAAAAAGAAAAGGCAGGCTGATGATGATTGGGCGATATGATTGTGATTTTTGTTTTAGCTAATTAATTTTTCTTTATTTTTAATAAAAAATTATGGCTGTTGCATGAAAGTGTGCGACTATCATTTCATAAAGAATAGCTTATATAGTCACGATGCAATTCGGATCCACTTATTTTCTTTTTATTGATTTCTCATTTTCCGGATCTGATTGGAACAGTGGATAACTTACCTTAAACTCTCCAAATACTATATATGAGAATCCATGGGCGTGATACTAGTGTTTTTAGTAAATTGAGCTTTCTGATAGTGACTTTTTTCGTTTGACAAGGCAACGAAAGACTGCTTCAACTTTTCTAGAGGTTTTTACTAATAAGATTGACAAATCTTAGAGAAATCGATAAGAGAGAGTTTAAAAAATATTTAGGTTGTTTACCGATTCCACTATTATCTTCATCTTAGAATATGCAGATTTCCTTATCCGGTATAGTTATGATTTTCAATCAATCATTTTTTGATAGCAACTCAAGAAAACCTCTTATCATGCATTATTAGTTTGTTGTTCTACGATAATTATTGTCGTTTTTATTCACAATTAAATGGATGTTCTTGGATCATGTAAGCGACATTTAAAATGATTGGATTTCAAAAGGAAAAAAAGGATATATAACCAAAAAGATTGCGAATACGCTCCATTTTAGATAAGTTGGGATTTCAAATTTGTTTATTTTAAGATTTCTTGTTCAAGAAGGAACAACATAGAAATAAATACGAGGGTGGAACAAGAAAATATAAAAATCACGGGAAAATCTTCCAAGAGCTCACCATTCATCACGGATTCATTATAATTAAAAAAAATTAATCGAAAAAGACATTATAAAAATTGCATTATATGACGGAGGTCACATGCAACTTCACACTAAGCTAGTACAAAATAGGAAGCGTTTAGGAAATGTTTCGCACGTGGGTAAAAGTTGAGCCACGCTCATTGTGCCTAAGAATGTCCGTTGGCTCATCTAGTACAGCTTGCAAGCAAGCTAATCAAGAAATTGAAAAGTGAAGGAGCATATTCCTCTGTCAAGCCATCTAACTTTAATTTTCTTTTATTTTGTGGCCAAAAAGTTAATTAAGAAACCCTAAAGCTCGAAAATGTTGACTTCAGATCTAAGTTGACTTTGGTAATTTTCTTTTTGGGCGAGGATTTTGGTAATTTATTAGGTTAAATCTTGACCGTATGGCAATTCCAGATCAAGACCATCTTCTCATTATGAAGCATTTAAACCGGGACTCCAGAAGAAACAGGATGCTAACTATCAACCTAGAGCCAACATTGCCATTGATGATGCTTAGGTTAATCGCTAATCTCCACGTATTTAATGTGCAATACATGTGAACTAGATAACCCATGAATGGTTTGCGTCTAGGACATCATGTGAATTGGGTCATGACTTGCAAGCGCGGTTTTGGCCCGAGATGTCGTGGCTCACCGAGCTATTTTGCGATTTGACTTATCAATTCGCGACTTCGTAAAGTGTCATTGAATTGACAATGCTTAGGTTAATCACTATTCTCCATGTATATAATGTGCAATACACGTGAACTAGATGACCCATTAATTGTTTGAGTCTAGGACATCATATGAATCGGGTCGTGAGCATGCAGAGTTTTGGCTTGAGATGTTGTGGCTTCCCGAGCTACATTGTGATTCGACTTGTCAATTCGCGACTTCGTTTAATTTTCGAAGTAAAATGTCAATCATCACAAGATAATAATGCTTTGATAATAATGCAAAAGGGCGAACTAAAAAATTTGTGTTTACATTTCGAGGTATTACAATGAAGAGTACATTGGCCTATTTATAGGCTTCAAGAGATGGTTATCTAAGGCAATGAAATCAAGATATACACAATTAAGAGAGATATACGTGTAACCTTGAGAGATAAAAATAATCAATAGTAATATCACAATTATTTCCAACGCACGTAACTGTCCTGTGAAAGGATTTTAAGAATTTCTAATATAATATCGCCAAGAAGCACGAAACCACCTTGGATTCTAGAGAGACAAACAACCATCAAGAAAGGCTTTCTTGATCTAGTCCGATTCTAGCGGCGGATCATTGACCACAAAGCAAAGTAGAGAATCAGATCTGGGTCTCGAACATGCCACCCTTCAATTAATATCGAATTTGACTCTGATTTTTCCTTTTCGTTTCCTTGTTTTTCTGGTCATCCGCCTGCCAACATGTGCCTTCATTACGGTTTCTTCCCTTAATCTATTCATTTATTCGTCGGAGATAATAAATGGGCACTGAAAGTAATTAGGTATTATAGGTCGAAATCCAGCGCAGGACCGTGTTAGGATGATCCTTGCTTAGGAGTTCGATGCTAGAGAAGTGTGAACTTGGATCTGGAGGAGCTTCTGTACTCATAGATGCCTACCTTCATGCGAATAACCTAACACAAGAAATGGCGTTGACTTTCTTTTGGTTGTCACCCTTTGACCGCGTACCAAGTTATGGCTACGTTTGGTTAAGATCCTCTTTTTAAGGTATTGGGCGGCTTAAGGTCAGAATATTCTCGTACTGCCGAAGTATGTTACCTAAAGGTTATGGCCTGATTGTCCCTTTTCAAACCCTTTTTCTCCCTTTTTTGTAAGGTTGGCCGCTCCTAAATCTATACATGTCGACGATAGTTCTGTGTTGAAAGACGTGTATGTCGACGATCTCGAACCCTCTCGGCCCGCCAACTCGAATTCTCTTTATGATTAGGGTTTCTATCGAACATGTTGATGCCGATCGCGCAAGTCTTGTGGCTGTAAAGGGAAGGGTTGCAATGACCCAGATCAGTAAAGGGGAAAAGGATGTATCTGCTGAGAGAAGCTTGGGAGATCTCTCTTTCGTTGGTGTATCTTGAGGTGCACAATTCACTATTACTTTGCGGGAATATGAGCCATAAGATCTGGGGGGACGTGGACCGACATGGACTTTTAAAGCCTCGATTAGGGGGTAACAATTAGGGTTTAATTAAGGTGACCACGGTCATGCAACTCTTGTTTCTTGGGCTGTCGGTGTGGTTAATGACTAGTTTTCTAAATTGATCAAAAGGGCTCAATTTAGTGATTTACTAGTTTGCTACATATAGGAGTCACTCACTTCCCAAGTTACGTGTGTTCTAGTGGACATAAGCCAATTTGAAAATATTGTTATAGGTTTTAAATGCTACATCAGGACACACAAATGAATGAAACCGGATGGAGTAAAGAGTATGATAAACTCTGGGTCTAGTTAGCTAGCACTCAAATTCCGTCGAGCTTAAGATGTGATCGGTTAGTTTTGTCAGATTTGAGTATGCCAATTCGATATCTTTCTAGCTTAAATTAGATATAAAGCATGTGGGTTTCATCAGAAAAAAATGACTCATCATTGATGCTTGCTTTCTTGGCTGTTTAAGACAAAGGTCTAATAATGCTTGTAGAAATGACTTTGTTCGCTAGTATTAGAATACCCTGAACCTTCTTCATCTTGTAAAGAAATCAAAAGAGATTTCGCTGTGACAATAGTCGGTTCTGCGATGCAATGACTTGTCAGTTAGAAAACTTATTAACAACGCGTATTAATTGAGCCAAAAACCAAATTTCTGTGGCCTTGGTCTGTCTATGACCATATGTAATTGTCACATGACCAGCATCAGAACATGGGTAGAAGTAGAACCATTTCTTCGCTCTTTTTCTCCTCCTCTCTCTGTGTGTCTATTCTTTACCAACTTCATATCATGATGAATCTCCTTATGTGCCACCATTCGGTTCCAATCTGGCTTTCATTCAAATCAGAAAGAGAATGGTCAAGGTCCTATGTATGTCTTATAGCGATGTTGTGATTGCATTGACCAATGCGTAACACTCATTCGTCAATTAACCCTTGATCTGCCGAACAAGGACCAGCCACCTCTTTAGCTTGACTCGGACACATATTACCCACATGGCTTCTTTATATGACGATTTTTTTTAAAGGATATAACAAAGTGGGGCTTTATACTCATGGTTATCGTCAGCATCGGAAAATTTTCAATTTACAAGTCGGTGCTCACTTGTTCAAATCCCATTGATCACGTGTATACTGTTCCGAGTTAGGATCACTCACAAGAATCCAAGCACCGAATTGGATTGTTTTCATAAGACTTGCATAGTTGTCTCTTGATCTCCAAGAAACCGGGTTTCTGAGGTCGTACCCCTGATTTGTCAGAACAAGGTGAAGCTCTTCGCATCATATAAATACACTCATACCATCCTACAATAACTTTCTCTTCAAAGAGCGAGATCAGGATTATGAGTGCTATTTCATGGTTAGATAATTTTTGAAGTGGACGTGTGCAGTGATTTCGACGCCATACGAGGAAACAACGCGTCACTGAAAACGTTTTTTTATTACAAAAAAATAAAAATAAATCCTAATGCGAATCCTTGCTTTATTCTTTTTATCTTATTTATGTCATGCCATTCCGTCTTGCAGAACAAAAAGTTTTTATCGGGCCCGATAAGCAGGCCCGAGTACAAAAGTGGGCCGCATGCCCGGCCCGCCCGTCACAAAGCATTCTCCTATTACAGGCCCTGATCCACCAGCCTCTACGGGCCCGAACACGTCATCTAAGCCCGCCCGAACGATGATATATCGTTTCCTCCTCCTCATCCTTTTCCTCTTCGACTTTCCTTCGTCCTCGCCACACAAAACCCTAGAACTCCACCGTCGCCACCCGACCTCGCTCGATTTCTCCTCGAGCTCTACAGCATGGCGTTCGACAGGAACGGATCGGCGGCGCCGGCGAAGCCGAGCAAGCTCCGGTGGGGGGAGCTCGACGAGGACGACGGCGAGGATCTGGACTTCCTGCTGCCGCCCCGCCAGGTGGTCGGCCCCGACGAGAACGGGATCAAGAAGGTGATCGAGTACAAGTTCAACGAGGACGGAAACAAGGTGAAGATCACCACCACCACCCGGGTCAGGAAGCTCGCCAAGGCTCGGCTCAGCAAGAGCGCGGTGGAGCGCCGGAATTGGGCGAAGTTCGGGGACGCCGTCCACGAGGACGTCGGTGCCCGATTGACGATGGTGTCCACCGAGGAGATACTGCTCGAGAGGCCTAGGGCTCCTGGTATTGTCCTAGTCTTTTTTTTTTTTCTTCTTTCCGGTATTTTCTCTCTATGACTGTGATTCTGTGCGCGTATATAGGTACGTATTACTATGTTGCAAAACTGTGGGATCTTATTCTGTGGAGTTTGTGATTGAATTTGCATCTATAGTTGGTGCTCAGCATATGAACTCCATTGATTTTCTTCCATAGACATCTCTTTTACAGTCAATTCAATTGTTTCTGGAGAAGAAATCTGATAGTTTGTCTTCCTGAATCTGTCCAATTACATCTTGATTAGTTGATATTCTATTGGGGTTGAATTAGATCTCCCTGACCAGCTGATCTCTTAATCGACTGCTGGAGAAAGCAATGTGGAAAATTTGAGTAAATTCTATCTGTATTTCATGGTGAGGACATATGTACTTGGCATTTTTCCTGCTGATGAAATCTCTCAGTTTGATAAAGCTTTAAGTGGGAGTGAATTAGCAATCTCAAGTGAAATTGTTTCTTGAAGGAATCTTTATAGGGCCAAGTTGGTCAGTTCTTTGTCTAATAGAAGGAGATCTTGATGACAGGTACTAAAGCTGAAGAATCAAAGGTAGCTGGGGATAACTTGGCTCAGCTTGGGAAAGGAGGTGCTGTTCTCATGGTTTGCAGGACTTGCGGTAAGAAGGGTGATCATTGGACATCGAGATGTCCGTACAAGGACCTTGCTCAACCAGTTGAGACTTTTGTTGACAAGCCTGCGACAGCAGAGACAACAAGCACTAAGGGAGCTTATGTGCCTCCGAGCATGAGAGCAGGGGCAGAGAGAACCGGGACGGAGATGAGGCGTAGGAATGAAGAGAACTCTGTCCGTGTAACTAATTTGTCGGAGGACACTCGGGAGCCCGATCTGCTTGAACTGTTCCGCACATTTGGCCCAGTTAGTCGTGTGTATGTTGCGATTGATCAGAAGACAGGTTTGAGCAGAGGTTTCGGTTTTGTCAACTTCGTAAACAAAGAGGATGCTGAGAGGGCCATCAATAAGCTCAACGGATATGGCTATGATAACCTCATCCTTCGTGTTGAATGGGCGACGCCCAGAGCAAACTAAAAGGAAATAGTGCTGCCCTAGTTGACCCACAAGCACTGCCGGTGTGTCCGAACTCTTTCTTCTTTGGTTGTATTGAAGAATTTATGGTATTTTAAAGTTAATGTTTCCATTCTCTACTCTCTCGAGGAACTTGTTGCAAATATTGTTAGGGGAGTGGGAACTGAATTTTGTATTGCAATATTAAAATTACCCTGCCGCTTAGGTAATGATCAATTTCAATCTCATTCAAGGTTAAGACATTTCCCATTTTTATAGGAACTTCTTTGCCATTGCTTCCTGGACAAAAAGAAGTGAATGTCTTGTCTCACGAGGCATATATCTTTGGACAAGATGTAATAGTCTTGTCTGAGCTCCAGCTTTGCTAGTTGAGAGGTGGAGCTTATAGCATGGTTTGCCTGGCTTGTCTAATCTTGCTTGTTAAATTCAGTTTGCTTATTGTGGATTTAGATCCTCAGCTTAGCTGATGACTGTGTATAGTCGGAATGTATGGACCTGAGCTCGCTCTTCAATGTAATGTATCCACCCTACTGCGTAAGCGTGATTCCTACTCCGATCATTGTTACCTTTACGGCTCTGAATTTTGTACAGCCATTATGTATGTCGCCATGCTTTAGTGCTTTTTCCTCATCAAGATGGTGTGGATGTACTAAGTTCAGTACTTCCATAGAATCCTGAACGATCTCTCTGAAAATCAGGAAGTCTTGCGATTCTCTTATCCTTAGTTGGTAGGTCATGTGTATAAGCGTCTTCGAAATCCTGTGAAGGGGCTTTAGTTTCTTACTGTTGGATGCTTGCACTACCATAGAAGAAGAAACAGTTCTACAGGATGATGAACTTGATCTACAGTTTAGAGAGAGAGAGAGTGCCTGTAGAACACGTCAAACAATAGGAATATTTGATGCATACTTTGTAATTTACATGGAAATCTTTTTCATACTGCCAATTTGGATCACGGCCAAAAATTACACACTCCGGTTTCTGTCCCACAAGGTACCTTGTACCTGCATAGTTGTAAGCCAAGATATATCTTGCTGAAAATCGACCGAGGGACTCCAGGACAATGCAATCTTCTGCAGATGGTGATACGAACTAGGTTCTTCGCACGCGTTAAATGTAAGCTCCGGTACTGGGACTTCTAGCCAAAGAAACCTCGTCGCTTCTCCTACTCTAGGGGTAACTTTGAGAAAATGCAAAGTCATTTCCCGAAGGTTCTTTGGCTCAAGGGTATTTTGCTCAAAGCAAATGCATTTGGTTAGTGACTTTTTGGTGTTGTTTTTTGCAAATTACTTTGAAATTAAATAAAAAGGGAAAAGAAAAACAATGGCACTGTTCATCTCCTTCGTTGAAGAGAGGGCTTGAGTTTGCAGCATCTCTCCCATCCCCGTTTCTTTGCAAATCCTCAATCCGAAAGCCCCAATCCATCAACACCCTAACTTTCTCGCATTGGCTATTGTGTGGTACCTGAGATTGATCGTGTCACACCAAACAATAGGCTACCGAGGTCACGCGACCGCAGGGCGACCTTGATTTGGCCCTTCGATAGTCAAAGCGACCCCAGGGGAGGGCTGTGGAGGATGCGTGACGCCAGGTGAGTCAACGCTGAGGTCACGCGATAGTGAGGCGACCTAGATCCGGCCCTTCGTCAGTTGAAGCAACCTAGGCGAGGGCCATGGAGGATGCGCGACGCTAGGCTGTGGAGGATGTGCGACACTAGGCGAGGCAACGACAAGGTTGCGCGATCACCGGGCAACCTAGATCTGGCCTTTCAACGATCGAAGCGACCCAGGTGATGGTCTCATGTAGTACTTTCCTAAAAAGGCCCTAATTGGGTTTACGGCTTCTCGGGACATCCATCAGCCAGACACGGCATCAATTCGTGGGAATTTACTTCAAACAGCATCCCTCTGTCAATCAAATTGCAAAATTCTTCGACCAAAAAAAACTGCAAAATTCACATGTTGACGACAGTTCTTGCAGCTTGTCTGTTGCTACTAATGGCTTTGCAAACCGTAAAATATGGGTTTCCAAAGTCAACAAGTCAAAAGGTCGAAAAGCAAAAAGAAAAAGAAAATTGGACGTTCAACTCATTAAAATGGGAAAAGGAAAGGCCGAGACAGACCGAGACCCACGGAGAGGAAAGAAAGGAAAAAGAAAGGAAGAAGAAGAAGAAAAAGGACAATGAGAGTGGGCTTTGCACGTACACCTCACGGCTCAGTCACTCTCGACCTCTCCTCTTATCTTTGGATTAATATTACGAAAAATCTTAAATTAATATATTTATAATAAATTTACTACAAATTATTTCTTTCAGCACAAAAAACCCCAAATTATTTCTCAACTTCCCAGTAAAATTGTCATAAACATATCAGTTTAGAATTTTTTATGATAAAAAAAATAATTTAAGATAAATTTATCATAAATGTATCAGTTTAAAATTTTTTGTGATATTAATTCAAAGGAAAAAGGAGAGGCCGAGAGAGGCCGAGACTCACGAAGCTTCCGTAACGTGCAAAGCCGACTCTCTTTGTCCTTTTTCTTCTGCTTCTTCCTTTCTTTCCTCTCCGTGGGTCTCGGTCTCTCTCGGCCTCTGCTTTTCCCATTTTAATGAGTTGAACGTCCAATTTTCTTTTTCTTTTTGCTTTTCCACCTTTTGACTTTTTGACTTTGGAAACCCACATTTTACGGTTTGCAAAGCCATTAGTAGCAACAGACATGCTACAAGAACTGTCTGTCAACATGCGAATTTTGCAGTTTTTTTTGGTCGAAGAATTTTGCAATTTGATTGACAGAGGGATGCTGTTTGAAGTAAATTCCCACGAATTGATGTCGTGTCTGGCTGATGGATGTCCCGAGAAGACGCAAACCCAATTAGGGCCTTTTTAGGAAAGTACTTCATGAGACCAATGGGGCAGGAAAGTGAAAAGTTGGTTTTATAGTCGAGCAAAGCTGTGTTGTCATCGAATGACCAAAACACGTTAAGGTCTCTGTATTTGTAGGAGTTGGGGTGTGACAGAAGGGGAGTTGTTTGTGCCATGATCCACGGTGCTCAAATTCTCTATTTCCAAACATGTCGAACTCGACAAATACAATTTGGTTCTTTGAGCCAATCGAACAATCCTAAGTAGGCACAACTGGAGTTGGGTGGGATTACATTGATTAGGTGAAAGAAAATCAGGTCGATAAATCCTATTAATAGTGTCATAACTCTCTTACTGTGCTCATTTTGATGTTATAAGCTTCCAAGCGATCAATAAAGTGCCACAATTGTAAAGAAATCGATAATTCAAATGGCGTTGATCATTTGTGTCGCATGGAAATCTTATGCGGCTTTATTTTGGAATAAATCATCTTACATGCCATCATCTAAGATACAAATCAAATGACACTGTTCGGCAGCACAATTTTCTTATGGATTGAGAAATTAGGTTCGATTTGCTCGACAATTGAACCCTAAAAGCAGCTGAAAATGTTTACACGCGGTTTTTCTCGCGGAGCATTTCCAGATGTAAATGGGGACCACGTGACATTTCAAAAGCAGCAACTATGCAGAGCGACGTTATTTGAGTTACGAGAAAGACCAAGCGACCGAGTAGAGATTTTTCTTAGTGAACGGGTCAAAAATTAGTTTTAGGAATGGGTCAAAAATTGTCCAAGGAGTTCGGCAGAAACTGCGTAGAAGCTGGTGAAATGGGTCAAAATTTGGTGTTAGGAATATGCGGTTCATTATAAAGCACAACAACTCAAGCCATGTTGAATGGTGCAAACCTCATCTTTAAAAAGTTATAGAAATACAGTTCTCCCCACAACCATGTCTTGTTCTCTTTCTCGGTGCACTCTCTTAATCCTTTTCTCCCTTGTCTACCATCCTGCTATCCCCTTTGTTAGTTCTCTTTCCTTCAATATAAGTAGCTTTGACGCGAATGGAGGCGACATACTCCTTGAAGGAGCTGCGAGAATTTTGTATGGATCCGTTGAACTAACCGAGAGCCCTTTCCCACAACCATACTATCTAGTAGGCCGCATTCAGTATTCCAAACCCATGGATCTATGGGATTCTATTACAGGGAGACAAGCAGACTTCTCTACTCGCTTCTCATTCACCATCACCACTGTTGAGCCCAGTGGATATAATGATAGCATGGCCTTTTTTCTTGCTCCTGTTGGCTTCACAATCCCCCCTAACTCAGGTGGTCCATATTTAGGATTGTTCAATGCAAGCATAGTTGATGATGGGCCTCGGAACCAAATTGTCATGGTCGAGTTTGATACTTATTCAAACTTGGAATTTGATCCTCTAGGGCAGCACATTGGAATCAACAATAACTCACTCTCGTCGCTTGAATACACCAGTTGGAACGCTAAATCACACAACGGGAGTGCAACTAATGTTATGGTGACCTATAATTCCACTAGCAAGAATCTTAGTGTATTCTGGTCATTTGATGACAAGCTGGTTTCTCCAGATAACAAAAGTTCCTCACTTTCTTGCCAAATTGATCTTGCTAAAGTTCTTCCTAAATCAGTAGCAATTGGATTTTCAGCTTCGTATGGCATGGATGTGGACAGACACATCCTCCATTCATGGGAGTTCACTTCAAACTTGGATGTTGTACATCCCACATCAACAGATACAACAAAAAAAGGGGTAAAATGTAAGATATATAGGTTGATAACATTTATCACAGTTCCCGTAGCATGTCTCTTGCTGGTTATTTCAATAGGTTCTTGCTTATTTATGATCAAGATGAAGGAAAAATGTGAGTTTCGGGCTCTGACTCACATTGACAAAGAGATAGGAGCATTGCCACTGAAATTCTCTTATCAAGAGTTGTTCGTTTCTACAAATGGCTTTGCAAATGATCGAAGACTAGGCCAAGGAGGGTCTAGCCAAGTTTACAAAGGATTTTTGAATCGTTTAGATCGCCTAGTCGCTGTCAAAAGAATCTTTGCAGAATCCAAACATTTAGAAAAGGTTTTCATCAACGAAGTGAAGATAATAAGCCGCACGATACACAGAAATCTGGTGCAATTCATTGGATGGTGCCAAGAGGAAGGTGAGTTTTTGCTTGTTTATGAATATATGCCTAATGGTAGTCTTGATAATCATCTCTTTGGAACTCGAAAAAGTCTGCCATGGGATGTGAGGTACAAGATAGCTTTGTTGTCGGCTAAGTTCGTATATCAGAAATTAAAATCAAACGTTAGGAAAAAACTAACCTGAAAGCAGTACAACCAAATAAGCAGAATGTTGATCCGAGCCCAACGAATTAACGTCGTGTCCTTAAGACGAATTTGGCCCCTCAATCGCACCCGAGGATATTGGACAATCGTCTCCCAGGATAGAACGGATCTCGTTCCTCCGGCGGTACGTATTCGGAGGACTCCAACGAACGCAATTTTGCGTAACAATCGCACCAAATGACAATGATGAAGTGAATATGCGTAGAGTGCGTCTGGAAAAAATGAATGCCACGAAGTGATATTTCTATTCCGAACTAAACTGTTCGGTCTTATTCAAGTGACGAAAAATGAAGAGTCGCGAGTTTTCGTGAATAGTAGCGAAGGTTCGCTTGAACCGGTTCGGTTCATGAACAGTCGCGAGAAGGGCTTCGGTTTTCTGTTCGGGCGAACCGAACCTCACGAACATACATGTTTATTTGTCCAAAAATAAATAAATAAATAAATAAATTCTAAACAACGTGTCTGTTCGAAAAAAAAAAAAAAAACCGATAGAGAGTGGACCCGGAACCGAACCGAGCCGAGCCGGCCGGACGGACGGCGGCGGCGCGCGCGCGGGAGGTGGACCGACCTAGCTTGACGTAGGTCCTCTCTCTTCCACAAAAGTGGGGTACCCCTTGGGGCCCAAACCCATTTGTGAGGCTCAACTATTTGAACCCATCTCCCATCTCTCTTCTACCCTATGTGGGACACTTTCACCCACACACTTCTCATTCAATTCTATGGGATTTTGGTTCCAAAATCCCAACAATCCCCCACATGAATGAGAAGTTCAGATATCATGACTCTTTGTGTATGCATGAGATGCAATGTGCGATTATTCCATGAGAAAACGTTGCATCAGGATAAGTAGTCCGAGACCTTGAACTTTCCTTAGTGAAACCTATCGGACTTACTCGGTCAATCGAGACTTGATGTCTTTGAACCGTCGACCTTTGGTGTAAGCCTAGACAATAGAAATCACACAATTTTTTCTCGAACAAAATTGGTTCTCACTGTTGTGTTCGTTTTGGCCATGAACACCGCCTGGTCTCATGAGTGTTTTAGAGAATTCGGCCTTTTCAATTCTCACAGAAGCGGCCCTCACTTCACACTCACATAGGTGATTTCTGAACATATAGTATATCACATACTCAATTCAGAATCATTAAAAGCTTTTGCTTAACCTTCACATATTAGTACTGTCTTCATCAGGGAATGAGTAAAAATTTAACAGTACTCTACACTGTCTTCATAACTTAGTTGTCCCTTTGAACCTAGATCTTGGGATCTCCAGTCAACTAGGTAGGGTTTCCGCTATGATGACTTGTTTATAGGCCTTAAACCCATTCCCCTTGATGTTTTTGCAACCATCTCTCCAGTTAGGCCTTTTGTCAATGGATCCGCAATATTATCTTTTGACTTCACATAGTCAATGGTGATAATTCCACTAGAGAGAAGTTGTCTTACTGTGTCATGTCTTCGACGTATGTGTCGAGACTTACCGTTATACATGACATTCCTTGCTCTTCCTATTGCCGCTTGACTGTCACAATGTATACATACAGCGGGCACTGGTTTAGGCCAATTAGGAATATCTTCCAAGAAATTTCGAAGCCACTCTGCTTCTTCACCGGCTTTATCCAAAGCAATAAATTCTGATTCCATAGTGGATCTAGCAATACAAGTTTGTTTGGATGATTTCCAAGACACTGCCGCTCCCCCAAGTGTGAATACATATCCACTTGTCGATTTTGTGTCTTTAGTGCCGGTTATCCAATTTGCATCACAGTATCCTTCAAGTACCGCTGGATATTCTGTGTAATGCAAAGCATAATCTTGAGTATGCTTTAAGTAGCCCAATAAACGTTTCATTGCTTTCCAATGATTTTCATTTGGACTAACTGTAAATCGACTTAGCTTGCTAACCGCACAAGCTATGTCCGGCCTAGTACAGCTTCATGACATACATTAAACTGCCTAGTATACTAGCATACTCATTTTGAGCCTTACTTTCACCAAGATTCTTCGAAAGATGTAAATTAACATCTATAGGAGTCTTTACCGGTACAATATCTAGATTCTTGCACTTTCCAAGAATCGTCTCAATATAATGGGATTGTGATAGAGTTAATCCTCCATATGTTTTATGGATTTTAACTCCTAAAATAACATCTGCAACCCCCATATCTTTCATATCAAATTTACTTGTGAGCATGCGTTTGGTCGCCTTAACAACCTCACTATCGCTGCCCATTATAAGCATGTCATCTACATATAAGCACAAAATGGCAAAACCATTATGAGTGTTCTTAACATATACACATTTATCACACTCATTGATCTTGAAACCATTCGACAACATGACTTGGTCGAATTTAGCATGCCATTGTTTCGGTGCTTGTTTCAATCCATAGAGTGACTTGATAAGCCGACATACTTTCTTCTCTTGACTTGGAACAATGAACCCTTCGGGTTGTTCCAAATATATTTCTTCTTCCAAATCTCCGTTTAAGAAGGCCGTCTTAACATCCATTTGATGGATTTCAAGCTTATACACCGCTGCTATGGCAATTAGCATCCTTATGGATGTAATTCTAGTAACAGGTGAATAAGTATCAAAATAATCAAGACCTTCTCGTTGCTTGTATCCTTTTACTACAAGCCTAGCCTTATATTTATCAATAGCACCATCCGCTTTCATTTTCCTCTTGAAAATCCACTTACATTGTAGTGGTTTATTACCAGGAGGAAGGTCAACCAATTCCCATGTATGGTTTGACAAGATGGATTCAACTTCACTATTGATAGCTTCTTTCCAGAACGGGGCTTCTGGCGAAGTCACAGCTTCTTTGAATGTCCGAGGCTCATTCTCTAACAGATACGTTAAGAAATCGAGTCCAAAAGACGTGGAAGTCCTTTGTCTTTTACTACGTCTAGGTTCATCCTCAATTGGATCATTTCTAGATATAGTATCTCGAGACCTCTTATTATTATCAATTGGCTCATATACTATGTTATACGGAAATATATTTTCAAAGAACGAAGCGTCCCTTGATTCAATTATCGTATTAACATGTATATCTGGGATCTCTGACTTGTGAACAAGAAAACGATATGCATTGCTATTCTGAGCATATCCGATAAAAACACAATCAACAGTCTTTGGTCCTATCTTAACCTTTTTAGGCTTAGGAACCGCAACCTTAGCCAAACACCCCCACACTTTGAGATAATTCAAGTTAGGCATTCTGCCTTTCCATTTCTCATAGGGAGTTTGTTGTGTTTTTCTGTGGGGCACTCTATTTAAAATAAAATTCGCCGTCAAAACAGCTTCCCCCCACAAATTCTGTGGTAAACCGGAACTATTCAACAATGCATTCATTGTTTCCTTTAAAGACCGGTTTTTCCTTTCTGCCACTCCATTAGATTGCGGCGTATAAGGAGGAGTCATTTGGTGAACGATACCAAACTCAGTACAAATTTCCTCAAAAGGAAATTCATATTCACCTCCTCTGTCACTTCTTATCATTTTAACTTTCTTATTCAACTGAGTTTCAACTTCGGACTTATAAATTCTAAAAGCATTCACAGCCTCATCTTTGCTACTAAGCAAATAAACATAACAATACCTCGAGCAGTCATCTATAAATGTGATAAAATACTTATTACCACCTCTTGACGGTATTGATTTCATATCGCATATATCTGTGTGTATTAAATCTAAAGGTTCTGAGACTCTATTGTCTACAGAATGAAAAGGAGGCTTAGAAAATTTAGATTCAACACACACTTGGCATTTCTCACTAGAACATTCGAATTTTGGCAATAATCCCATGTTCATTAATTTCTTTATCGACTTATAGTTAACGTGTCCTAATCTATCATGCCATAAATTAGGAGACTCAAGCACATAAGCAGAAACAGCTTTATTCATAACAACATTGGGTACAACAGTCATTACATTTAACTTGAAAAGACCATCACTGAGGTAACCCTTTCCTACATACATCTCATTCTTGGAGAGTACAAACTTATCGGATACAAAAACCAACTTGAAGCCATTCTTGCTAAGAAGAGATCCGGACACTAAATTCTTGCGTATGTCTGGCACATGTAGCACATTATTTAGTGTCACAACTTTCCCAGATGTCATCTTTAGAGCAACCTTTCCAACACCTTCAACCTTAGAGGTCGATGAATTACCCATGTAGAGTTTTTCATCACCTTCCATAGGCATGTAAGATGAGAACATTGATTTATTGGCGCAAATATGACGAGTTGCTCCAGTATCAATCCACCACTCCTTGGGATTTCCCACCATATTACACTCGGATATCATGGCAGTTAGATTGATATCATCAACACCATTGGAAATTTCTTCCACCACATTAGCCTGAGTTTTCTGTCTTTTCTTGGCTCTGCAGTCTTTGGCTCGATGTCCAGGACTTGCCACGTTGAAGCACTTGCCAACGAACTTCTTCGGCCTTGGGTGAATCCCTCTCCGAGACTTGCTAGTCATTTTTCTCTTCTTGTTGGGTTTTGATCCTTCTTCAACAACATTGACCCTTGAGACCGCCAAATTGCTGCCAACTTTCTTTTCGGAATTTCTATTGTCTTCCTCTATCCTCAACCGAACAATCAAGTCTTCAAGTGACAACTCCTTTCTCTTGTGTTTGAGATAATTCTTGAAATCTCTCCAGGATGGTGGCAATTTTTCAATGAATGCAGCCACTTGAAATGTCTCACTTAGAGTCATTCCTTCAGCATGAATATCATGCATAATCACTTGAAGCTCTTGAACCTGACTTAAGACGGTCTTTGAATCAACCATCTTGAAGTCCAGAAATTTACCGACAATGAATTTCTTCAATCCGGCATCTTCGGTTTTGTATTTCTTGTCCAGACTATCCCATAACTCTTTAGCCGTTTTTAGCGGACTATATACGTTATAGAGAGTATTGTCCAGACCGTTGAGGACATAGTTGCGACACAGGAAGTCAGAATGATTCCATGCATCCACAGCAGCAAGCTTTTCTTTATTTGTCTCTCCAACGTCCAATTTAGGACCATCCTCATTGAGGAATCTAGCCAAGTTCAAGGTCGTGAGATAGAACAACATCTTTTGTTGCCATCTCTTGAAATCCGTACCATTGAACTTTTCTGGCTTTTCTCCGTGATTCGGAACAGGATTAACCGAAGTCGAAGCCGAAGCCATTTCTGAAATATAAACACATACCATATTCACGAACAGAATTGAAAATTTCTAATATGAACAATATTCGAAAAATTCGTTAACGAACAGAATGTGCAAATAGAATCGTATTCTATACGATATGACAAGGAACATACGAACTATACAAAAGTTCGAATTAAAGAAACGGGAATATGATATTTGATATGAACAACGCATAAGAATATACGAACAGAACCGAAGCGAAATTCGTCTTAAGATTGTTGTCGGCTAAGTTCGTATATCAGAAATTAAAATCAAACGTTAGGAAAAAACTAACCTGAAAGCAGTACAACCAAATAAGCAGAATGTTGATCCGAGCCCAACGAATTAACGTCGTGTCCTTAAGACGAATTTGGCCCCTCAATCGCACCGAGGATATTGGACAATCGTCTCCCAGGATAGAACGGATCTCGTTCCTCCGAGCGGTACGTATTCGGAGGACTCCAACGAACGCAATTTTGCAGAACAATCGCACCAAATGACAATGATGAAGTGAATATGCGTAGAGTGCGTCTGGAAAAAATGAATGCCACGAAGTGATATTTCTATTCCGAACTAAACTGTTCGGTCTTATTCAAGTGACGAAAAATGAAGAGTCGCGAGTTTTCGTGAATAGTAGCGAAGGTTCGCTTGAACCGGTTCGGTTCATGAACAGTCGCGAGAAGGGCTTCGGTTTTCTGTTCGGGCGAACCGAACCTCACGAACATACATGTTTATTTGTCCAAAAATAAATAAATAAATAAATAAATTCTAAACAACGTGTCTGTTCGAAAAAAAAAATAAAAACCGATAGAGAGTGGACCCGGAACCGAACCGAGCCGAGCCGGCCGGACGGCGGCGGCGGCGGCGCGCTTCTTCCACAAAAATGGGGTACCCCTTGGGGCCCAAACCCATTTGTGAGGCTCAACTATTTGAACCCATCTCCCATCTCTCTTCTACCCTATGTGGGACACTTTCACCCACACACTTCTCATTCAATTCTATGGGATTTTGGTTCCAAAATCCCAACAAGCTTCAGGGCTGGCAGTAGCCCTTAACTATCTCCATGAAGATCTAGAGCAGTGTGTTCTCCACAGAGATATAAAAGCCGCCAACATATTACTCGACACGAACTTCAACACTAAGCTCGGAGACTTCGGAGTGGCTAAGCTCGTTGACCCCCGTTTCAGGACACAAATGATGGACGTGATAGGGAAATATGGTTACTTGGCACCTGAATATTTGAGTGAAGGTAAGGTTACTAAAGAATCCGACATGTTCAGCTATGGGGTCGTGGCTCTAGAAATCGCATGCGGTAGGAGGACCTATCAGGAAGGAGAATTTCACGTTCCCCTACACAAGTGGGTTTGGCAGCTCTACCTTGCTGGAAACATGCTTGAAGCAGCTGACGAGACATTGGGTTTGAATTTCGATAGGAAGGAAATGGAATGCTTGATGATGCTGGGACTGTGGTGCGTGCATCCAAATCCGAAGAGAAGGCCAAAATCTGGACGAGTTATCAGATTTCTTCAGCGAGAAGTCCCAATGCCTGAGCTTTCACTTGGCACATACGAGGCTCCCACTTCATATCAGCCATCAGCACAAAGAATAGAATCGTCTTCTATTGAAGAATTCAGTTCCTGTTCAGCAAGATAGATGCAACACATTATGACTTTTCGGAAAATAAAATAGATGTTGTGAGTCTTGTGACGGAATATTTATGATCAATCAACCTACTCTTTGCTGTAAAGATGTATCATATGTATTGTATTAGTTGATTGATTCACCAAAGATAATAGCGACCAGGGATCGCTCATGAACTCTTGCATGATCACACTAGGAAGTAAGCAAGAAAATCTTTGGACTGCGTTTGACATTTCTCAGTTATGCCACATGAAGCTACTCCAGTTCTCACATCTGTCACTACGCTCTTGCCCCTTCAGCAGTAGTAAAAATCAGTGTATATCTAATCTCCGAGATTGAGTATTTATTGATCATGGAAATGTTGCCATAAACATTGCCATAAACAAATGTAGGATACACTATTCAAGCAGATTTTAAAGTGATTGTTTACAGTTCATTCTTACTTCTATTGAAATTCTGAATCTTTCTGCTGCGCATCTCTTCTCATGTCCAGTATACTTCTCATCTTTTTCCTGATTTCGAGTTTGAGGTTCATCCATCAAACAGAGCAGCTACCTCTGTGAGATGAATTTATAGATCTACGTAACAGTGACTTCAACTCCTTTCAGGTGCAAAAACTTTCGTTCTTCTAGGTTCTCTCGTCGAAAGAATCAAACGAGTTTCTCAATTAGTCTTTCACATGCTTCCTTCCCTGTGATTTATATTGGTATTGCCCTTACAACTCCCACCTAATGCTGTTGGAAGTCAAAAAATTCAGTAAAACACGTCAGCTTTTCTTCTTGAAAAATGCTACTGTAGATGTAATCAATTAATTTAAACTACTCATGACGACCCATGAACTCGATGGAAAGCTTGCAAGGATAAATGTAGGGAAAATTATCCAAAAAGTCCTAAATCTATTGTACTTTTGCCAATTTAGTCCTAAACCTTTTCACTTCTTGCCAATTGAGTCCATCCGATCAATTTTGGCTGGAAATCGCTAACGTGGATATTTTTAAGTAATATTTTAATAACTTTTTGAATTTTTATGGTTTTTTTCTTTTTTTTTTCCTTTTCTCTTTTTTTTTTTTGGGTTTAAGAGTTAGGGCCAACGAGGGTAGCCGGTCGACCCTCGATGGATCTGGGCGAGGGTCGCGATGCCCTTGCTGGCCAAAGCGAGGGCACGCGAGCTCTCGCCTAGATCCGGCGAGCGCTACGATGCCCTTGCCAGATCTAGCTAGGCGAGGGCTTGGCGGCCCTCGCTAGCCCCAGAGCTAGCGAGGGCCGTAATGCCCTTGCCCAGAGCTAGCGAGGGTCGGCCGGTCACCCTCATCGGCCCTAGCTCCAAAACCCAAAAAAAAACTGAGAAAAGGAAAAAAAAAAAGAAAAAAATGATAAAAAATTATTAAGATATTATTTTAAAATGTCTAGGTTAACGCCGCGTGGCCGACCGGGTCCACGCTAGTGATTTCCTGCCAAAATTGGCCGATTGGACTCAATTGGCAAGAAGTGAAAATGTTTAACATTCAATTGGCAAACTTGCAAGGTTTAAGACTAAATTGGCAAAAGTACAATGGGTTTATGACTTTTTGGACAATTTTCCCGAAAAATGTATATTCAGCTCAAATTTAAGCAAGGATTAGAGCATGTCGAAATCATGTTAAGAATCAGAAAGCTTTCTTTCTTTCTTTCTTTTTGTCTTCTCATTGGGCGTGCTCTCCACTTCCCCTTTAATAGCTTAAGGTCCACTTTTTTCCTTTTGTTGACTGGTCAACGCTTTTTTTTTTACGGGCGTATGCTCTTTTGACCCGGCCAACACCGCTATTGCAATCCACGTCAACGGAAAGTGACCGCATTTGCTCGATCTTTTTCCTCTTCTCCACGAGCAAGCATAACCCGGTCACAACCATTGATAGCAAGAGACGCCCCGCAAGAACCGTCACAAAGTATGGTCAACCTGCGAATTTTGCAGTTCGATTGAGAGAGGTTTGTTGTTTGAAGGAAATTTCCACGAATTGATGCTGTGTCTTGCTGATGGATGTCACAAGAAGCTGAAAACCCAATTCCGACCTTTACAGGAAAGTACTTCATGAGATGAATGAGGCCGGAAAGCGAGAAGTGGGTTTCATAGTCGAGCAAAATTGTGCCGTCATCCAATGACCAAAACACGCTAAGGTTCTTGGTAACTGAAAATTTAGGTCACCAAGACATTAATTGCTTTCCATTGTACATAACTTCGGGATTCCAACTGCCATGTACCAACGAGGAAAGTGAGATTTTGATCCCACTGTGCGGGTATAAAGGCTTAACTTCTCTCTTTCCAAACTTGTCAAACTCGACATATAAAGTTTTGGTTCTTTGTGCCATGATCGCCAAACAATTCCAAGTAGGCTTGACTGGAGTTGGGTGGGATTACGAAGCCAACCGGCACGAAGAAAAATGTCAAGCCATCGTGGATTTTTGTGGGACTAAATCTTCTATGGGTGAAAGAATCAGGTCGAGAAATCCTTTTAATAGTATCATAACTTTTTTACGGCTCTCATTTTAATGCCATAACCTTCTAGACGATTAATAAACCGTCACAATTTTAAAGAAATCGATCATTCAAATGACATTGACAATTTGTCGCATGAAAATCTTATTTAGCTTTATCTTTAGAATAAATAATCCAACTTGTCTTGCTAGAGATGTCGACATTTAAAATACAAATCAAATGACGTTCGACAACACAATTTTCCTCCGGATTGAGAAATTAGGTTCAATTTGCTTCGTAACTAAACCCTAAAAGTAGCTGAAAATGTGTACCCGTGGTTTTACTCGTTCAAAATTTCCAACTGAACACGAGATCGATGGAGCTACAATTCAGATTTTTCAGAAATCCCTCTCTCACTCACCAGCTCTTTTCCACACCTTCTTCATCTTCACATGCAGGACAAAAGTGCCATAGCCAATCCAACAGCCAGGCTTCAAAGCTTGTGGAGCTTTCCAGTGCTGGATCAACTCCTCTGCAGCCACATGACAGAATATACACATCGTATAATTTTTTCTTTTTTTCTAGAAAAGGACCTTACACAAAATTATTTGGGAAAAATCGGCACACAGAGTTTGGGAGAGGAGGGCGGGGGGGAGAAAAAGCGAAAGAACCCTGTAGATGCCAAACGGGCACACCTCACTGCATTTGAATTCCCTCGCCATTACACACCTTCTTCGTCTTCTTTCATTTCGAATCGGTTCAGAAGTTAGGGTTTCGCTTCTCTCGTTGCGAAGATGGAGCCTCCGTAGTTAGGGGTTCCGTTGTGTTTTTCCTGATTGTAATCTGAAACGACAAAGTCAATTTCGCATTTCCCTCATTTTCGTTCCTGTTTTCTTGCCGATTTTTGGATTTTCCGGTCGCTAGGCAAAGAGATTCAGTGGGATGGATGAACTTAACAAGGAGCAAGAACAGAAGATGTGAGGGAGGGGTGTTTATTTATTTTGCTCGAAGTGAGGGGTGTTTATGGAAAAGAGCAAGTGAGTGGAAAAGGGATTCTGAAAAATCAACGAATGGAGTGATTTATTGCTAACGCGGACACCGAAGACGGGGGACTTCGCGAAGGAGTGACATTTCAAAGACAGCCACTTTGGAGAGCGATGTTATTTAAGTTTCGAGAAAGACCGAGCAACCGAGTGGATATTTTTCTTAGTGAGAATGTCCCTTGTCCAAGGAGTTCAGCAGAAACTGCGAAAAAGCTGTTTTGAACGTTTCAAAAATTGGAATCAGTAATGTGCGGTTCATTATAAAGCACATTATCTCAAACCAGTTGAATGGTGCAAACCTCATCTTTAACGGTCGTAGAATACAGTTCTCCCCATAACCATGTCTTGTTCTCTTTCTTTGTGCACTCTCTTAATCCTTTTCTCCCTCGTCTGCCATCCTCCTATCCCCTTTGTCAGTTCCCTTTCCTTCAATATAAGTAGCTTTGATGCGAATGGAGGCGACATATTGCTCGAAGGAGTTGCGAGAATTGTGTCTGGAGCTGTTCAACTAACCGATAGCAATATCCTCCAGGCCTACTTTCAAGTAGGCCGCATTCAGTATTCCAAACCCATTGATATATGGGATTCTGTTACAGGGAGACAAGCTGACTTCTCTACTCGTTTCTCATTCACCATCGATACTAACAACGCCACTAAATATAGTGATGGCATGGCCTTTTTTCTTGCTCCTGTTGGCTTCCAAATCCCCCCTAACTCAGCTGGTGGATTCTTAGGATTGTTCAATGACAGCACACTTAATGCTGGGCCTCAGAACCAAATCGTCATGGTCGAGTTCGATACTTGGTCGAACTCGAGATTTGATCCTCCGGGGCAGCACATAGGAATCAACAGCAACTCACTCAGTTCGCTTGTTCATGCCAGTTGGGATGCTGGATCACACAGCGGCAATCCAACTAATGTTCTGGTGACCTATAATTCCACCAGTAAGAATCTTAGTGTATTCTGGTCATTTGATGACAAGTCGGTTTCTCCAGGTGACAAAAGTTCCTTTCTTTCTTACCAAATTGATCTCGCTAAAGTTCTTCCTGAATCTGTAGCGATTGGATTCTCAGCTTCTTGTGGCGTTTCTTACGAGAGTCACAGCATCAATTCATGGGAAATTAATTCAAGCTTGAACGTTGAGCGTCCCTCACCGGCGGATACATCAAACAAGGGGGTCTCTAAGTTGTATAGGATTATAACATTTATCACTGCTCCCGTAGCATGTCTCTTGATGGTTATTTTAGCAGGTTCTTGCTTATTTATGACCACGATGAGGAAAAAATGTGAGTTTCGGGCTCTGACTCACATTGACAAAGAGATAGTAGCATTGCCACTGCAATTCTCTTATCAAGAGTTGCTTGTTGGTACAAATGGATTTGCAAATGATCGAAGACTAGGCCAAGGAGGGTCTGGCCAAGTTTACAAAGGATTTTTGAACTGTTTAGATCGCCTAGTTGCTGTCAAAAGAATCTTTGCAGAATCCAAACATTCAGAAAAGGTTTTCACCAACGAAGTGAAGATAATAAGCCGCACGATACACCGAAATCTGGTGCAATTCATTGGATGGTGCCAAGAGGAAGGTGAGTTTTTGCTTGTTTATGAATATATGCCTAATGGTAGCCTAGATAATCATCTCTTTGGAACTCGAAAAAGTCTGTCATGGGATGTGAGGTACAAGATAGCTCTAGGCTTGGCATTAGCCCTTAATTATCTTCATGAAGAACTAGAGCAATGCGTTCTTCACAGAGATATAAAAGCCGCCAACATATTACTCGACACAAACTTCAACACTAAGCTCGGCGACTTTGGAGTGGCTAAGCTCGTTGACCCACAGTTCAGGACTCAAATGACAGATGTGGTAGGGACACGTGGCTATTTGGCACCAGAATATGCGAGTGAAGGGAGGGCTACTAAGGAGTCTGACATGTTCAGCTTCGGGGTTGTGGCTCTAGAAATCGTTTGTGGTAGGAGGGCGTATGGGGAAGGTGAATTTCAAGTTCCACTGTACAAGTGGCTTTGGCAACTTTACCTAACTGGAAACATGCTTGAAGCAGCCGATGAATCATTGAATTCGAGTTTCGATGGGAAGGAAATGGAATGCTTGATGATGGTGGGATTGTGGTGTGTGCATCCAGATCCCAAGAGAAGGCCAAAAGCAGGACAAGTTATAAGATTTCTTCAGCTAGAAGTTCCGGTGCCCGAGTTTCCACGTGGCACCTATGAGGCCCCCACTTTATATCAGCAATCGGCACTAAGAATAGAGTCTTCCTCTTCTATGCAAGAATCACTTCCCGTTAAGCAAGACACGTCATGGCTCCTGAAGCCATCCAGCAACACATGTTGACTTTTGGGAAAATGAAACAAATGTTGTGACGGATTATTTATGCTCAATCGGCCTTTTCTTTGCTGTAATATATTGTCTAGCTGCTGATGTAGATGTCAGAGAGACATCAGTACCATTAAAGATGCCCACTTATGCAAAAGCTCGCATTGCATAATCTGATTTTATGAGGAATGATTCCAACGAAGTATGTTCTTTGACTCTGTTTCAGTTACAATCTGGAGATGCCTTAAGCCTTTACAGGGAGATAATTTAGTCGAAAGATTGGGTGGTTATAACAGGTAGAAACTTTCTAATAAAAAAATTATTTAATTTATGCACCGAGGATAGTAGCGAAACAAGAGCAGTAGAAGCGTGCCTGCAATTTAGAGGTAAACCAAGGGAAAAAAACCGTACTGGTGACAGATTGTAGGTTCTTGACGAGTCATTGTTAAGAACTATCTATCTCTTAACACTAGGTATATCCAATCTTGCCGTATTACCCGTGGTGGTGCTTTCTTGTCTTTAAGTAGAACAGTCCATTCTGGAAATTAGCGTTGCTACATAACTTGGTTAATGTCACCTACAAAGTTCTTGTTTCTATTTCCTTTAAATTCTTTGCATGAGGAACTTGTCACTAATTGTAAATTTTTCTCTCCCAAAGAGAAAATGTCATACTCGACCAAATCTTTCCAGTCCCACCATAGCTTTTGCATTTTTCAGGATATAATGGTCCGCCGAAGAGGTTTCAACAGGTAAGTCAGCACCATCGAAATATAACTTTTGTTCTGCTTCCTGGGATCAGTTAATTTAAGGGGAGTCAGTTCTAGCAAGAATCTATGACTGGACTGATATTGCAAGAACAAGTAAGCCTCGACCTGTTTTTTACTGTTAGATTACCATGTATTCTCTCCATGCTAGCTCTCGGTAGATTATGGAGGGAAATAGATCTTGCTTTACATATGAAGCAAAGATCTGGCTGCAACATTTTTCTCGCCGCTTGTTAGATCAGTTCATATAATATAGGAGCAGGCTCTTAAGATCTTTTACCCTTATATCTCATTCGAGTATTTTGGTCATTTATCGGGATAACATAATCAGAAAAGCTAATAGGAAGATGAGTTGCATGATCCGCAATTGCAAACTAAACCAATCAGAAAAAAGAAAAGCAGAAAAGTGGAAAGGTGCCCCAGACTCGAATTTCTATGAGCATGGATGGATGTTTCAGCATGTCAGGATATATGCAACACTGATTGAATTCGTCTTGGTCCATTTTTGAGGCATCGGTTATAATCGAGTGAAGCAGCCAAAAGAATTTGAAAAGATAAAGACTCTTTATGTTTCCGGATAGTGAGGTATGACCCAAATGCATGTAGTTTAAGCTTATTCACTAGGAGATGTACTTGTTTGAGTCATTCGATAAGATTCTCTTGTTCGAGTTAAAGAAGATGGAGCGTGTCAATCACTTAGCACAAGAAAAATTGACAATGGAACAGTGATTCATCATTCATCAGTAGATTCTGTCAAAAAAGGCACCACTAGTGCTAAATACAGAAGTAAGCCTACGGTAGAAAAAACTGCCTTCTGAAGTAAGCACATGTATCTAGAGGTTTTGTATTATACATGGAGAGACCTAACTTCAGGATCGTGGGGGGCTCCATCTCTGTGCTAAAAGACACGTACAACAACCACACATGATTAACAGAAGCAAACAAAACATAACCATTCGTCTATGTGCCTAATTCTGCAGAATTAACTCTCTGCTACTTTGGCCGTTGCAATACTTATGATATACTCGATTTCTTCAGCGACTTCTTTCATAGAAGGACGGTTCTGCCTACGTTCCTCCAAGCATCCCACGGCAAGAAATCCGAGCGCCTTCATGGTCTCCACGTCGACGGTGCTTGCCTTTTCCTTCAGCATCGGATCCACGACATCCATTATCCTCTCCTCCTCCACTGTCCTCTGCACATAGACTGCCAGATTCACATCATCGGCCGCTCGATTGAAGTCTATCGCCTTTTGAGACGTCAAGAGCTCCAACAGCACTACTCCGAAGCTATAGACGTCACTCTTATCAGTCAACTGGTAGTTACGATAGTACTCGGGGTCAAGATATCCAAGCGTACCCTGAGCACACGTCGATATGTGGCTCATATCAGTGTGAGCCAACCGAGATAACCCGAAATCAGAGACTTTGGCAGTCAATTTCTCATCCAGCAATATGTTGCTTGACTTGACATCTCGGTGATATATTGGAGGAACTGCCGAGAAGTGAAGGTAAGCAAGGCCCTCGGCTGTGTCATGCGCAATCTGGAGACGACGAGTCCATGACAGTTTACCCCATCCTTCACTGCGGAGATGATCGAATAGAGTGCCATTTTCGATGTACTCGTAAACCAAGAGCGGCTGCTCAAGCTCGACGCAGCACCCGAGTAAACGAACAAGACTTCGGTGATTGACCTGGCACAGGATTTGGACCTCGTTTAGGACCTGATCAGTTCCTTTGGTGTTCCCGAGTTTCGCACACTTGATGGCGACGATAGTGCCATCATCTAGGATGCCTCGATATACTTCGCCATAACCGCCAACACCAAGAAGCCGGTCCTTGGAAAAGTTGTCCGTCGCTTTCTTTATTTCTTTTCCAGTGAATAATTTGGCTGCTCTGCCACCATTGGCATTGAGGATATCCTCACGCTCTCTTGCGAGGCGTTCTTGAGCCTCTTTAATGCGCCGATGACGCCTGTATAGCAATAGAGCAACAATGGTTGCCAGAAGGGCCATGCCTATTCCGGACGTTAAACCTGTACCAATTACAAAGTTGTCAGACAGTAGGGAACTACTGCATTCGATCTCTAAAGACAGCGGTACAAGATGCTTCAACGTAGCTGAAACCGCAACAGTCATCTTCTAAGTTCTAAGAGTTATCATGAACAAGGAACTCATCTAGATGCAAATACTGATGATCGGCAACTTAAACATGAAAGGTCTAAACATTTTGTTTCTGAACAATCTTGTTAAATTGGGCTATCTTGGTTTAATGGAGCTCGATTTCCTAGGCTAAATTCAGTGGAATCAAGAGCCATGCTTTCAAATGTTGATATCAGTTTATGATTTGTAAAAGTAAAACCAAATTCCTAAGCTTAAAACTTGTCCTCTTCATTAAACGAAATTATAATGCAGAACATTTCAGAAAAAAAATCAAGATGTTATAATTAGAACAAGGAAGCAGGTACCTGCAATAAGAGGAGTCTTGTCCGTTCCACAGCCATCCGGATCTTGACATGTCACGTCTGCACCAAAAGAACAAGAAAATCCACTTGTTACCTATTTCCTTAGTGTCATCCAAGAATCATATAGACTATGTAACTCTATAAATTAGTGTTCCGGACGTAATCAACAGAAACGTTAGAGCAATCAAATGATATGTCGTGATAAAGGAATGCGGTCTGATTGTTACTCTGCACCATAATATACGAAAGAACAAAAGTGCCAAAAACACTTCAAACTTACTCTCCACACAAACTCCTTGGATGGGGTCCCACGTGAGCCCGGCATGGCAGAAGCACCGGCTGACCCCGCTCCCCGCCGGGTCGGCCCGGCACGTGGAGTTCCCGTCGCAGTCGGACTGGGCCCCACAGATGGGCTCCGAGGGCAGCACCCACTGGATCTCCATCCCGGGCTTGGGCCAGAGGCTCACGGGCTCGCTCGTGTCCAGGTTGACGAAGCTCGTGTACGCCCGGCAACCCGCGTCTCTGACCCGGATCGAGTACGACGTCGTGGATCCGACCGCCCGGTACGTGCAGCAGATCGGAGCGGCCCCGCAGGCCGCCGCGCCGGGCGTGTTGTTCACGTACGTGTGGCAGAGGCTCGCCGACGAGCAGTTCAGCGGCGAGTTGAGCAGCGTGGTTGTGCAGTTGAGGTAGAGGATGGTGTTGCTGCTGGTGACGTTGAAGGGCAAGGAGGAGTTGAGCTGGACGCCCTGGTCGGCGAGGTCGGACGTGACGCAGGTGTTGGCGAGCAGGCTCGCGGGCTGGATCACGAGTCGCTGGCTCTCCGGGTCGACGGAGGTGATCGGGTACGAGTTGTTGACGGTGTCGAAGAGGAGGGTCCCGCCGGCATCGCACTGGACCTTGTACGACTGGTCGCCGCACGTCGGGGACGTGCTCAGCGGGTACGGGACCGGGGTGGAGCCGCAGTCCGGGCACCGCGTGGCAGCGTAGGACAGGGACAGCAGCGGCAGCGCCGCCGCGAGGAGGAGGAGGGCGGCGGCGGCGGCGGCGGGCATCGCGTGAGGGACGGGGATTACGATCGCAGTGGGAACGAAGGCTCTGCGAACCGTGATCAAGGGGTGTGTGTAAAAATGGTGGTGGTGGTGGTGGTGGTGGGGGAGGTTGTTGATTGTCAAAGTCAGTGAACAAGAGATGATCTCATGGGAAGATTCGTAGGTTCACAACCATGATTAAGAGATGATTAGTTTAATTCAATGAGCTCGTGTCTGAACTGTAAAGTTTCGACTGTTGGCCAGAGAAGAAGATAAAACACGAGAGAGAGAGAGACGTAGTTTTGACTTTGTGCATCGATTGCGTTGCGGCGTTCTTGGTCAAATTCGTGGTTCTTCAGCTTCTGGCACTTTAGCTTCGCTTAATAATCCATTTTTTTTCGGCCGAAGTTAACGAAAGCTAAGTAAAATAATTTGATGGACAGAGCAGTACGTCACTCGGGAGGGAGGCATTTCGACCACGGATAAGGTTTGTAATCCCCAGGCTGGAGTCTGCGAAAAACCCTATTCTAATTCTAGAAGACTTGGCGAGCTCAAAAGTCTTTTGTCAGAATAATAACCCCCCATGTTGTGCGCTCTTCGAGATTTTTAATGAGAACAAGAGGGGGGGCATCTAGAGAGAATGGCCAGCAGATGAAGTTGCGTGTCGTGGTTGTGGTGGTGGTAGGCCCAGACCATGTGTTTTTCGGCTAATCTTTGACTTCGGATGTAGTTGGTTTTGATTCTTCCTGCCAAACATTGCAGAACGTCCAACGTGGAACATTCGGCCCATGACTTGATGATACGTGTGAACCAGCATCTGGAATCATTTGGGTTCAATCCGTATGTTTTACACACGAGTTGAATGTCACCACACTATTAGCTGCACTGATGCCCATGGACAATGTGATAATCTAGGAGGAAATAGTCCTGACCCACATGATTACTCTCCCTTATTCGTGTAGCTGTCCGATGGATGTCACGTCCAACTCGTCAAAAACACATCCAGATCGAACCGAACGAACCATAAACACCTCGAATAGCCGGTCTTTCACTTAACTGGCTAAAAGAAAAAGGGAAAATAGAGATGCAACGCTAAACGTACCGATTGAGAAGATGCATCAACCAATCCTTGTGAACCCTCGGCATGCAAACGGAACCTCTCATGAAATATGTGAGTCCGCTGGGCACCGAGTCATCCATTAGTACATAAGCAAACATCGGGAACTGGCTAAGTAGGAAGAGATGGATCAGATTCAGAGGCAGAAGAAGAGTGGAGTGAGCTGCTTTCAGATGCCACTCCATTACCCCAAGTACACCAGCCAGGACTACATGGCCATGCCAGAGTGGAAGCTTGATTGCCTTCTTGCTGAGTATGGCCTGCCGATCACTGGTGACTTGACCTACAAGAGAGACTTCGCCATGGGCACTTTCCTCTGGCCCGATCATCGCCAAGACCCAAGGCCTTCCTCTCGAGGCTGCGTTCAAGGAAACTTCTCTTCGCCAGAAAATCAAGTAGTTTTGTGATTTTATCTCGACAACTTCCGAGATTGATCTCATTCTGTCCTGCCCTCTCTTTTCCTTAAGATCAAAATCAGTTTACAGTCCTTTTGTAAGTGATCGCATGCAGTAATTTACTTTTCCAAACAAACGGACCAAATACTAACTAACAGAGAGATACATACATGTCTTGCAAATCAACATTATAGCACTGCTTTGAATCCTGGATATGATCATTGATGAAGATATTGCACTGAGCGTATATAAAAAAGCCGGGTGTTAAGCATTTACCATCATGCACCGTTCTACATCAACATAAACCCATGGGATCAAGTTAGATTGTTACAAACAACAGAGATTCGAAATTCACTTAGGCTGCAAAATTGTCAGTTTCATCCTCTGCAAGGACTGCTCAGGTTTTAAGGCAAATAATAATAATTCTTCACCGAGACCTCTTGAAAAAAATAACACTCTTCACTAGTTGATTGGATTAAGAAGAGGGAGAAAGCAGAATAGAGCCATTCCATTCAATAAAAGGTAAGTTGAACATACATGTACTGTCCACAATGAACCAGACATATGATCCCCAGCTAAGAATCTTTGATAAAAGCAATCAACTCCAATAGCAGGAACCAATGCATCCTGTCCTCGAGCTCGGTCTTCGACACTCCCCTATTTTCTAGAATTCAAGCCGTTAAGGCAGCAGTACTAGCAGATCCAAGATTCAGAGTTCACACTCAGTACAAGGTGCCATTGACCCTCATCCATTTACCTCTCTGAAATCTGTATGATTCTCTGAGCTGATCTACCAGCTCAACGATGCCAAGCATTAAAGGAGGGCACCGACGAGAACCACTGTCTGCAAGATGGTACCAGTTTTTAAAAAACAGCATCCAATTAAACCCCCCGAACACCTAAGTTAACAAGTTGCCATTAAAGACCAGATGAACTTAAATTTCTGAAACAGATCTCGTGGGTGATTTGCACTTGATGAGGAATGATGAAGTAACAATAACAAACTTTGTCACCTCAATAGAATTTCTATGCATCAATGCTAGAATAAGATACCAACAGACAAAAAAGACTAACAGAAATCCTAGAAAGACCAAGAGGATTGAACTAAGTACATGCTCAGGCAACTAATTCATCTTAAATTCCGCCTCCTCACACGCCTTCCATCTATATCCCTGTGTTCAGCTCCGGTCACAACTGGCCCCGTATCTAGTCCGTAAATGCTGCCGCTTCCCCTCTTCTTACTTGAAAATCGGTCAGAGGAATCATCCACAGTTACGAAAGCCTTGAGCAGTTCAGACAACAAGGAAGGGCAGCTCTCCTCCAAGTGCCTGAAGCCTTCTGACTGCATTACCACTGCGAAATTCAAAAAGATACTCCCACATCAAATCCATTATTAAGGGCACACTCGGAAGAGTAGCTGATTTCCAGATTATCACCAGTAAAGAAAAGGCGGGCATAGGGAAATAATCAAAGGTTAAACAGTAGGCAGCTACAGCAACAAAACATACGTCAAATATAAAAAATAGCCAAAAACCAATAAGATGAACAAGTGTTTCGCACAGCAAGGGAGGGAAGGAGGGAAGGAGTAGGGGGAAGAGGGGTTGCCATAGATGAGGAAGGGTACTTCAAATCACTGAAAGCAAATCAACCACAACAATCAGCAATAGAGAAGCAACTGAAAAGATTTAGCATGTTCAAAGACCTCTAAATGTGTCAAATCAAATTTTTGTGAGGAACAAACTTTGAAATACTTTTGCAGTCGAACCAAAGCACAAACTGTTAATTATTAAGATTTTTTTTTTGTTGTAGAGAGAAGGGGGGTCAAAGCACAAAAGTGTGATTAACCAGAAAAAAAGTGCCACAATATTTTTAAGACGCACCCGCCAAGTTTGTTGGATGTGCAGCAAATTTTAGACACATTGCCTTCAGCTGTCCAAACTGGTGCTGCTCAGCTAGGGCAAGTGTTGTAGCCACTGTATCAGCAGTAATTTCCTCACATAATTTCGACTCGCATAATAATTTCAATCGTTCTAGATTGTAGCGGTCGGCAGCAGCTAAGAGATGCTGCACCACGTTAGTCAATGTACCAGAAGAGGATGAGCCCGTGATTTCACGTAAATCAGGCATTTCGTCAGTGTAAATGAACAGGATCATTGCCTGCAGGAGCAAATAGAAAGAAAAAAAAATTGCCAGCTGGAGTCAGACATGGTGGTTTACATACTAGCACGATCAGTGCCGAATATACAGCAGGAGCGGGGAAAGAAACACATTGAGAATCATGCGATGCCAGTTTGCCAATATCAACATCATAAAGATTTTAATACATAAGAAACTCGCACTGGTCCAAGAAAAACTTAATATCTTACCTTAAAAATCGAGGGATCAACATCCTCTACGACAACTTTCTCTATATTGCAATCACCGACGAGACCAAAAAATTGGGCTCGAAAGACCGGAGAACGAGCTGCAAGGATCAATTTATGAGCTCTAAAGGTTTCGTCACCGACAACGAAAGCTATGTCACAGCCAACTTCAGAATCTAACAGGGCCTTCAGATGCTGGCCCATGTCGGATGGCGGAATGGGAATTCGGTACTGTTTGGGTCCCTCGGTATGGGTTCTCACAACCCCAACGGTACAGTGCATCACAAGGCAATCGTCCTTGATGTAATCAGAAGTCTCTAAAGCAACTCTCCTCAAGAAACGCTTGTAACCCCTGAAAGAGTGGCAAATCACAGACATGAGAAATGGACTCAGACATTTCAAAAGCTATTTGGTGCTAGTGAGCTCGAAAACCATTCACAGTTCGATAACAACGTCAGGGAGAGACACAACAAGAAGCCATCAGCATCGCTGGAGTCGATATACGCAATTCGATTGACGATCCCCTAGAAACCTAACGCCACGAAAAATCACGCGGATATGGGAAAAAGTCGTAATTTTGGACCTGATTCACCCCCGACACATCCAATTTAAGACCTAAATCTCAACATTCAACACCCGGCGAATCGCAACGGGACATCAACAGCAGCAATCGCAGCCTACAGAAAATCGAAATGAACGATCAAAAACGAATGAATGCCTACGTGCTCTTACCACATGCTGCCGCGGTACTTGAGGGTGTAAGGCCCGCTCTGGAGGGCGCGGTCGAAGTGGCTGTGGACCTTGTGCTTCCCCTTCCCGCTCTGGTCCACCAGCGTGAGCTCGAACAGCGCCCTGACGTCGGAGCCGTCGCTGGCCAGGGCGATGAAGACGGAGACGTACGTCGTGCTGTCCTCCGGGTTCTTCCCGTCGGGGTAGAAGTAGATGGCCCAGTCGTAGCCCCCGACGGTGAAGACGTCGCTGGTGATGAACTTGCCGGCCCCCATCCCCTTGGCCAGGGAGTAGCCGCTGATGGTGAACGCGTGGGAGCCGTTCACCGTCCGGCTGATCGACGTCGAGCCGCACTCCTCGTCGTCGTGGCCGGGCACGATCGGAGCATCCATCGCTTGCTCCCTCCGGTGGGGGCTTCGGCCAGGAATATTGGGGTAATCCATCGGGGTTTGAAGTTTGAAGAGGGGTTAGGGTTAATGATTTTTGATCGGAGATGAACGAGGGGGGAAGGATTCAACGACGGTATGTTGCGGGATTTTTGGCCGGAAAGTCATTCGAGCTCCGGCTGCATTTTCCGGCGGATTCTCTCTTGCATCTTCGCCTTCCTCATTGGGAGAGGGGTTGTGTGATGGGAGGGGGAGGGGGGTGGGGGCAAAGGAGAGCAATAAAATAAATCCGTTTCTTTTTTTTTTTTTTTTGGGAGCTTGTGAATTACAAAGTGTTTTTGAATTTTTTTTTTTAGCTGACTTGGTGATGGATTGCGCTTTCTTCGGATATGTAGGAATAAAATCAGTTTCTCCTATTCAAAGTATATATATGGCCCTTGGCCCCACCCCCCAAAAAATATGAAAATTTTAGATTATAGCTCTAGCTCGAGCACGAGCTACGAGAGTCTCTGGTAGGGTCGAGTTGGAGCTCGTTGATACTCATCTCGATATATTTGCGAGCCTGATCGAGCTTCTGTTACCCTCTTTTTTCTTCCAGAAATATTTTTTAATAAAATGGAGGTCGTTAAAGTATGTATCTAAACCCCTCTTATCCGTAAATGCGAGAAAAATGATCGAGTTTATTAAGCTCGAGTAACAACTCTAGGACGGCGGAGTCGAGGTCGAGCATTTGAATTTTCTATTAGGTTCATTTGTTTCGTCGAAAATGAATGATTTGGAAAAAAAAATTCGTTGAAATGATCGCTTGTATTTCTTACAAAATTGGATAAACGAAAACAATTCCATCGTCCATGAAAATATTTGGAATAATAATTAAAATATTTAAATATTCCATCAATAATAAATAGAAGTCCTGTAATTGCTCGCTTAATCATTCTCTGTCTTTTCATAAAGGAAGATCATTGTAAGTATAGATATATTGATTATTTGAAAATAATTTCCATATTTATATCCATACGATGAAGGAAACCACTGAAAAATCCACATGGTTTTGAAATTAACAAGAGGCTACGAGATAGGGTTTTGAACACAAAAAAAAAAACATATAATAAGTAACATTCTTTTTAAGTCTTGCAATCACAATAACGAAGTTGACAAATCACCGCGACGCAGTACGTACGTCGAAGAAGGGCCTCTCGAATTGTGATCTTCCTGAGAGCGCGTTCATGCATAGTAGCCAGACGAACTTAAAAATTCAAGCCAGAACTATACCGCTTTCATATCGAAATTCTCTCCATATGGACCAAAATCTGTGTTATGAATTATCAAAGAGTGCAAAATTCTCTGCCTTCTCAGCCCATCCTCCTCCTTCCAGAGCTGCATCCCCATTCCTCATTTCATGTATGGTTTCCCTGTTCCGGCCGTTACCCGACCGTGCTGCTGCTGCTGTTCCTCCTCCCCGGATGGCCGGCAAGCTCATCGACTGTGCTGGTCGCTGACGGCCAGGAGCAGCTCCGACAACACCGAAGGGCAGCTCCCCTCCAGGTGCTTGAAGCCTTCCGACTCCGTCACCGCTGTGAAATTTTAGAAGATTCAAAACTTCTACTCGATTAGTCAGGGCGTGCTTGGTATCTCTATGAAGGCTGGCTCACCTCTCAAGTTTGCCGGGTTTGTAGCAAATTTCAGGCACATTGCCTTCAGGTTGGGGAACTGGTGCTGATCCGCCAGCGCGAGTATGGTCGCCACCGTAACAATGGTGATCTGCTTGCCCAACTTCGACTCGCACAGTAGTCTCAATCGATTGAGACCGTAGCGGTCAGCAGCAGCCACTAGATGCAGCACCACATTGGTGGATGCAAAACGAGAGGTCGAGCCCGCGATCTCGCCGACGTCGGGAAACTCGTCGGTGTAGATGAATTCCAGCATTGCCTGCAAGAAGTTCGCCTTGCTAGTTCAAGAAAAGCTTGATATCCTCACCGATAACAGTTTGAGCAAGGAGAATTAGTCACCTTGAAAATGGAAGGATCCACGTCCTCCACGACGAGTTGCTTGATGTTACGGTCGCCAACAGGACCGAAAAACTGGGCTCTGAATACCGGTGATCGAGCAGCGAGAATCATCTTGTGGGCTTTAAAGATTTCGTCGCCAACTACGAAATTTATGTCGGTACCCAATCCAGAATCCAACAGGGCATTCAGACCCCGACCCATGTCCGACGGCGGAACGGCAACTCTGTAGCGTCTCGGTCCCTCAAGTCGGGCCTTCACAACTCCGACGGTGCATTGCAGGGTAAGGCAGTCGTCCTTGATGTAGTGCGATGCATCGGGATGATCTCTCTTCAAGAACCGACGGTATCCCCTGCAATAGCACAAAATCAAAGAAAGCATGCCGATAAGGATCGACTCGAAAGCATCAAGTGCGTCTTAACTCTCAAGATAAACTATCAAATGCAATCAAACAGTGATCAATCAAATGCGTACCACATGTTTCCGTACATGATCGTGTACGGGCCGTTCACGAGGGAGTAATCGAAATGGGTGAAGACCAGGTGGTTGTCGTTCCCGCTCTGGTCCTCCAGCCTGAGCATGAACAACGCCCTCACGTCCGAGGCCTCGCTCATCAGTTCGACGTACACCGACGAGTAGTCGCTGTCCGCCGGGTTCCTGCCGCCGGGGTAGAAGCGGATGGCCCAGTTGTAGCCGCCGGCGGCAAACACCTCGCTGGCCAAGAACTGGCCCACCGCCAGGCACTGGGCCTGCGAGAAGTTGGGGATCGCGAACGTGCACGAGCCGTTCACCGCGTTGAACACCACTCTAGAGTCGCACTCGTCGTGTCCGGCGGTCATGGGCGGAGCGACGGCAGGGGCAGGGTCCCGTGGGGTCGAGGCGGCGGCGGTCCTGGCCGGTTCTTGGTGGCGGGTGATCCCGGTCACGTATCAAGGCCGGATTTCGGAGAAGACTCTGTGGAGGAACCGGAGGGAAATCTTGGAAACGTTCTTCATCGGAGATGAAGAAGCAGAGGACTACTCATTTGGGAGGGGGCAGGTTTGAATTCGACGGTCGCCGTCGTGTGTGAGCGTGTGCGTCCGCAGGAGGAAAAATTTTCGTGCGTTTTTGCAGTTTTATAATTGTCCATAATGTCAAAAAAAAAGAAAAAGAAAACATGATTATTGTGCTTCTCTTAGTTGTTATGGATTTTTTTGTTTTTTGGTATATCTTGTTTAATTGGATTGAAATGATTTTTTTCGTTTTTTTAGTTTTTTATTCTTCTATATTTAGTGCTTGAAATTTATAGTTTATTATAATACCGAATACTTCAAATCATTCAAATTATATAGATATCTACATGCGAAATCTCTTTTGAAATCACATCGTAGAAGATAATTGAGCCTTGGATTCTGGAAATTTTATTAGATACGCCTTCATTATATTCACTATTTGGTTTTCGACACGTGGAAGAATTTAGTTGGAAAACTAACTTGTTATCTTGAGTAATTACTTTTTGACTTTGTAGAAACTGTCTTTATGGTGACGCCAAACCACCATGCACCAACCGGTGAATGAATCAAGACCCTTCTACCCAAAAAAGGGAAAAAAAACAGCATCGACAGTTTTTACAGTTGAGATTTGCGCTCTCCAGCGAGTCAACATCCTGATGATGAAACAGAGATCTAAGGTCGAACCTGATCATCAAAATCTTGGCATTGGGTCAATCTCCCTTTCTTTTTCTTGGGGAAGTACTTCGTTCAAATTCAACCAAGAAGAGGGTCAGATCCGCTACAAACCCAAAACTATACCCACTTTCATTTCAAAATTGTCGCCCTATGCACAAACATCTCTATGCAAAGAACACAAACTCCTCTGCCTTCTCAGCCCTCCTCCTTCCAAAACCGCATCCTTCTTTCATCTACCTACGGTTTCGGTTCTGGCCTTTGCCCAACCATGCTGCTGCTGCCGTTCCTCTGCGGACGGTCGGCAAATTCGTGGAGTGTGCAGGCAGTCAAGAGAAGCTCCGACAGCACCAAAGGGCCGTTGCTCTCCAGGTGCCTGAAGCCTTCCAACTACAACACTGCTGTGATATTTTCAAAGATTCAGAACATCGACTTGATCAGTAAGGGCGAGCTTGGTATACAATGGTTTATCTGGGAAAGAACTTCACCGCTCCATTTCTACAAAGGCTCACCTCCCAAGTTTTTGCCGGATTTGCAGCAAACTTCAGGCGTATTGCCTTCAACTTGTGGAACTGGTGCTGATCAGCCAGGGTGACTATTGTCGCCACCATTTCGGCGGTGACTCGCTTGCCCAACTTTGACTCACATAATAGTCTCAATCGATTGAGACTATGATGGTCCACAGCAGCCACCAGATGTAGCATTACATTGGTGGATGCAGGAGGAGAGGCCGAGCCTGCAATTTCGCCGAAATCAGGAAACTTGTCGGTGTAGATGAATTCCAGCATTCCCTGCAAGAAGTTTTAAGCACATAAGAAGCTCATCATGCTAGTCCAAGAAAAGCTTGATATCCTTACCAATAACAGTTCGAGCAAGGAGAATAGTTACCCTGAAAATAGTCAGATCAACGTCCTCCACGACGAGTTTCTCTATGTTACGGTCCTAAGTGGGCTCTGAATAACGGAGATCAAGTGGCGAGAATCACTTTGTGGGCTTTAAAAGTTTCGTTGCCAACTACGAAATTCATGTCGGTTCCCAATCCAGAATCCAACAGGAACTTCAGACCCTGACCAATGTCCGGCGGAACGGCCACCCTTTAGTGTCTCCCTCAAGTTGGGCCTTACGGTGCAGTGCAGGATGAGGCGGTCGTCCTTGGTGCAATGGGATGCCTCGGATCATCTCTCTTCAAGAACCGATAATATCCCCTGCAATAGAACAAAAGCACAAAAGATGTCTATAAAGATCTACTCGAAAGCATGAAGTGCGACCCAACTCTCAAGATAAATAATCAAACTCGATCAAATGCGTGCCTCATGTTTCCTCGGTTCATCAGCGTGCGCGGGCCCTTCGCAGGGGGTTGATCAAAATGGGTGCAGACCAGGTGGTTCTCGTTCCCGCTCTGGTCCTCCAGCCTGAGCCCGAACAATGCCCTCACATCCGAGGCCTCGCTTATCAGCGCGATGAAGGCTGACCAGGTACTTGCTGTCCTCCGGGTTCTTGCCGCAAGGGTAGAAGTAGATCACCCAGTCGTAGCCACCAGCGGCAAACACCTCAAGACATGAAGTGGCCCACTCCCCGAGACTGGGCCTCCCAGAAGTTGGTGATCGCGAACGTGCACAAGCCATTCACGGTCTCAAAGACAGTTCTGGAGTCGCACTCGTCGTGTCTGGCGGTCATGTTCGGTTCTTGTTGGTGGCCTGGTGGGTGATCGGGGGAGGTTTCAAGATCGGATTTCGTAGAGGAGAACATAGTGTCTAAGCGCTTATCGATTTCAAGATTGTTAAGCTAGTCAGCAACACAATTTCATTCTCGAGAATTATATTGCACTTTGAGCTTAAAATGAGAACTCAACAATCTTCAAATATCTTTAAGCAAAATAGGCCTTCATTATCAACCATAAGCTTTGGACGTACAAGATTAGCGACCACTGTAGAGTCAATCTCAATAATCATGTAGTGAAAATCAAGTTATTTTACGAAGCTGAGTCCCAACCACAATGCCCAAAGTTTTACTTGTAATGATGAACATATTCCAGTGAAGGTTGTAAAACTACCAAGCCAATCACCCGCTATGTTTTTGAATAATCTCCTGCACCTACAAGTCTTGCATTACCTTTAAGGGCCCCATATCAGGGTGGAATAGGCAGTCATCAATGCTTAGTTTGTGAAGAGCTCGATGTTTAGTGGACTAGGCACTTCTCCAATTTTGGTTTGTTGGCATCCTCCACCTTCAAGGTGGATTGAACCTATTTTTTTAATTTTAATAAATATTCACTCTCACTCATCATAGAGAAAAGGGGAAAAATTCAAATAATGGCCGGAGATGGGACCATCTTCTCAAAAAAAAAAAATCTAAAGTAGACCTTATTTCAAATAAAATGTCTAAGTGGCTTAATTAGTATCAAATAAGAGCTTGAGCCCGCCAAACATCAAACAACTTTACAGTAAACATTTACTTTCTACAGTGAGTCACCATCCTAGCAATGAAACAGATATATGAAATCGCGCATCTCCCTCTCGAACCCGATCATTAGAATTTTGGCTTGAGTCAATCTCCCTTTTCTTTTTCTTGGGTAAGTACTTCATTTAAATTCAACCAAGCAGAGGGTCAGATCTGCTGCAAACCCAAATCTGTTCCACTTTCAGATCAAAATTGTCACCCTATGCACAAAAATCTCTATCCAAAGATCAAACAACTTTCTTCTTCAACTTCTTTAACTTTCAGGGAAAGAAAACAATGTTATGAATCATCAAAAAATGAAACATTTGCCTTCTCAGCCCTCTAGAGAATGGAAACCCCATTCTCCATTCTACGATAACTTTAATAAGAGCCTTTCATTTGCTTCTCTTCAATGGAAGTTTTATTTTCCCGGACTGTATCCTATTTTTGGCCTAATTCTTTTTATGATTGATTCAACCTATGATAAAAAAAAAAGATATACCTTGGTTTATATTTCATCTCTCCAACAAGTTTGGTAATGAGGATAACAGCCCTATTGTGCCGGTTAAAGAGAAGAGCCTAACATTATCTTTTCAGGAGATTTCCAAAGGCCTTCCAAAACCGCATCCTCCTGTTCATCTATCGTTTCCCTGTCTGGCCTTTGCCCGACCAAGCTGCTGCTTCCGTTCCTACCCAGACAATAGTCAAGAGAAGACCGAAAGGCAGTTGCTCTCCAGGTGCCTGAAGCCTTCCGACTTCAAACACTTCTGTGAAATTTTAATAGATTCAAAAGATCAACTCGACCAAAAATCTGGGGCTCTGAATACCGAAGAGATCGAGCAACAAGAAATCACTTTGTGGGCTTACTAAGAAATTTATGTCGGTTCCCAATCCAAACTTTAACAGGGCCTTCAAACCCTGACCCACGTCAGACCGCGAAATGGTGACTCTGCAGTGTCTCGGCCCCTCAACTTTGGCCTTCACGACTCCAACAATGCAGTGCAGGATGAGGCGATCGTCCTTGATGTAGTGCAACGCCTCAGGATGATCTCTCTTCAAGAACCGAGGGTATCCCCTGCAATAGCACAAAACCAAAGAACGCATGTCAATAAGGATCAACTTAAAAGCATAAAGGGTGACCCAACTCTGAAGATAAACAAACAAATTCGATCAAACAGTGATCAATCTAATGCGTACCGCATGTTTTCCCGGTACACGAGCGTGTGCGGGGCCCTTCACAAGGGGGTGATGGCAAAGGGTGAAGACCTGGTGGTTCCCGTTCCCGTTCTGGTCCTCCAGCCTGAGCTCGAATAACGCCCGGCGGCGAACACCTCGCTGGCCCACTCCCCGAGACTGGGCCTCCAAGAAGTTGGTGATCACGAACGTGTAGGAGCCGTTCACAGTCTCGAAGACCGTTCTGGAGTCGCACTCGTCGTGTCTGGCGGTCATGGGCGGAGGGGTCATGGTCGGATCTCCAACAAGAATTAGTGCGTGGGGGACAAATAGCGGGGGTTGAGAGGGTTGGGGATTCTTCATCGGAGATGAAAGGCCGAGTACTAATTTGGGAGGGGTAGGCTTGATTTCAACGTTGGTCGCGTGTGTTAGTGTGTGCTCTGCAGTAGAAAAAATTTCATGCATTTTCCAGATTTATTTCCCAAAATGGCAAAAAAGATTTTTTTTAGTAAAACAATACGGTATGGATTCTCTTATGAAATCAACTATTTAATTAAATTGAAATGATTTTTCGTTTTTTGACTTTTTTATTCTTCTCGTTTTTAGTGCTGGAAATCTGCTTTTTTATTTAATACCGAACGCCTCAAATCTTTCAAAATATATAACTTTATAGGGGGGATTTTTGTTAGATCCACGGTTGGTATAAAAGATATTAACATATTCATTTTTTGATGGTCGACATGTGGAAGAATTCAGTCACAAAACTAACTCTCCGAAGACACATGCTATAGTAAAAAAGTTGTTATACTAGTGACGGGCTCAATCATAAAATCCTGTTTTGGGAAGGAAGCAGTGGTTACTTTCTGACTCTGTAGAAAAGTGAAGACGGATGCATCCGAATCATATAAGAAAAGCGAAGATAGTAGAACTGGCAAATTGTTTACCGATTGTCCATGACAACCGACCGTAATGGCTACCATCGTCGATGGCCAGGTTGCGAGAGGAAAAGGATTGGGAGGATGGTCGTTTCGCTCTATTCGAATCACACTATATTTTTCTTTCTGCAGATAAAAGGATCGAGTAGGTTGTATTTATATGAGGTGGACAATAAGAAGTTGTCAAAAAAAGATAGAAAGCAAGACCCCACATGCCATATATGTGTGACAATACATGGCACATTGTGGGTAAGTGAGATCCAAATAGTAATGAGGTGGATTCTACATCTGGAAATATTTATAATGAGTTGGATCTGTATTTTCTACTTCTGGAAATAAATACAGCTAAGTACATTTATCTATAATGAGGTGGATCTGTATTTTCGTCATAAATGACGTAAATTTTCAATAGTTTTGATCACGATAATAGAAGAATAATCGTTGTAAGTATTGTTATTAAAGCGAAAAACATCAAGTAATGACCAAGTTACTTTGGTTGACAATGTTCTTTCATGATAATTCAATAGAAAATATTGCTATCGGAGGAAAAGGGATCGATGATCAACATGTCAAAATCCACTTCTGAAGCAAGAATAGCACTGTCCAAGACTTCATTCTTCCAAGAAGACACTCTAAATCTGAAGAGAAATTCTAAATCCTCTAAAGTATTTGGTCAAAGTTAAAGGTGCCACAAGTCAAGCAGCACACGCAGAAGCCCTTGCCCTTGCTGGGACCCTCACACACTTAAATTCCCGAACTAGAGTTAGGTTCTCGAGTCAAACAATTCCAAGTTGATAAATGAGTCGAAGTCCGCAGATCAGAGTTCTCGGGAAAGTACCGCTCATCACCGAAGGGCGTGATCTGTTGACTCGATTTTAAGATATAGAAACCGATGGAATCGCAGATTGGGATACTAAAGCCCAAAGGAAAAACGTTTTCTCGAAAAAATTTGGTTGGCCCAACCCCCCCGCCGGTCCTGTAGAACTTACTCTGTTCAGTTTGTTCTGAAGCCTCTGTCTTATGGGCTCAAATGTTCCTACGAAACCGCTATTCCCACATGCAATATATATGTGGGAATTGATATACATTGTGAGCAAGTGAGATGGAAATAGAAATTTTTATTTGGAAAATGAAGAAGTGAAACTAATTGCCAATATGCATGCGGCCCTATTGGTTAAGGGATTGGGGGGTGGGGACGCTAATATCACAAGTGCGAGGTTCGACTCCCGCGCTCTGCAAGAGGCAAAGAAAAAGTCAGAGAGAGAGGAGAGTTAGAAATAGAACAGACTTAAAAAAAACTAATTTTTGCTACCGAAAATGAATATAGCTAGTAATTTAATTAATCTAAATTTGCACGGTAAACTAGAAATTACGGCAAGTCTTTAATTAATTTACTTTGGAGCACTTCACAATGGGATATAAGCATCTTCTTTCCTTGGTGATTTTGGGCAAGAGATCTGGTGCACTTTGCTTTGGTTGGATCCCGCAAAGGCCCAAATTAGGCTTCTAACTTCAATTTAGGAAACAAAATCTTGCATCCGCCACATATTTGGTGAAAAATAAAACATATAGATACACCTTGGTTAATGACCAAGTCACTTTAATTGAAAATCATCACATAAATTGCGAGTCACCCCCACTCGCGAAAATATCATTTAATGACCATATGTCCCGATGATTATTATTTAATAGAAAATATCACTTTTGGAGGAGGAAGATGAGTAATCAATCGGTCAAAATTCCACTTCTTAAGCAAAAATAGCACTTTACAAGATTTTGCAAGAGCAAATTTGGATCCCCATTTATATATAGTAGATCCCGATGATGTAAATGAAGTGGGTAGTGCTTCAAATGATGATACAGCTTCCTACACGGCACGTTTACGTAATCAAATAGCCATAAATTTAGCAAATATTTAATGATGGTTGTGATTTTTAGGGATGCTTGTAGTTTTTAGGGATAATGAATTTTTTTCCTTCGGGGCGTATGTTACCACGTTCATTGTAATGAAATTACTCTCTTTTTTAACTAAGAAAGAATATACTTTGATGTGATTTTTTCCATGTGATTTTTTTTTTTAGCAAAAACACGAAATCTTATTTTTACATTCTTTTACATTATTGTCAACATATAAATTGTAAAAGTCGCGGGCATTATTTTTTTCAATTTTAAACATATTAAAAGTTAAAAAGTTTAAGTTAATCTCATCAAGTGACTTTTCAAACGTGTTTCCACTAAATAACATTTCTTTCAAAGTTGCTTTCCAAAATCTTTTTCGATTACATTTTACCAAACAGTATTCTAGTGCGCCCTTGTTTGGTTAGATCTTGCAAGACCCGAAAGAGATCTTGATTAGGCTTCTAACTTTTGCACCCGCCACATATTAATCGAAAATCAATCACATGAATTGCGGGCCCCACGACTTGTGAAAATATTGTTTAATGACGATTATTATTTAATAGAAAATGTCGCTTTTGGTTTTGGAGGGGGAGGATAATCAGCCGGTCAAAAATCCACTTCTTAAGCAAGAATAGCAGACTCATTTTTCAACAACTGTCCAAATCTCGAGAAAATTTTTATGTCCCTAAGTTTCTTGGTGCAAGTCAAAGTTACGAAAAGGCAATCGATGCGACAATTAAATTCATTAATAATTTAGTGACTTCGAATGATTTTTTAAAATGGTTATTACCACGAAAAACTCTTAAATGATCCACATGTGACAATTTTATCCTGAATTAATTTTTTGATCACCATAAACCCCAAACTGGTACATCTGTGACAAATTTACCTCGAACTATTTTTTTTACCACCAAAAACCCCAAACTGGTACACTTGTAACAAATTTACCCTTTAGATTAATATCACGAAAAATCACAAATTGGTAAACTTGTGACAAACCGAGGGGTAAAACCCAAACTGGTACACCGGTCAACTACCACGTGTCATCAAACTTAGCAATTTGATAGTAAAATTTAACGGAAATTGATGAAGGGTAAATTTGTCACAAATATACCAGTTTTGGGTTTTTGGTGGTCAAAAAATTAATTCGGGGTAAAATTGTCATAGGTGTACCAGTTTGGGATTTTTGGTGATCAAAAAATTAGTTCGGGATAAAATTATCATAGGTGTACCAGTTTGGAGTTTTTTATGGTCAAAAAATAGTTTAGGATAAATTTAAAAAAACGCAACTTTAATCCCATCGTTCACTTCAGAGCGCATGAAACGGACGACTCCTTCCTTCTTTTTAAAGAAAGTATTCGCAAATTATTTCGTCCATAAATGGTTTGCCGAAATCCGTTAAAGCGATCTTGACATACTGGGTTTCTCCCGTGCGTGCCGTTTCCGGTCAAGATTGCTGTAGCACACGACGAGCCCGTATTTCGTGGTCGGCACTCTGAGCGTTTTGCTCGGTTGCCGGCGTCGAGTGATCCGAGCCTAGAATCCTTGAATTCGTCTATCTTCATCTCTGCTTCCGTCGCTAGAACTCGGAAAAAAGTTTCCCGTTATGGCCATCTCGAAAGTACGCAGGTAAAATGTGGTCCCTTGTGAGAAAGTCTTGGAAGTGGGTGGTCACCAGCGTCAAACGTTGGGCAACCTAGAGATGATGGACCTGGACATCGGTTGATTGGAACACGCCACCAGTTCGCGGAAAATTATTCGCATCCCTTGAAGTAATTAGTCGGCGAAAAGATTCGTCATTATCATCAACGGTATATATTTAAATATTTTCGCCCGTGATAAAAATATCTTTCGCATGTCCATTTTTGGGAGCGATACGAACAATTTGATTTTGGGAAAATATCTTCTGAATGATTACCGCTCCGCGGTATCATGACACCTTATGAATGGCCAGTATTTACACGTTTGTTAGGCAGAATTGATATTGATCGGGCAATGGAGAGGTGGGTCCTTTGTACTTCAAAGAGAGTCTTGCACGCTTTAGGAAGGTACCTCGACGACTTGAGGTTGCATTTTCGTGAAGAGGTTGCCCAACTCCAGCTTGCGTCTTTGTGCAATGAGGGATGGGGAATTCAGAGGCAAGGGAGGCGGGTCACCACTAGCTTCCTTCGATGTACAAATCTCGTGATGTGTCCATCGAGTTCCTTTTGGCTGCATTCGGTAGACGGGGTAAAAGTCGTTTTATCCTATGTTTGGTTCCTGTTCGAGAAAGCATAGTGTCGAGCATAAGAGGGATATAGCCCACATGAAAATATCACGCGTGGAGGGTGAGATAAAGGTGAATAGCCCGATAGGATTTCCTATATCCATGGTGTGAAAGCTAATTTTCAACCATTGATACTTTGATAGCAAGAGACGTGCCGCAAGAACCGTCACAAAGTATGGTCAACCTGCGAATTTTGCAGTTCGATTGAGAGAGGTTTGTTTTTTGAAGGAAATTTTCTCGAATCGATGCTATGTCTTGCTTATGGAAGTCACAGGAAGCTGAAAACCAATCGTGACCTTTACAGGAAAGTACTTCATGAGATGAACGAGGCAGGAAAGCGAGAAGTGGGTTTCATAGTAGAGCAAAATTGTGCCGTCATTTAATGACCAAAACACGCTAAGGTTCTCAGTAGCCAGAATTATAGGTCACAAAGACATTAATTGCTCTCCATTATCCCAACTGCCATGTACCAGCCAGGAAAGTGAGATATTGATCCCAATGCGCGGGTGTGAAGGCTTAACTTCTCTATTGCCAAACTTGTCAAACTCTACAAATAAAGTTTTAATTCTTTGTGCCATGATCCACGGTCCTCTCGCCGAACAATCCTAAGTAGGCATGACCGGATTAGGGTGGGATTACGAAGCCAACTGGCCCGAGGGAAAATGCAAAGCCATTGCAGATTTTCATGAGACTAAATCTTCTATAGGTGAATCAATTCCAAACTTCCTTTAACAGTATCATAAACTTTTTTACAATGCTCATTTTAATGTCATAACATTCCAAACGATCAATAAACCACCACAATTTTAAAGAAATCGATCATTTAAATGACATTGACCATTTGTGTCGTGTGAAAATCTTATTTGGCTTTATCTTTAGAATAAATAATCCGACTTGTCTCGCTTGAGATGTCGACATTTAAGATACAAATGACATGACATTCGGCAACACAATTTTCCTCCTAATTGAAAATTAGGTTCAATTTGCTCCATAACTAAACCCTAAAGCAGCTGAAAATGTGTACCCGCATTCAAATTTCTAGCTGAAGACGGATAAAATATCGGATGGACGCGTCTTGCCAAGTCGGTAATAAGCCATTCCATTCGTTGATCAACAATTGTCTGGTGAAGTCTACGTTTCAGATTTTTCAGAAATTCCTTACTCAATCACTTGCTCTTTTCCGTAGCCACTCCAACAACTAAAGCTTCAAAGTTTGTGGAGCTTTCCGGTGCTGGAACAACTCCTCTGCAGCTGCACGACAGAAACAGAAAATACACATCGAATAAAAAAAAATTTCCTTAGAAAAGGACCTTACACAAAATAATTTGGGAAAAATCGGCACACACTGTTTTTGCGCCGATTTGGATTTTCCAGTCGGTAGGCAAAGAGATTCTGTTCGATGGATGAACTTAACAAGGAGCGAGAAAAGAAGATGTGAGGGGTGTTTATGGAAAAGAGCAGGTGAGTGAAAAAGGGATTTCTAAAAAATCTGAAACATGAGAGACGTTCCACCAAATGGAGTTATTTATTGCTGACACCGACATTGAAGATGGCGACCCGCGAGGGGGAGGAGTGACATTCCAAACGGAGCCACCTAGAAAAGCGAGGCTATTTAAGATACGAGGAAGACCAAGCGACTAAGTAGATATTTTTCTTGCAAGAGTGCCCCTTGTCCAACGACTTCAGCAGTAACTGCGAGGAAGCTGTTTTGAACGGGTCAATAATTGGATTTAGGAATGTGTGGTTCGTTATAAAGCACACTATCTCAAACAAGTTGAATGGTGCAAACCTCAACTTTTAACAGTCGTAGAATACAGTTCTCCCCACAATCATGTCTTGTTCTCTTTCTTTGTGGACTCTCTTAATCCTTTTCTCCCTCATCCGCTATCCTGCTATCCCCTTTGTCAGTTCCCTTTCCTTCAATATAAGTAGCTTTGACGCGAATGGAGGCAACATACTGCTCGAAGGAGTTGCGAGAATTGTGTCTGGATCCGTTGAACTAACCGATAGCACTACCCCACAACCAAGCTTTCAAGTAGGCCGCATTCAGTATTCCAAACCCATCGATCTATGGGATTCTGTTACAGGGAGACAAGCAGACTTCTTTTCTCGCTTCTCATTCACCATCACCCCTTTCAACTCCACTCTATATTGTGATGGCATGGCCTTTTTTCTTGCTCCTGTTGGCTTCACAATCCCCCCTAACTCTGGTGGTCCATTTTTAGGATTGTTCAATGCAAGCACAGCTGATGGTGGCCCTCGGAACCAAATCGTCACGGTCGAGTCCGATACTTTGTCGAACTCGGCATTTGATCCTCCGGGGCAGCACATAGGAATCAACAAAAACTCACTCTCGTCGCTTGTTCATGCTGGTTGGAATGCTGGATCACACAGCGGCAATGCAACTGATGTTATGGTGACCTATAATTCCACTAGCAAGAATCTTAGTGTATTTTGGTCATTTGATGACAAGCCGGTTTCTCTAGATGACAAAAGTTCCTCGCTTTCTTGTGAAATTGATCTAGCCGAAGTTCTTCCTGAATCAGTTGCAATTGGATTTTCAGCTTCCTATGGCATCTTGGGGGAGAGACACGGCATCAATTCATGGGAGTTCATTTCAAACTTGGATGTTGCACATCCCCCATCAACATATGCAACAAAAAAGGGGGTAAAATCTAAGATATATAGGTTGATAACATTTATTACAGTTCCCGTAGCATGTCTCTTGCTGGTTATTTCGGCAGGTTCTTGCTTATTTATGATCAAGATGAGGGACAAATGTGAGTTTCGGGCTCTGACTTACATTGACAAAGAGATAGTAACATTGCCACTGCAATTCTCTTATCAAGAGTTGCTTGTTGCTACAAACGGCTTTGCAAATGATCGAAGACTAGGCCGAGGAGGGTCCAGCCAAGTTTACGAAGGATTTTTGAACCGTTTAGATCGCCGAGTCGCCGTCAAAAGAATCTTTGCAGAATCCAAACATTCAAAAAAGGTCTTCACCAACGAAGTGAAGATAATAAGCCGCATGATACACCGAAATCTGGTGCAATTCATTGGATGGTGCCAAGAGGAAGGTGAGTTTTTGCTTGTTTATGAATATATGCCTAATGGTAGCCTTGATAATCATCTCTTCGGAACTCGAAAAATTCTGCCATGGGATGTGAGGTACAAGATAGCTTTAGGGCTGGCGTTAGCCCTCAACTATCTTCATGAAGATCTAGAGCAGTATGTTCTTCACAGAGATATAAAAGCCGCCAATATATTACTCGACACAAACTTCAATACTAAGCTCGGAGACTTCGGAGTGGCTAAGCTCGTTGACCCCCAATTCAGGACACAAATGACGGACGTGGTAGGGACATATGGTTACCTGGCACCTGAATATTTGAGTGAAGGTAAGGTTACTAAAGAATCCGACATGTTCAGCTTTGGGGTTGTGGCTCTAGAAATTACATGCGGTACGAGGACCTATCAAGAAGGAGAATTTCACGTTCCCCTACACAAGTGGGTTTGGCAGCTGTACCTTGCTGGAAACATGCTTGAAGCAGCTGACGAGACATTAGGTTCCAATTTCGATAGGAAGCAAATGGAATGCTTGATGATGCTAGGACTGTGGTGCGTGCATCCAGATCCGAAGAGAAGGCCAAAAGCAGGACAAGTTGTCAGATTTCTTCAAGGAGAAGTCCCGGTGCCTGAGCTTCCACTTGACACATACGAAGCTCCCACTTCATATCAGCCATTAGCACAAAGAATAGAATCGTCTTTTATTGAAGAATTCAGTTCCTGTTCAGCAAGATAGATCATGGCTCCTAAAGCCATACAGCAACACATTTTGACTTTTCGGAAAATAAACTAGATGTTGTGATAGAATGTTTATGATCAATCGACCTACTCTTTGCTGTAATAATGTATCATATGTATTGGCGATAAATTGGTTCAATCAAGTCCTCCTATTAGCTCCATCCAACTTGGCTAATGGAAAATATTGATTTGGTTTTTTTTTTCTCTCCCACATAGCGTTGATGTGGCTAAAACGACGTCGTTTGATCCAAATTTGATTTTTTTAATAAACATTGTATTTAAATTATAATAAAAATAAATTAAATTTAAAAAAGGAAGGGAAACCAATCACCTTTGCCCCACCATCACCGGGAAGGGCCAGCAATGGTGGGGGATGGCTGGCAAAGAGTCGGTGAGGGTCGCTACCTTCACTCAAATTGGGCGAGGGTCACCAGACCTCACCCAGATCTTGCCGAGAGCCACCACTGGCTGAAACTTTTGGTAGTTGGACTTTTGGATATGAGTTGAGATAGTGGTTGGGTTTAGTTGAGTTTGGCGATATATATTGCTTTTGGTGGATTTTAGAACGTTGATTCTATAGCCAACACATTGTCTTGATAACGGGTTATTGTTTGTTATGTTTGAGATTGCGTCCTTCAGGTATGAGGACAGCCGTTTCATTTCTTCTATACTTGTGGGAGTCAGGGTGTGACAAATAAAGCATCTTGCATTCGCTTCCTACTATGTGTAGATAATCGTGATTATTCTTGATGTAGTGTCGCACACCTAACGAAGTATCCTCGTTTCTAAACTAGTACACAGATTGCAAAAAGTAAGCATACTATTTGATAGGTATGTGATATCGTGTCAGCATAATAATGCATTATATTCAAGACCATCGTTAACAGCAAGGTCCTTGTAATTGTGGTACAGCTACTTAATTATGAGATTATAATGCTGAGGTACGCTATAATTTAAGTAATAATAATATTTAAACCAAATGTTTGGTCCAGTGAATTCATGTGTAATGTAAAAGCCGCTTAAACTTGTTTAAACCTGCTAGGATACCTCTTTATATGCTCTTGATCAGCCAAGAATGGTCATCTTGGTTAGGGGTGAGTGTGGTTCCACGGTAGAACCGAAAACCGTAGAATCGGACCCGGTGGGTCCGATTCGGTTCCAGATTCCATGTAGAGAGGGTCCGGTTCCCCATTTTTAGGATTTGGCGGTTCCGGTTCCTTGGGGAACCAGAATCAAGAACCGAGATCCCTAGAGGCCAAAACAAAAATTATAATCTCTAATTCCCAAATCTTACTATTTTGGTCTTTTCTCACTTCAGTTTCCTTCACTTCTTCCTTGATCTCGAAGGCGGAGACCGTGAGGAAGGACGAAGGAGCGGCTTACCAGTAGAGCGTCGGATGGAGCTTGGCTCTTTCCTCCCCTTAATCTCTCCGCCCTCTTCTCCGTCGATGAATGACTCTTCGAGTCTTCTGGAGGAAGACGAAGGTTTCGCGGGCGTGATTTTCCCCCAAAATCCGATGCCCTAATTCAGAGACTCGCCATTTCACGGGCGTGATTTTTCCCCAAAATTCGGAACGGCCCGACGGGGGTCTTGAAGGTGATCTTCCCGGTGAGCTCCTTGATCTTCCCCCAAATTCCTAATCTTGCCCTACTCCACCTGGGCCGTGATCTCGGGTGTGTGGGAGACCAGCTTCCCGATCTTCTTGAGCTTGTAAGGACCTAACTGGGTTTTCTTTGGAAGGGCTGCTGGCGTCGGAGCTTGGAAAACTTAGTCAATTACGATCTCTGTAAGTAGGCCATTTCGATTTCTTTGAAGTTGAGGAGATCTTACCGTCAGCCCTTACTGTAAAATTACACATCCAAGCGAAATTTAGTTATATTCTGTCTATTTGACACGTAAGTTAACTTATGGTAATGAGGAGAAAATTTCAGTAGAAAGCCTGGCACTTTTATCTAAAAACAAAGTTGTATGTGCTGGGAGTTCTTGCCTAAACTCTTGTGTTAGAAAGTTGACAATTTCATTGTTATTATGATAACTGATACATAAGTCTGGGCAAAAGAACACCAGAAGTGTCATAAGTCGTGTACGGATGTCACTTTGGTGCCATAACTTTTTTTTTAGATCACTTTGGTGCCAATTTTTTTTGAAAAACGATCAATTTAGTGCCAACTCCGATTTGCTTGCCGGAAATCCGACGTGGCCCTGACATGGCTCGCCGAAGAGTTCCAGTCAGCATTAAAAACAAAAAACGACGCCGTTTAGTCCGCTGACGTGTAATTTTTTAGAAAAATAAAATTTAAATTATATTAAAATAATTAAAAAACAAAAAAAAAGGAAAATACCACCAAAAATCCCAAACTATGACACTTGTGACAATTTACCGTGAACTTTTTTTTGACATGAAAAACCTCAAACTATGCTATTTGTGACAAGTTTACTCTGAACTTTTTTTTGTAATACTAAAAACCCCAAATTATACTTACTGTGACACATTTACCTCACAACACTTTAACCCAAGGTTATTTTCGTCTTTTTCCTTTTTCTATTTTTTTTTTATTTTTTCTTTCTTCTCCAGCGAGGGCGACCCGCCCTCGCCTGACTCAGGCGAGGGCTTCCCTCACCCACCCAGGCGAGGGTTGCCCTCGCCGGATCTAGCGAGGGCGACCCTCGCCGGCGTCGGGCGAAGGTCGCCCACGCCCGACTCAGGCGAGGGCGACCCTCGCCTGAGTCGGGCAAGAGCTACCCTCGCCGGCGTCGGGCGAGGGTCACCCACGCCCGACTCAGGCGAGGACGACCCTTACCCGCCTAGGCGAGGGCTTCCCTCGCCCAACGTCGGCGAGGGCCAGCGAGGGTCGCCCTCGCCATATCCGACGAGGGCAACCCTCACCTGAGTCGGGCGACGGAAGCCCTCGCCCGGCCGGCGGTGGTGGGGCGGTAGCAAACCCTCGCCTGTTGCTGCTTCCCCTTTTTTTTCTTTTTTTTTTCTTTATTTGAATATAATTTAATTTTAATTTTTTTTAAAAAAAAGTCACCTAATTTCCATGTGTACAAGGTAGACCATTTTTTTTAAAATATAAATGCCAGGTCACCATTTTTTTTAAATGTAAATGCCAGGTCAATTTTTGGCCGGAGTCACTAAAGTGATCTATTTTTCTCCGACTTGGCACTAAAGTGATCAAAAAAAAAATTATGGCACCAAAGTGACCTCCGTACACAACTTATGGCACTTATGGTGTTCTTTTGCCCATAAGTCTGCATTGTCTAGTGAATTTTACGTTGATCTTCTGTACTCCTGATAGATCATAAGTTGATTGTGTCAGACTTCATCTTGTTTCGAAGATTGCTACCACGTATAGTTATATGCTAGTAAGAATCAGACATCTGAAACAGTAGATTGGATGCAAGATATGTCCCAATCTCTGTCTTAACCATATGCAGTAGTACTTAATTCAATATGTCAAGGGGTGGTAGATACTTCTTCTTCGGCAGCAATCTGAGGATCATTGAGGTAAGAACGGGCATTTTAACTCTCGCTACTGAGAGAGCCAACTTAGCTAGAACTTCGACATGAAAAATGTGTGATTTTCTCTTTTAGTGCTTGAAAACTAAATCACAAGCTCTGCGTAGCCATTGTGAGTCAGATGAGTACGAAAGTCTAGTGAGTAATCTATTGATGAGAGAATAATCCGAAATATCATATGACTTTCTATAATCCTTAAATATATCCCAGGTTTCTTCTATTTGGTGATCTTTGAGTGCAACTCCAATTTTCTCCGGCAAAAGTGCTCGAGTTGAATTTGGTGCTATTTTAGTGTTTTTGCAGGGTGTGAACTCTCCATTTTGCCTCCGTGACAAAGCTCTCTTCTGACTGAAGTAAGGAAAAAATAATCTCAAGAGATGGCTCTTTCCAGTGCAATGATGCACAATAATCTCTCCTCGTGTCGTTAAAGCCATTCATATACAAGTCAGATGGCCCTTTTATTTGGAGAGAGTCTGGGATTTGCAATAGGTACTACTATCAAATGCTGTGAAGCATTCATCATATCTTGATATGAACAACCATAGGCATATTTTCATAAGGAGCAGAATTAGATGACCCTTGTATTTGGAGTCATTGTCAAACTATCATACTTGCTTCCTGGTCTACCAGGCTTAAATCTCACCCACATTGGGAACCTGTCCTTCTGTTCCCTGCACCTAAACACCACCCTGCTGAGGTAAATTACAAAGTTTGAAAGGTTAAAGGGATAAACATAGTCCACTCATTCAGATTCATGATGCATTGTAACTTTCAATGTCGAATTGTACAGTTTCTCAGCGATTACTATCATACTTCTTGTCTTGTTAGAAATTCATGCCGAGTTCCTCACGTTAATCTTGATATTTTCGCTCCTGTAGGCCTGGAGAGTTGCTGAGGCTCCGAAAAATGACAAGTATCAATACACATACTTCGGACACAAGATAAACAGTTTCAATAGTGCTCCCAAAAAAGTTCTGGCTTCTGACTCTCATTTACGTCCCGATAGATATGCACTTGAGCAAGGTGACCTCCCTAAAGTTGGTGCTGAAAAGAGCAGGTTTCTCTTCTTCTTCTTCTTCTTCTTCTTCTTCTTCTTCTTCTTCTTCACTTTAGATGTGATGTTTTAATTTGGCATTAGTTGGTACATGCGAAAAAAATGAATTTTAATTCTTGTTTGGGCTTGCTTTTGGTGTTGTTTATGGTTAATTTAGTTATGTGCAGCTTGTAGAGGATTGGCTTTTGTTGACATTGTGTTGTTCATTTCATGGAGGTTTCTTTACTTGGGTTCTGTTGCTGAGAATAGAGGATGAGCACTTCATGTTTCCGAACTTGAGGAGTTGTTGAGTGGTTGCATTGAGTTAGAAGTGAGCTTCATAGTCTTCAATCATCAGTAGACCCTTAATGCAAATATTGCATAAATTGATCAATTACAAATGCATTGTGTAACAGGCCACTCTTTATTCTTTACACATTCACAATCTCCGTGATTTTTCCAACAATTAGTCTTTCGTTTTGATTAACTAAAAATGAAAAAAAATAAAAAAAGAACCTGTCAGATCCTGAAACCTGTGACAGGGTAGGTTCCAAGTTTCACGTTTTGACGGGTAGATTCCAAGTTTCAAAAAATGAGAAACCTGTACCCGATGGTAGGTTCCAGGTTCCGGGTGGAACCTGTAAGAAACCTAGAACCACTCACCCTTACTCTTGATCGTCATTTTAATATTCTTATCAACCGAGTCAGACCTTCGTGGCCTATATAATGCCTTAAAACTCATGTCTCCAACTCATAAGCCTTAATTGAAGCCCTTAATCATGTTTAGCATGCACTTGGTGACTTCTGCTCTTCATTCTCTGTCCTCTCAATTGCTTGTCTATTCTATTGTTTGCTACATACATATCCCTTACTCACGCTGTTCTCCTTCAACATTACTTGCTCCGAGCCTGATCGAACGACGCCGGGATTTATAGGGCGCCATCAATCTCACTAGGACTGACGATGTCCTATTTCTCCGAACAGGTCGCATTCACTACTCCAAGCCAGTGTACATATGAGATTCCTCCATAGGAATACAAGCTAACTTCTCGACGCATTTCTCTTTCACTATTGAAACGGTGAATTCCACCACCTATAGCAACGTGACAAATTTATTCTAAATTATTTTTTGACATCCAAAAACTCCAAACTGGTACACCTATGATAAATTTACCCTCTGTTAGTTTTTATTAAATTTTACCGTCAAATTGATGAGTTAATGACATATGGCAGTTGACAAGCGTACCGGTTTAGGATTTTACCCTCTATTTGTCATAAGTATACCGATTTGTGATTTTTTCGTGATATTAATCCAATTTAACAGAAACTAACGAAGGGTAAATTTGTCACAAATGTACAAATTTGGAGATTTTGATGGTCAAAAATTAGTTTGGGGTAAAATTATCACGACTATATTAATTTGGGGTTTTTTGTGGTAAAAAAATTAGTTTGGGGTAAAATTGTCATAAATATATCGGTTTGTGATTTTTCGTGATATTAATCGTAAAGATAAAATACAAAAACCTTCACGCAAGCAAATGCTATAGGACGTTTTCTGACCCCTAAAAATTAGAGTGTTTGGCCAAAAAAATAATAAAGAAAATAAAACATGCATTTGCAAACCCAGACAAAAAAAGCCACCATTTGAATCAGTTGCCCCGTAAAATCAGGTAAGAAACAAGGGCACGAAATGCATTGTTTATTTGATTATTCATTGATTTATACTTTTGATTCAAAGAAAACAATTTGCATTACATTATTTTTTTTAAGTAAATGTGGGCTCTACCTTAGAATTGGTCGGGCATAATCCAACAAGCTATTCAATTGAGGTTGTGACTTGCAAGCCATGGGCAAGGAGGATGGGACTTGTTGAGAACCGAGTCACAAACTCGATGCAATCGCAATCGAGGGTCGATGTTATTCACTAAATCAACGGCTGTGATGACCACGGTTTATGCGGAACTCGATCGTTCCAACAATTTTCCGAGCAATTAAGGGCTTGTTTGGATCAATTACATGATAGCGGATCATCACTAAGTCGAAATCAGTAGAGTTATCCACGCAAAGATATATTGCTTGCAAGCCTAGAGTTAATTTCTTGCAAACAACAGGGTAAGTAATCAAATAAACCCTCTCTTGACTAGTCTCAATCATGAAAAACACACCTTCAATCACTTGCACATTGAACTGATCAATGAAGGTCGGACCGAACCACCCGTACCACGCAAACGTAGTTTGGCTACATTAACGTATTCTGCCGTATAGTTTCTAATACCAGGAGATCTTCAACTACCCAACTTGGTTACGCTCGTGCGAATCGACAAGAGAATATGCTTACCGCATGAAAAACACGAGCATCTGGCTCTGTGACCTAAAAATGGGAAGACATAATAGTCTGTTGCATGTAGATTGCAACAAAACAAGTACACAGAACTTGAAGCTGAACGTGGTGTGACATTTTCAGTGAGAGCATGTACAATCCAACGCACAAAAGTATGAACCAGTGTTCACAGAAACAAGTCAGTTCTCAGTTTCTTCATCCTCGTTTTTTTGATAGCCGAAAAACTCAACTTTATGACTCACCCGGTATGGTGAACTTCGGGACCTTGGACGGAGTTGCTACCAGAGTCCGACGAACTCTCCTAATTAGCGCACCGGTCCACGAAATATCAAAGAGCAGGAGTGAACTTGGGCTCTTTGCTCCTCAAGGCAATATCTATATGCGCCCTCATCATTTAGGCAGCCCGACCATGTCTCGGTTTCTTCAGCGAGTCAGGTGTAAGTTTCCTTCCAAATGAACAGGGTCCGCGTCTCATAGAGTCAGGTTCCACACAGAGCTCAAATAGAGTTTTTGGAATCTTCGAGTTTCAGCTTCTTAGGAGGCCGAGGTCCTAGAACACTCATATCTACAGCAGCCCCGTAATCCTGAGATGACCGTACGACCGCATCGTAAGCTTTCGTGGAGAGATTCAGGCCCTCGTTGTGAGCCCTCATATACAATTCATATGCTAGCCTCGGTTTTCCGTCTCTTGCTAATGCCTCTATCAACATCTCGTAAGTGACCTCGTTCAGAGGTACATTCTGTACTTTCATTCGGTGAAACCATTCGTATGCTGCACTTCCCATGCCGTTCTGTGCACATCCGCTTATGATCGCGTTATATGTCACAACGGTCTTATTGATCCCCAATGAACTCATCTCCTTAATTACAGCATCCACCATCTTGATTTTTCCCTGTCCCGTGAATATAGAAGCCATGATCGTGTATGCATACAAGTTCGGCTCGACACCAGCCTTGATCATGTGGTCCCACACCTTGAGGGCCTCGTCGTAGAGCTTCCCTTTCTTGAGCGCACTAAGCAACGCCCCATAGGAGATGATCGTCGGTTGCTCTCCTTCCTCTACCATCCTTCTAAAAATCTGTACGGCAGCACTAGCTTCCGATGCCTTGGAACAGGCAACTAGTACTGCGTTCCATTCCCTGCTTCCAGGTTTAAGGCCCTTGTCTTCCATTTTATTGATCAATCTAACGCTCCATCTCCAAATCCCTTTTCTTCTAGCCGCGGTTAGTAAGATGTTAAAATGAGACATGATCAATTCATGCGACATGTTATTCGGCTTCGGTCCCTTGTCCAACAAATCCTCGTAAATCTCTAGAGCCGCCCACCACCTCTTAGCCTTCCCCATCAGCCAAATCAAGTGATTGCACACAGATAGGCTGATCTCCCAATGCCTCTCTCTTATTCTTGTGTATAATTCCTTTGCAACAACATAATGGTCTTTGTGAGTACAAGCCCATATGAGGCGCTCGTGTTCTGCCCGACCAGGCTGAAGCCCGGCCTTGTCCATATCCGAAAGAAGCTTCATTACTTTCTCGCTCAAGTTTTCTTGTTTCACGAGCCACCTCCGCATCACTTGGTAGCAAACGCGAACTGTGAGATTCTCGAGCTTGAAAATTCTTTCTCCCAATCCTCGTCCTCATCTTTTTCTATCTCACCCCTCAAATATTTTTCCCTAAATTCAGTGAAGAACCTCAAAGCCCCAATTCCATCTTCCATTCTTCTATAAGCCAACAAAGCAGTGGAATAGGATACTGCAGAGGGAACAAGGCCAACTCTTCGGATCTCCTCAAGAACATTGAGGGCCTCAATAGCTCGCCCTTGCTCCAAATAAATTGCCATCAGAGTATTATACGTCACGACATTTGGAACCACACCTTCGCTGGTCATATAGTCCACGGACCCTATCCAGCTCGCCAAACTGCTCAGACTGTTTCATAGCACCCAAAAGGCTATTATAGATGAAGAGACTAGGATATATCGCACCATTAGTCTCTTCCTTCTCCCTCTTAAGCCACTCCATGACAGCCATCGCAGGATCAATTCTTTTCTCTTTCCCGAAACCTCTAATCATACAAGAGAACTCCTGAAGGGGCAATACACCCTTGTCCTTGAGGACCTCCTCCACATCGTCCGCAGTTTCTGCGAGCCGCAAGCTCCGGGCCAAAGAGCGAACATCCACCCTTGAACAATCTTCCTCCCTAACTTCTCCGGCATTTTCGCCATCAACAACCTTCTCTTCCTCATCACTGTTATCTTCAGTGCCACTCGCTCCATCAATGCAAAAGCTGTCAGATTTCACAATCTTGGTTTCTCCAAACTCCCCATTGATTTCATTTGAATTCCCATCACCGAATTCACTACCGATTGCTTGTTGCTCCAATGCCCAAGCCAATGCAAACGAGGCGCCAAAAGAGCATTTCTTACTCTTGTTGGCTCCACAATCCCAGCTAACTCTGCCGGTGTATTTCTAGGATTGTTCAATACAAGCATGCCCCACAATGCGCCACAAAACCAAATCAACTGGTCTAGTTCGCCACCTACCCGAACCCCAGTATGACCTTTTGGCCAATTAGCACATTGGGATCAATCTCAATTTACTTACCTCTGTCGTTTATGCCAATTTGGCTACTGGATCACATAGTGGCAAAGCAGCTAATGTTTTGGTCACCTAGAATTCTATTAGCAAGAAACCTTAGTGTGTTATGGACGTTTGACAACAAGCCAGTTTTCCAGACAACAAAAGTGCTTCTCTTTCCCTGCCAAATGCGTTCTTCGTAGAGATAAAAAAATCAGCAAATAAACTACTCGATACAAATTTTTGGACCAAGGTCAGTGATTTTGGAGTAGCTAAGTTTGTCGTCCCACATTTGAGGACTCAAAAGATGGCTTGGTAGGGACTTACGACTATATGATTCCGCAGTATATCAGTGAAGGGAGGCCTACGCATAGATCAGCTATAGCGTTGTGATTCTGGAAATCGCCCATGGTAGGAGGACCTCTCAGGATGGAGAATTTCAAGTTCCACTGTACAGGAACGTTTGCCATCTTTATCTTGCAGGAAATGTCCTTAGTGCAGCTGATAAGACGTTGCTATCGAGTTTTAATCCTAAGGAAATGGGATGCTTGATGGTGGTGGGACTGCAGTGTGTGCATCCGGATGCCAAGACTATTCCGGGAATAGGACAACTGATTAGGTTTCCTTGGCTAGAAGTTCCACTACCAGAGCTTCCTCGTTGCTTGTATGATGCTCCTGGTAATAGTTCGCATGACCATCTACACTCAAAATGGAATCTTGTTCTGCCCAAGAACCTACCTCTTCACTCTCAGCTAGATAAATCGTGGCTTCTTAAGCCATAAAGAAAAAAAGGTTGGACTGTGCAATCGAAACAAGAGTAGCACGTACAATGTAGTTGTAGGTGACTAATATGCGTGCCTCAAAGCTTCATGTAAACATTAAATGTCGTATCAACACTTTCTGCTCTAACACTGCTCGTCCCCAATAATTGAGGTATTGTGGAATGATACCTAAGAAACCATGAGACTCTACCTGAATATTCCTTTTTGAAGCACGGTCCACATGGATTCAGGTTGGTGTAGAAAAAGACTCTCCTTTTTGTATTCAATGAATATTTTTTCTGTACATTTACAATGCTCAATCCTGTTATATATATAGGACATATGACAACCCTAATTAGGAGATATACAATGGGAAGGATTCTATACTAGGAAGAAATCTATATAATAAAAATGCCTAACAAATAGGCTAAAATAGCTCACGACCACACTCCCCCTCAAGTAGGTGCAAAGATGTCTTTGATACCCAACTTGATAAGTGAGCAATGAAATTCTCTACTTGACAGAGCCTTTGTCAATATATATCAGCTAACTGGTCTTCAGACTTGACAAATGATAACTGGATCACTTTTGCCTCCAAATTCTCTTTGATGAAATGTCTGTCAATCTCCACATGTTTGGTTCTATCATGCTGAACTGGATTATGAGCAATGTTTATGGCTGCTTTATTATCACAAAACAATTTGATTTCCAAACCTGGTGGATACCCGAGCTCAGTTAGCAGCTTCCGAAGCCATAGAAGTTTGCATAACTCCTTTGCTACACCTCTGAATTCAGCTTCTGCACTAGACCGAGCTACAACCTTTTGTTTCTTACTTCTCCATGTAACAAGGTTGCCTCCCACAAATGTAAGATACCCCGATGTAGACCTCCTGTCTGTCACACTTCCATCAATCGCATCTGTGTAACCTTCTATTTCAAGATGGCCATTCTTTGCAAATAGCAACCCCTTTCCTGGGGCTGACTTCAAATATCAAATGATGCGCCACACAGCACTCATATAATCCTCACTAGGTGCATGCATGAACTGACTCACCACACTTACTGCATGAGCAATATCAGGACGTGTATGTGATAAGTAAATCATTCTCTCCAGTTGCAAAGTTAGACACTATAAGAGTGTTGTTATCTCTGGCTGTAAACTTGGACTGGCCTTTGCATCAATTTGATGTGAAGAATGCATTTCTTCATGGAGATTTAGAGGAGGAGATCTATATGGAGCTTCCACCTGGATACAGATGCGCAGATAAGCCGAACATGGTTTGTAAGCTGGAAAGATCATTGTATGGGTTGAAGCAATCCCCTCGTGCATGGTTTGGTCGCTTTAGCTCAGCTATGAAAGGGATTGGATACTCCCAAAGTAACTCAGATCATACTTTGTTCTTAAAAGGTGCTCAAGGAAGAATGACAGCTCTTATCATATATGTAGACGACATGATTATTACAGGCAATGATAGTGCAGAGATTATGAGACTGCAGGAATTATTATCTAGGGAGTTTGAGATGAAGAACTTGGGAGGTCTGAAATATTTCCTGGGAATCGAGGTTACTAGGTCGAAGGAAGGGATTTACTTGTCTCGGCGGAAGTATGTTCTTGATCTTTTGACCGAAGTTGGCATGCTAGATTGCAAGCCTGCAGACACTCCTATGGTGCAAAACTGTAAGCTTGGAGAGTACCATGATCAGACGCCTACTAATAAAGAGAAATACCAAAGGTTAGTAGGTCGATTGATTTACTTATCACATACACGTCCTGATATTAAGTGTGCTGAGTCAGTTCATGCATGCACCTAGTAAGGATCATATGAGTGCTGTGTGTCTATTGACACCTGTTCGGACCCATGCAGTAATTCAGTGTTGTCTGGTCGTGCACCCTTAGAATCATGCAGCAGTAGCTCAAAATCTTCAGCCTCAGCAGCCTCATAATCACGTGGCCGTACGCACCCATCCGTCGCTCCTACAATTCCTACCTCCCACCAATGTCTGGTTCTACAACTAGTCTCCCCCTGAACAGGACATTGGGGGGAAGGAAAATAGGACTCCGTCTCGATAAATGTTACATCCATGGTGACATACGTGCGCTTCCCGGCAAGATCATAACACCGATACCCTTTCTGAGAAGGGCCATAACCAAGAAACACACATTTGACTGCACAAGGGTCAAGTTTGGTCCGCTGATTTTTGTGAAGATGGACATAAGCGACACACCCAAACACCTTAGGAGGCAATGTAAGAACCGAAGGAAGAGACACATGGGCAGCAAGTGCTTGCATTGGTGTGCGATAGCTCAGAATGCGAGAAGGCATGTGATTCAACAAATAAGCAGCTGTGACTACGGCAGAATCCCAAAAACGATGGGGAACATGGCTACCCTCCAAGAGTGCTCGAGTGGTTTCAAGAAGATGGCGATTCTTGCGCTCAGCAACACCATTCTGCTGAGGAGTCTGAGGGCAAGAAGTTTCATATATCAAACCATGTTCTTGAAAATAAGCTGCAAGAGGTTTACTTAAGTATTCGCCACCATTATCAGACCTGAGAACCTGAAGTTTGGCCCCAAACTGAGTCTGAATCATACGGTGGAAAGTCCGAAAGATAGCTTCGGCCTCATTCTTATGTTTCATCAAATATAGCCAAGTCATACGTGTGCAATCATCAACAAAGATGATAAACCATCGAAACCCAGATACAGTAGTAATAGGAGACGCACCCCATACATCAGAATGAATTAAGGAAAAAGGAGTAGAACTTATATTCAAACTGGGACGAAAACAAGTGCGATGGCTCTTTGCCAAAATACATGTATCACACTGAAAACTAGAGTTCGATAGACCATGAAATAACTTGGGAAACAAATGCTGTAAATACCCAAAGGATGGGTGACCTAACCGACGGTGCCATAACCAAAGTTCCTTCTCTTGAGCTAACTGTCCACGAGAATGATAGGTCCGTCCAGAAGTAATTTCATCCACAAAATACAGCCCCTCCCTCTTAGTACCACGCCCAATAATCTCCTTCGTGAGAATGTCTTGAAACAGGCAAAAATCAGGGTACATAAGCACAACACAGTTCAACTCACTAGTAAGCTGTCCAACTGATAACAGACGATTAGACAATAAAGGAACAAGCAAGGTATGAGATAGAGAGAGAGAAGGCGTGACAGACACACGCCCAGCAGCCGTCACAGGAAAGCTATGTCCATTAGCATTGTAAATAAGATCTCGACGTGGTGTAGTAGATGTAAGAAGGTCACCAGATTCCGGAGTCATATGATCTGTAGCGCCAGAATCAATTATCCACCCATGATGACCATCACCATGTCCATTAGCAAAGACAAACCCACAATTACCTTCAAGAGATTCGGCATTAGCATATTCAGGCTCCATGGGAATTAATGACAAGCCACTAGTCACTAAGGAGGCTTGTCCTCCATTCCGCCCCGATTCAGGCTCCATGGGAATTAATGACAAGCCGCTAGTCACTAAGGAGGTTTGCCCTCCATTCCGCCCCTTTTGGGAGCCTGGTTTCTTCTTCTTGGTCTGAAAATGATCCCACCAGTCCGGATAACCATGCAATTTAAAACAAGATGCTGCTGTATGATTAGGATTCCCACAGTGAGAGCATTCCTCGGATTGAATTGGCATACCAGGTTTAGGACGAGGTCCCCGGGCAGAAAGCACTAACTGATCACCCTTGCCCCGCTGTGACACCATGGTGGAACCAGAGGTGACCTCGACAGGAGTGGAGAGCATGACAGATTGGCGCATATCCTCTCGCCTGACTCGGGCATAAGCTTGCTCAATAGTGGGAAATGGATCCATCTTCATAACATCAGCACGAACATTATCCAGGCGGTCATCGAGACCATCCAAAAAAGTATAAACTCGATCTTCATGGACAATGGCATTATACCTCAAAATATCGGCCGGACATTGCATAGGATTAGGACGGCGGAAATCAATCTCACGTCAGAGCCCTTGAAGATCATTGTAATATTTCTCGATGGGTCCACCGCCTTGCTTCAATCGAGAAACCTGCCTCTTAACATCATAGATTTGGGAGGTGTCAGATCCATAAAAAAAGGTCGTTGCCACAGCATCCCATACGACTCTGGCAGTAGGAAACCGAATAAAGTTTGGTATCAAGGCTGGGTCTATAGAATTGATAAGCCAACCTTTCACCGTAGAATCATCGATCTTCCATTGTCTAAAAAACGGATCAGTAGGAGGGGGCTTAGGAGAATCACCATTCAAATAGCCCAGTTTGTCTTTGCCTGAGACATACATCTCAACAACCTGGGACCATACGCCATAATTTTTGCCATCAAGCTTGACAGCAATCGGTGCAACAGGAGGTTCAACGCGCGGCGACGCGGCCTGCTGGGTCAAGAGCTGCTTCATCGCAACGGTCAGGTCTGCTAGAATGGCAGTAGCAGAGGCACTAGCATCCGCTTGGTCAGTTGCAACAATCGGATGTTCGTTGGCCATGAGATTAGCTTCGCAAACTGAATTGCGATGAAGAAGATCGGGTAATACGCACGTCGGACGGCGCTGCCCCCGAACCCCCAGCCCGCTCACCGGCGAGCGGGACCGCCATAGTCGATGATTGACGTACAGTACCACAAGGATCAAACCCTAGGGCTCTGATACCATGTAGAAAAAGACTCTCCTTTTTGTATTCAATGAATATTTTTTCTGTACATTTACAATGCTCAATCCTGTTATATATATAGGACATATGACAACCCTAATTAGGAGATATACAATGGGAAGGATTCTATACTGGGAAGAAATCTATATAATAAAAATGCCTAACAAATAGGCTAAAATAGCTCACAACCACAGTTGGGACATTACCTCAACGAGCTACGTTAGACATTAAGGGTCTCGTAATGCATGTCATCAAGGTAAAACTACCAGCTTATATAAAAGTCAATTGGTAGGAGTGAATTGGAAAGATCGATCTGGAATTCCTGACTTGTATACTTATTAATGAAAGTCGGTTCTCATCTCCACTATTCTGCGGAAAGCAATCGTGTCTCACGGTTTTCTTCTCCATTCCACAGTGTGCTAACTCATTCAACTCAGGTAGTCAGTTTCCGTATCCATGATTTTCGCCCACGATTATGTAGAAATCCAGTGTTTTTCCCCAAGGGAGACTTTGGCAAATGGCAGTGGCCACTGTCCTAGGAAAGCCCTACAGATGTTTTGGTTATGAAAAACACCAAATGGCCAAGTTGATACATTCACAACATTTTTGGTAGATAGCAAACGTACCAATAAGAATGTCCCTTGTCCATTGACTTTAGGAGAAACGGCAAAGGAGTTGTCGATCTATACGTGTTCCACATAGATGTTTTAATTGTGAAAAGCACCAAGTCCCCAGGTTGAAGCGTTCATTACATGTTTGGTAGGTAGCAACTGTACTAGTAAGAATGTCCTTTGTCCATTGACTTTAGGAAATAACTTTGAAGCTGTTGTTCTATACATGTTTCCACAGATGTTTGGTTATAAAAACACCCAATGGCCAAGTTAATAAGTTCAATACATATTGTTATATAGCGACCGTACCAATAAGAATGTCCCATGTCCATTGACTTTAGCAGAAACACCACAGAAGTCGTTGATTTTTACGTGTTCCCATAATGTTTTGGTTATTAAAACACCATAGCAACTGTACCAGTAAGAATGTCCCTTATCCATTGACTTTAGGATAAACAACAAAGAAGCTGTTAATCTATGCTTGTTCCTCACAGATGTTTTGATTATGAGAAAAACCAAGTGGCCAAGTTGATACATTCATTACATGTTTTGTAAATGTTAGGATTAGGGGCACAAACACAATGAATTCGAGAGTAAAGTCGAGAAAGAGAAATCAAGACACAAAGGTTTATCCCGATTCACCTTAAACTAAGGCTACATCCAGTAAAGAATTCCACTATAATTAACATCCCGCACCTCTATGTTACATCACTCTCAATTAAAAGAGAAAGTGAATATAAATATATATATATAGGCATTCAATAGCTTTTCATGATCTCAAGCCCAAACTATCAATAAATAGCAACTGTACTGGTAAGAACCACACCTTAATAGATGAGAACCTCCGTGCCTTCTTGTCGATGGGGAGTAAAAATCACACCCCCAACAAATAGCAATTGTACCAGTAAGAATGTCCCTCATCCACCGACTTTAGCAAGAACAGCTTTGGGGCTATTGATATATACGGGTTCCCCACGTGTTTGGTTATGAAAACCAGTGGCCAAGTTGATAAGTGCGTTACGCATTTGGTAGATAGCAATCGTACTAGTAAAAACATCCCTTGTCCATTGACTTTAGAAAAAATAGAAACTGTTGATCTATACGTGTTCCCTATGATGTTTTGGTTATAAAAAACACCAAGTGACCAAGTTGATACATTCATTACATCTTTGGTACATAGTAATTGTACTAGTAAGAGTGTCCCTTGTCCATTGGCTTTTGGAGTAACAGCAAAAAAGCTGTTGATCTATACGTGTTCCTCACAGATGTTTTGATTATGAGAAACACCGATAGGCCAAGTTTATACGTTGATTACATGTTTGGTATATAGCAACTGTACTAATAAGAATGTCCCTCGTCCATTGACTTTAGCAGAAACAACTTTGAACTTGTTGATCTATACGTGTTCCCCATAGATATTTGGTTATGAAAAACACGTTGTGGCCAAGTTGATGAATGTCCCTTGTCCATTGACTTCAGCAGAAACAGCTTTGAACTTGTTGATATATACGTGTTCTCCACAGATGTTTGGTTATGAAAACCACCTTGTGGCCAAATTGATAAATTCATCACATGTATGGTATATAGCAACCGTACCGGTAGGAACGTCCCTTGTCCATTGACTTTAGTAGAAACAGCAACGAAGCTGTTGATCTATATGTGTTCCCCACAGATACATTCATTACATATATGGTAGATAGCAACTGTACCAGTAAGAATGTCCCACGTCCATTGACTTTAGAAGAAACAACAACTCACTGTCAAAATAATTGATCCAATTTTCACAATAGTGTGACATGTGCACGATAGAGTCTGGCATGCAGAGATAATTTGTGCAGTGAGGCGGTGGTGTGTGCCTATATATAGGAGATGGTGGACGTCCAATCTTACACTGAGCAGACCAACAATTTAGCTCTTCCCATTTCTTTTGTAATACCCACCAAATAATAAAAGCCTTTCTTTTTCCTGGTGCTCCCTTGCCGTAATAGTCCTCTCATATATACGTCTTTGTTGTTTCTTTGCCCAATCCTTTCCCACACACATCTACATACACACTAGCATATAAACCAAAAACTAACACTCACAGATGTTATGATTATGAGAAACATCGGGTGGCTAAGTTGATACGTCCATCACATGTTTGGTAAATAGCAATTGGACCACTGTGCCGGTAAGAACGTCTCTCGTCCATTGACTTTAGCGGAAACAGAAAAGAAGATGTTGATAATTACATTTCTCCACAAATGTTTTGGTTGAAAAACACTAGCGGCTAAGTTGATACGTCCATTACATGTATGGTAGATAGCAATTGTACCAATAAGAATGTCCCTTGTCCATTGACTTTAGCAAAAACAACAAAGAAGATGTTGATCTGTATGTGTTCTCCACAAATGTTTTGATTATGAAAAACACCAAGTGACCAAGCTGATGCATTCATTAAATGTTTGGTAGATAGCAACTGTACCAGTAAGAATGTCCCCATGTCCATTGACTTTAGCAGATACAACAAAGAAGCCGTTGGTCTATGCATATTCCCCATAGATGTTTGGTTATGAAAAGCATTAAGTGGCCATGTTGATACTTCATTACTCGTTTGCTAGATAGCAATTGTACTAGTAAGAATGTTCCTGATCCATTGATTTTAGCATAAACGGCAAAGGTGCTATTGATCGATGAGTGTTCCCCACAGATTTTTCGGTTATAAAAAACACCAAGTGGCCAAGTTGATATGTTCATTACATATTTTGGTAAATAGTGACTGTACTAGTAAGAATGTCCTTTGTCCATTGACTTTAGATGTTTTGGTTATGAAAAACTATGACACCTCTTGAGGTATTGTCCACTTTGACTCATCTCATACCAAACCTCATGGTTTTGTCCTTTAACGTAAAGGTAGGCACTTTCTCTAGAGGTTACCCAGCCTAGTAGTGCTCTCACTTAAGGAGCACGCTTCACATACATAATTCAAGAACATTGTCACCTCTTCGGTGTACAATTTGGTTCATTCCTGCCCCCGCCGTCCTATAAACTTACCGGGAGCAACTTCTTATCTATGGCGAGTCCAGGCCCTCTCGCCCTAATGATTACGCCCCGTCCTCATTAGACCGGATTGTTATAAGCCCACCAACTTCCATGTGGTTTATCTCCGAATCATTCACCAATTAGAGGGGGTCCTCCTCTGATATCTTATTGTAACACTCTTGGATTAACTCACTCAATGTATTGTCCGCTTTGACCCATTTCATTCCGAGCCTCACTATTTTGTCTATTGACATACGGGTAGGCATCTTCCTCCCAAGAGGTCATCCATCACGGTGGTGCTCTCACTTGAGCACGCTTGTATTGGAGTTTCAAAGCTAAACGTTGTCTTTATGTCAAAACGTGTTTCTTGTTAGCTAATTCTAGTTTCACATATATAATCCAGAAAAGCTATTCCCTGTTTGACGCAATCCTGTTCATTCCTACCACCTTGGTCATCTTGAAAGTCTACCGGGAGCCACACCTTGTCTAGGCTCTCTCACCCTAGCGATCACTCTCAACCTTGGAGGACTAGGTCGTTA